ACGGTGGTATGTACATTGTAAAGGAAGCTGATGTAAAGAACTGACCATGTCTTTAGAGAGAGTGAGTGAGTTGGACTAAACCCTGCTTTGGACAATATTCCCGTTATATCACAGTGTGTAAGTTGCATGTAGGAGGAAAGCTCAAAATGATGCAGGTCTCGGACGTTTACCACTTGGTGAAACCCAAAAGCATGGGTATGGTGCTGACAAACATAGAAACATAACTTGGAGTCAAACCCATGATCATAGAACTGCCCAAGGGATGCATCTCTGCACAGTAAATTGCTGGGGACGTCTTCAACGACTGGCCCACCTGTTCCCTCTATTTCTTTGAAAAAGTTTCCCCAAAACACACAGACATAGAACAAGCCTAGAATTACACAATTTTCATTTCATAAAGTGATAAATTATCAGGTAAAGGCAGTCATTCTAATGTATCATGTATTTAAAACGAAACATTGCGCCCTTGTTCTGAAACAAATGTGCACATGAATCCCACACATCTCCTCCACCTCACCCCTCCTGAAGACAACAGCCAGACCTTTTTGAAACACAGCCATCAACTCCTGTACTGAAATATGGACACGACCTTCTTGGCCCAGTTGTGTCAAACCCTCATTAAATAATGGGTTTATTAAACACTAATGTGCATTAAATTGGAAAAGTTTCATTTGATAAAGGAGGCAATAAAATGGGTAGTACAAAGCCATCATATAACTGTCATTAACTAGTGATAATTTAAGCGTAAAATTTATGTGTCATTAAGTTACAGTATTCCCATACAATTTACCATAATTCCATTTTAGCAAACAACACTTTCTCCTTCCTGTTGTCGGTCGGACAGTTGGCATGAGTGATGTCAGTTCTCTGGACTGTGGGTAAGTCATAAACACACAAGTATCACTTCGGACATTCATTTTGTGATGTACATCACATGTTTCAGGGGCAATACACATAAGAAAACAGGTTTTGTATCGAACACACCCCTTCATCTATGTATGAGCTCCTATTGATATGCACGGTTGGTTTGATGACGGTACCCACAAACCTTCAGTAAGTTAATGGCCCGTTATGTACGTATTGGGTCACTAAAAGTTTGATATGACAAAATTTAATGCCCCATTAGTTAATTGGGGTTTTAGACTTTTTAATCAAGTTTTCATACAACTGGTCCTCATCTATAGCCTCACTTAACACCTCTGCTCACAGATCGCCTATTAATTTACCATGCAGTCTATGTTAGTTCCTCATATTACAGTGAGATGGCCTCCCTTTTCACTGCAGTGAATAAATTTGATAATTGAAATTGATGACAAACTTTACGTCCATGTAAAGAATTATTGTTTGATAGAATAGCAAGTTCCTCCCACCTCCCACCCCTTCAGTCATTTCAGTTAATACTGCTGTCTTTAAGAGTAGACCAACCATTGGCTTTACGTCTGAGTAGACCAACTGTTTCAGATAGGACTATTCCATATACCTCAATAAAGAATACAAACTAGACATGTACAGAGACATAAAAAAAAGCTGTGTGCATAGACTTTGTGCTGATTCGGACATATAGTGACAGCTAGGCCACAATATAGCATCTCAACCTCAGTTTGTACAATTCTTGACTTCATGACTGTCACACACCACAAATCATTCACACATTCAAAAATAATTTGCATATCACAAACGGTGCTAAATTGTGACTCTATGAGCATGTTGTATTAACAACATATTCAGTAGTACTAAGTTGCTGTGTCAATCATTTGAGCATGGTACAACATATTCAATAGTACTAAGTTGCTGTGTCAATCATTGTGAGCATGTCTGTACAACATATTCAATAGTACTAAGTTGCTGTGTCAATCATTGTGAGCATGGTACAACATATTCAATAGTACTAAGTTGCTTGGTCAATCATTGTGAGCATGGTACAACATATTCAATAGTACTAAGTTGCTGTGTCAATCATTGTGAGCATGTCTGTACAAACATATTCAATAGTACTAAGTTGCTGTGTCAATCATTGTAAGCATGGCACAACATATTCAATAGTACTAAGTTGCTGTGTCAATCATTGTGAGCATGGCACAACATATTCAATAGTACTAAGTTGCTGTGTCAATCATTGTAAGCATGGTACATCATATTCAATAGTACTAAGTTGCTGTGTCAATCATTGTAAGCATGGTACAACATATTCAATGGTACTAAATCAATCAATAAATCATTGTGACCAATGGTCATGAGCTCAGACCAAAAGAGATGAAATAACCATTGGAATGTACCACAAATAATATAAAATAATTCCAATTTAAGCTATTCAGGTTTTTGATACATTGAAACTTTTAGGTTTTGGTAAATCTGGCCTTCTGACAAGGATAATTTATCAAATTTAGACGAAACACATCAATTTAATTAATCCATTGACAAAAGAGTGACTAGATGTTGGATCAAATGTTGCTAATTCAGTCATTTTTCCATATGGTTTTGGTGAGGACGTTTGAGGTGGTCCCACACTTCTGTCCTAGGTGACATGCTGGATATATACAATATCTATATACACTAAATCTACATACTCACTCTTCTCTGCACATTAAGGCTTCATAACAACATTATCAGCATTTATAGCATAATTGCATGAATATTCCATTGCATGGTGAATATATACATCTATATAGCACATCTGGTAAATATACTTGTATATCACATCTTTACGACTAGGATAAACACAATAGAAGAAAACACATAGTATGCTTTAAGAATGCTTCCAATAGCATTTCAGTTTCATAATGGGGAGGAAAGTGTTATGTGAGGCACGGAGTAGACTTTAATGTGAAACCCGTGAGAGCATGCAGGTCATGTATCACAATCAGGTTCATCTGGGAACTAGGATCCTGGCAACAAAGGGACACAACTCTGCACTGGGAGATGCTGCCCCTTTGACCACATGGCACCGATACCTACAACAATGCTTGACAGGAAACAATAAAACAAAGCATCATGAGTCTTACACAATCTGTTTCTTATATAACATTTTTCATTTTGATCAAGCAGAAACAATAAAACAAATGTTTCTCTTGCAATACATTATAACCCTTTAAAAAAATTTGCTACCCAAAATTAATCAAGTTTCAAAACAGAACAATATACTTCCATATGGAGGTGTTTTTACTGAAGAAGTGATGCTTTACTGATGGTGTTTTTTACCATGATGCCACTTTTAACAATATACCAGCAACATCACAGCTAGGGACAGTGAAAATGAACATCGCTATTTGTGTCTATTGGACAATTGAACCCAGTGATCAGTATGAAGAGCCATATAATAAACACAAGACTAACCAACTGACCTTTTACCCTTATTACCATGGTTACAAGAGAGACTGGAAGCCAGTAGTAATTGGCAGTTTACAATAACAGCTTGTAACATTCTACTGTACATTCATAAATTAACAAAATTGCAACACAGATTTTAAATAATATTGCATACGGTCAGAAGCTATATGAAAAAAAAGCATCCAAAATATGAAGAAATACTTCTTTGGTGTATTTAATGTAACAAAATATACTGAAATGTAAAGCACTTGTTATATAAAATGTGTCATAATGCTGAGATAAAAAAGATGTTCTCATATCTTATAATTCTCTTGCAGAAAGAACAGCCACAGATGAATACTCCTTAAAAGAAGTTAAAGAACACCCGATTCTTTCATATTTCTATTATGACAGATTAGCAATAGTAATGTGACAACATGGCGTGTTCCTTAACTTATTTTGAGTGGTACATAATGTCATGAAACTGGACACATGTTTATGTCAGTCTTTCTGAACAATTTACATCTTCCCGAGGCAAGAGAGTTAACTGACTCTAAAAGTCCAGTTTCAACCCTTGCCGAACTAGGCTGGAATTACTGGGCTCAATCGTGGCGCCACCAGTGGCTAATACCAGTTATGTCCCCTCTAAGCCTCTCCTATGGACCAATCAGATTCCACCTCTCGTATCACTTGCATTTTCTTCACACAAAATGGTGGCGCCCATTCAGAATGATCTGATCGATAATCAAGATCTAAATTGTGATAAAACGGGTCTTACATCGCAAAATGCATCAAATTACGTGAGCACCTTGATTAAAAACATGAAAAGATTTGGAAAATATCTGCTGACAACAAGTTGGCGGTGCACATGCTTTGCAAATCCTGCAATCGACCGAAATCCGCATGACAGTTTACAAACCAGATTTCGATTTCGGTGCGCGATTTTGTTTTGACTATGCATAGACTCATTAGTCCAGCCAAAATGTAACTCCATAATACCAGCCTAGTTCGGCAAGGGTGGAAACTGGACATTTATAGTCAGTTTACTCTCTTGCCTCGGGAAGATGAACAATTTATTGCACAACAGATTTTTATAAACGTTGCCATACTACATCCCAACTGATATATTATACAACAGAATTTCACAAAAACAAATCTGGAATAAAGTAATGAAATTTGATGCATCTTTAGTTGATTATTCAACAGTAACCATTTATGTGTGGGCTCAGCTGTCAAAATTCAATTTTGTTTGAGAAATACAACATGAAGGGTCTTGATATGGATGTCTGTAGATGACCAAGGTTGATATCCAACAGGTTCTGTGTGATGAGAATGTAAAGTCTTAAACCGTCAACACAGGAAACAATCTTTTCATACATCTGTTTAAATGATTCCACAATTCGATTGACTATCAGATACCTATTTCCATGCCTAAGAAGACCATCACCAATTGATCAAGCACTGAGACATGAGTCTCATGCCAGCAAGCAAACACATCTGTTGCCATCAATCATCCTTCTCGATCCTTGTATAATACCAGTAAGTCCGGGGGCACGGGTGGCCCAGTCGTCTAAGGCACCACGATTCGCTGTGGAGAGTTGCGTTCCTTCGGCACGCCAGAAAACTATGATTGTGGGTTCGAATCCCGGTTCACCGCGATTATGTTTCTAGGTTTGTCAGCACCATACCCGTGCTCGTGGGTTTCACCGAAGTGGTAAACGTCTGAGACCTGCATCACTTCGGGCTTTCCTCCCACATTAAGCTGACACGCCGCGATATAACTGGAATACTGTTAAAAGCGGCGTAAAACCCAACTCACTTACTCACTCACCAGTAAGTCCATACATGTGAATCATAATATAGTACAAGGATAAAACCACTGTCCTAGGTCTGACCATCTGTGGTACCTGTGTCCAATATTCCATTGTATTAGGTCTGAAGGTCTGTGATTGGGAACATGTGCACAATAATCCATTGTCCCAGGTCTGAAGGTCAGTGATTGGGAACATGTGCACAATAATCCATTGTCCCAGGTCTGAAGGTCAGTGATTGGGAACATGTGCACAATAATCCATTGTCCCAGGTCTGAAGGTCAGTGATTGGGAACATATGCACAATAATCCATTGTCCCAGGTCTGAAGGTCAGTGATTGGGAACATGTGCACAATAATCCATTGTCCCGGGTCTGAAGGTCAGTGATTGGGAACATGTGCACAATAATCCATTGTCCCAGGTCTGAAGGTCAGTGATTGGGAACATGTGCACAATAATCCATTGTCCCAGGTCTGAAGGTCAGTGATTGGGAACATGTGCACAATAATCCATTGTCCCAGGTCTGAAGGTCAGTGATTGGGAACATGTGCACAATAATCCATTGTCCCAGGTCTGAAGGTCAGTGATTGGGAACATGTGCACAATAATCCATTGTCCCGTGTCTGAAGGTCAGTGATTGGGAACATGTGCACAAAAATCCATTGTCCCGGGTCTGAAGGTCAGTGATTGGGAACATATGCACAAAAATCCATTGTCCTCGGTGTGAAGATCTGTGATTGGCAACATGTGCACAAAAAACCATTGTCCCGGGTCTGAAGGTCTGTGATTGGTAACGTGCACAAAAATCCATTGTCCTCGGTGTGAAGATCTGTGATTGGCAACATGTGCACAAAAATCCATTGTCCAGGGTCTGAAGGTCTGTGATTGGTAACGTGCACAAAAATCCATTGTCCTCGGTGTGAAGATCTGTGATTGGCAACATGTGCACAAAAATCCATTGTCCAGGGTCTGAAGGTCTGTGATTGGTAACGTGCACAAAAATCCATTGTCCTCGGTGTGAAGATCTGTGATTGGTAACATGTGCACAAAAATCTGGTCCACATGGCCAATGATTTTGAGAACTGTGGGCTGATGTCTGGTTACGCATTTCAAGACTTTTGATATGAACAATACAAGCTTGCTCAACAAAGCATTACAGCAAAACAAAGTCAGCAAACAGGTAGGAATGACCAACCAAATCTCTTACACTTCGTAACTTCAAAGTTTCCCAAAGGCAAAGCTAGCATACATTATGGCAAATTGCACCCCAAAAGTAACTATTCCTGAACACCATAGATGTCTGAGACATGCATGTCTATCTTGGTTACAATACATACATCAGCTATTTCCTATGTCCCTATCACCTACCACACTGGATGTTCTGTTGGAGTGGACATCCATCAGTAACCCTGAATTTGATCAGTGTCTTAAAAACAGAATCTCCCTGCTGATTAATGAATTATTCATTAACCAAATTGTATAATGTATGTCCATATTCAACAACCAGTATGACCAATATTATGAGCAAACAATACAGTGTATTGTCTTATAGTTAACCAGCTGAAATTAGTGCTTATTATACAAAGATAATGAACATGGTCATCAGGCTCTTCTTGTTTCAACGTCAATAAAAACATGATAAGAAAATAACAAAAACTGCCCTGTAAGTTATTTCATAATAATCTCCTGAATATATACCGGGTACTAACAACAATTTTGATTCTCAATTCCAACAAGTCCTAATCTACTTCTTTGCATCTTACACTTGGCAAATGAGCCCCGAAAATCTCTAAAACAAAACTGGCATGGCCTTACTACTGGATAAATGACGTGATGAACACAAGGCTATGTGACCTCAAGATGATCCTGATAAAGCAAACACGAGCAACACTCAATAAATAAATCATCAGCTGAGCTCGTACCCAAAAGAAATAGAGAATATCACCCGAGTATCTTCAAAGGTAAAAAATGATAAAGATTCAAACATCCGAGTCTAGTTGAGGATATTTTTACTTTGATCAATGTGTCGTGGGATATTTGAGCTTGGAAGACACGAGGGTGAGATTCTATTAATCATCCAAAGTCATTCTTCCAACTTTTACTGTGTATAGACTAGGGCTGGCTTAGAAGATTGATAATCGGACTTATCATTGATGGAAAGAAAAATTAACAATCCTCGATATGAAATCGATGTCATTGAAAATAACTGACACAAACTATTGTGATGAAATAAAGTTTAGATTTAACGAAACAGACTTGTGATTGTCAATTATTTCAATCGTTGAAGTCAGAAAGCAACTGTTTTTGTTATATCTCAAATGTCCACAAAGTAATCCATGCATAAATGTGTCACTGCTCACCAGTGGCGTAAAATATGTTGATTTCTTTCGGGACTTTCTTGCTTATTTGTTTAAAGTTATTTCTCTGATATTTATCGATAATTGGTCAATATTTCGTTTATCGGTCTGTAGGATCCATATCGACAGCCAGCCCCATTGTAAACAGTAATAACCTGTGTCTTGAGTGTAAATAGTGCAGCTACAGCATCAGTGGCACAACGATTAGAGATTAGAAGATATGGCTTGATCTCACCCAAGCGATATCTCCTATGTAGCTCATGGATGAAAACGGCTATCCCCCACAAGCTCATATTATACCATATTCCTGTCCTTTATGCAGAAGTCAGGCACCCTCCTCAATTATATGATTATATACGAGAACTGAGTATTCTTCAACATGAAAACATATATCAGTAGCACTGTTAATATATCACATTTGTTCGTAAGCCCATGTATATGTAGGTCTGACCACCAGCAGTTGGTGCAGAGGTGGTAGATGACCACTGTGACGGAGACGTCGAGTGTCACAGCGCGGTCCTCTCATTGTAAACTACGATGGCTTCGTTGTGTATGAGTGAGTCAGTGTCGTCGGATGCTATCGCTAGGTTACCACTGCTCCTCATGATGGCAATGGCAGCAGCACTCTCGCTGCGCATCCTATTCTTACGCTGACTCTTCTCCGTCTGAAAGAATGAAGTCAGTAGAACTCTAATGACGGCCTCTGTGACAGACTATAATTGTGGCACAAATTGATAAACCCATTGTCCTGTGAAGATTCCAGGATAGAATTGGTCTTCAGTAACCCATGCTTGTCGTAAGAGGCAACTAACGGGATCGGGTGGCCAGGCTTGCCGAATTGGTTGATGCATGTAATCGTATTCCAGTTGCATAGATTGAATCAGGACCAGACAATCCATTGATTGATATCACAAGCATCAATCCATGCAATTGAGATATGGATATGCAATCAACCAAAGCACGGAGTCTGACTGTCCAACCCATAGCCTCTTGTGACAAGCAGAGGTTGCGCAGGACCAATATTCTTACCTGGAATCCACACATTTGTAACAGGATCATTTATATGTTTGTTAGTTGCTTAATGCCGCACTCAGCAAAATTCCGGCTATATGACAGCAGTCTGTAAATAATCAAGTCTGGACCAGTGATTGACATCATGATCATTGATATGTGCAATTTGGATACAATGATATGCATCAACCAAGTCAGCGAGCCTGACCAGCTGATCCCATTAGTCACCTGTTACGACAAGCATAGTTTCTTGTTACAGCAAGCATGGGTTGCTGAAGACCTAACCTCTCCCCGGATCTTCACGGGGGGATACTTAATAAATCAGGTCCAGCTTAGGTGGTGAGCCGAGGTGAAATGGGGTTTAACGTCGCGTCCAAGATTATTGCACTTATATAGCGACGTGCATGCATGTGTATGTGTGTGTATGTGTCTGCTTGACCTAGTCCGGACTGATGCCGATTTATAGTGCTAGCTCACTGAGATACCATTCCGCAGTTTAACATGAATACTCCACTCAGACACAGTATACTGACTCCGAGCCGACCAGTCCTTGTTTTAGCCCCTTAATGCCGAGCGCCAGACAGGGTAACAACAAGTACCATCTTTTAACGTCTTTTGGTGTGACGCGGGCGGGGATCGAACCACGGACCTTCTGCTCTCCGGGCGGATGCTCTACCATTAGACAACGGGGCGGTCTCCAGCTTAGGACATGAAAGTGTCATGTGACAAGAACAACTCTCCTCACCTCTGAATACACCTGGTCTGCTGTCATTGATGGAACACCATGTCGGGGGAGCGTCGCCGACATACGCTCATCAAAATAGGACGGGTTCTCAAAGCCTGAACCTGAACAAAATTTGTAAATTAAAATTAGGAAATGAAAATAATCCTGTCATGAAACTGAATATGATTTCAGAGATTGTCCCCAATTACGAGAATAAACTTCATCTACTCAGCATCAATATACAGGGATTGAATGTTATTTTATGCCAGACATCATAACAGTTCAATCACAACAATATCCCAGTAAACAATAAAGTTTGAGACAGACAAACCAGAGGTTGAAAGCATGAACATGATGCATGCCATGACAGACAGATACGTGTTCATTCAGTATCTTGGCCTTGTGGTCCTGAGTACAATGAAATTAATGAAATATAGTTGAAGGACATTTGCTAAATTAACAACTCTTAGAAATCTTGCAGAAAATGTGCTTGATAAACATGATAAAGATGGTTACTGACATATTTGTATGTATATCATTTGAGTTCAGTAAATTGTACATAACTTGGTGATTTACACATGTATTTTTTAAATGTGGAAATATTTCTTTCTTTGGGAAGTAATGGTATCGCAGATAAACAGAACCTCATCTTCAATGCACCCAGATTTACAATATGTACAAATAATGTTTGAAAATTTAATGTCTTTGTTCTTCTTAATATCTTGTATTTTAAAACAATGTAAAGAGATTCTTAACTCACATATCACTCGTAGAGTTGATTTATCATTTAAGTTAAATATTTCTCAGGTTCAAACAAAGATTAATGGAAGCATAATGTGAAAGAAAGTAAGAGGATCTAATACTTTCCGACCAGTCCTGAATGAAAATATCAACAAGTCCTTGTTTGAAGGTAGAAACAAATGATAACTTATCCCCAACATCTTGGGCAATCCAAACATAGCAAACACTACAAGAAAAATTTACATCAGATGCCCATGTATGTTTGCCATTATTATCTAAAGATACTAGCAACCAATAACTCTGGTAATGGTAACGATACAGTGGCATACATATAAGTATAATCAAATATTTACTAACTTTTATCTGAGTTTGGATGAATACAGGAAAGTGCCCAGTCTTTCCTTGTATAGCTTTATGTGAAGCAACCGTTCAAACAGTTAGAAAACTTTTAAAATATGACTCATGAACCTTTTCATTTTCTTCAAAATACCTGGTGCCCAAACTCTCTGCACCATATATACAAGAACTGGTGATATCTTTTTATCAAACTGTACACTGGCTGTTGAAAATGTAACATACTTCTTTTCTTTAAATTCTTCATAGATGGGAGTAGAGCTTTCTTGGCCTGAGCAGTAAGTGTTTTGCAGACCACTGACCAATTTAACCGCGGGGAAAACATTAAACCTAAATTTTTATAACAGGAAACAACTCTTATATTTACATTACGAAACGACCCCTTTTCCCTGGGCGCAACTATCCCACCATGTCTAAATACATCTATATTTGACTTGTCTAGGTTTAGCTCTGCAATGCAATGAGGATCAATGACACAGACAACGCATCTTCATCATTGGATCCTGATGTCAGGTGGTTCTTACGGCAAACATGTGCTATAGGAAAACTGTTTTACCACACAATACCACAAAGAGAAAAACTACACGATCACAATATGATGACTGTTACCACAACTCATCTTCACACAAATTGCCAATCTTAAGAATCAAACCTGGCTTTATCATCATGACAAGTGAACACACGAACCACTGTGCCATCTCTCTGAGGGCTGTATCTTTAAGACTGTGTTCTTGAGCATTAAGTTGAATGTTTCAGCAGTTGAAACTATGACCAAATCAATGTTTACATAATCAAATTTGAACCAGACAATCCAGTGACTGATACAATGATCTATGATGTAGGTTACGATGACACACTATCAACTAAGTCACCAACCTGATGACCCAATAATTTTGGCACCTCTCACAACCAGAATTGGTTACTGGGCACCAATTCTGACCCAGAATCACCAGAGATGACGTTATATAGTCACCGACAAAAGAAACGCGAATACCATACATGTTGTTTAATGTATGAAGACTTACTCATATTCAAGAAATATTAGATTGGTTCGATGCACAAATGAACATACTCTTATGTTGTGTGAACCTGTGTGAACCGACACTCATGAACTCATTACATGTGACATCATAGATCCATGACTCAAGACACACCATTTGTCTTGTGCAGGATTAGCGTGTAAAGTTTGGAAATCACGTGCAGAATATCGTGATAAGAATAAGGACACAGGGGCAACAAGTTTTGTCATTAAGTAGTATACATTGGAAACATCTCTTCTTAACATAGGCATTTCTCCATATGTTTCTATGATTCGCTTTTCTTTTGGTTGTGAGTATATAAACCCGAGTCGGTAGATGCTGTACCTGAGGAGATTGCAAACACGGAGTCGCCAGAGATGCTGTTGCGTAAGCTACGGAAGAAGCTGCCTGACCTCTTGACGCCTCCAGGGGATGAAGCCGGTGGGACCTGGGAACCAAAAGGTCAATGGTGATGAAACTCGTGGATATTCCCCTTGGATGAAACACACAATTATTGGTAAGATCTCAGTCCTCCTCAATGATCCAGTGTGTAATGTCATCATTCTATTATGATAAACACCCGGGACCCATTCGCCACCAAAGGTTTTTTTCGACATCACCATCTCTTACCACTAACTTAGCACAGAATATATTCGTGACTGTGAAGCTATTTTAGGATCATGTTAAACGAAGCTATGGTAGATGATGGGTCCACGGTATTTATTATAGTTTGTTTGTTTGTTTAATACCGCGCTCAGCAATATTCCAGCAATATCACTGCGGCCTGTAACTAATCAAGTCTGGACCAGACAGTGATTGACATCCTGAGCATTGATCTACGTAATTGGGATACGAAGAAATGCATCAACCAAGTCAGTGAGCCTGACCAACCGATCATGTTAGTCACCTCTTATGACAATCATAGTTGCCTTTTACGACAAGCATGTTGCCTGTCCATCTTCAAAGTTACCTGCCCGCATTCAGACATCATAAATATTGAAAAGTTGCGAAAAATAAGAGACAAATCAAGTCTTGATTCATTAGAAATTATGCAAACAATTACTTGAGAATCTATAAGGAGTTATAATAAAACAGAATACGTAAGTAGTCTTAATATTTTCCGCCAGACAGTCGGGCGAGTCGAGGAAAATGTCATGATGCCTGACAGAAAACTTACCAGCCACGGGCCGGCGAGCAGGCAGTTTTTTCGGACACTGACGATATGACTGACACAATGCTGATGCGACATTACTTTGAACTCACTCATGCTCAATAACTTTGTGACAATCCTACTTACCACGTTTATATCTACAGAATCAATGGAGTTGGGTGACTGTGGGATGGGGTCGTGGGAGTTGAAGCTGCCATAGCGTTGCTGTATTTCCTGTGTATTGCTGTCGTCATCGTTGTGTGTCGCCATGTCATCATCTCCAGTGTGGGCGGGGTCCAATATTTGTCTACAAAACAGAGAGAAACAGATGATGAACGTTCAAACTGTCTGAGTGAAAGAATCATGTTTGTCTCTTTATGCCACAGTCGACAAAGTAGTTCTATACTGTGCATAAAAAGTTTGGGATCATGAATATCTTTGGAGGCACTTTTATGAAATTGTGTCTTCACTACCATAAAATATCACTGAAATGATTAATGATCCCAATGTGTTTTGTTCAGTATACACCACACAAATAACAACTTGTGAATAATGAAGTCGAGACCTGACAAACCTTCTCAAAATTAAACTTGTCAGAGGGGTACACAATATATGTGATCTAGACTACCAGGTTGTCATATTTTCATTTTCATATTACCATGGTTCCATGTAAAAAATAATACCCGGCAATAGCGATCAGCTGCTTCGCTAGATTCCAAGAAAACGTGCGTACAGCTGATTGCTGTGTCCGGCTTAGTTTACAAGAAAATACACAAGGTAATCTTAATCCCTGGATATAAAACAATGCCTAGCAGAACAAAAAATACAATTTAAACGGTAAATCAACATGTCTGGTGATTTTTTATCTCAAATTTCGAATTTGTACTGACCAAGTTTCTCATCACCCGTTCGTTTGCCGGACTTCGCTAAAGGGGTACGGTGTAATTTTTTTTCTGCGCTTGGTATTCAATTTTTTTTTCTCCAAACTTTTGAATCCACTAGAGGGGGTGTGCGCATTATACATGGGTGCGCACTATACTCAAGAAATTACGGTAGGTGGCTGAGTGGGTTAGATCGCTGACTTTGTGCTGGCAATTAGGTGCCTCACTCTGGCAGTGTGGGTTCGAATCCCTGACGGGACTCCACCCCCAAAAGTACTAGAATCTGTAGTTTACTGAGGAAGTGTTATCCCAAATATAACACTGGTTACTTTTCAAACTTACCATTGCATTTTTAATGCTGCCAAGTATATTGGTCCTGCATGTGATTGTCACTTGACTATGACTATGAACTAATAATGAATTATGAAATTTCAACACAATTAATCAAATTAAAATCAGATCTTTTACTCCAATTGGAACTTCTCTGCTTTAAGATCTGAGGACACCGCCATAGAAGGTCGTGACAGTGAACACTGACCAAACTTTGACCAGAGTCTGAGCCAGACAATCCAGTGATTGACATCATGAGCATCAATCCACGATGACATTGTCAGCCAAGTCAGCGAGCCTGACCCCCCGATCCCCTTAGTCATCTCTAATGAAAAGCATAGTTGCCTTTTACGGCAAGCATGGTTTGCTGAATTTTACCCCGAATCATCACAGGTCTACAGATGCACAATGAACAGTCATTATGTTCATTGTGGACATTCGGGAAAGTTTGTTTTCAAGATACAGAAATCAGGAATGTTGGGCTTCACACATTGTACCCATGTCGGGAATCGAACCCGGGTCTTCGGCGTGACGAGCGAACGCTTTAACCACTAGGATACCCGACTGCCCCTATCCTCTGGAAGGGCTGTCAGAACTTTGTGTAGAGAAAAATGATACCGGAGTAAAGATCTGATTTCAATGCAACTGAACACAATGCACATCTCACCTATCAAAGTTTCCTGATTCTCTTTTTGTGATGCGGACCCCGGACACCACGGATTTCACTGAAAGAAAACATCACGTGATCTTTACAACAAACAATGATGACATCAAATACATCACACGGACAACCTGTCCAGGGCAGTGTTGTAGTTGGAAATTGGAATAAATTTTACCCATTTGTAAGAAATGTTTCAAAATGAACATGTTTCATTTTATATGACTTCTTTAAAAACTTCTGTCATTACTGTCCATTCCTAATTAACAGGTTCGACATTAACACATCAATGCAGATAAAGGGACACTGCTTTGAACAAAATTTTAGTTTTATCCCAGCAGTTATGGTAAACTACGTTTATAACGAACACGCTTATAACATACTGAGTGAGTGAGTGAGTATGGTGTTACGCCGCTTTTAGCAATATTCCAGCAATATCACGGCGGGGGGACACCAGAAATGGGCTTCACACATTGTACCCATGTCGGGAATCGAACCCGGGTCTTTGGCGTGACAAGCGAACGCTTCAACCACTAGGCTACCTGACCACCCCTTATAACATACTGACTGATATAACAACTGCTATTTGGTCCTGGCCATTTGCTGTATATATGCTCATAACAAACGCAGTTATAACAAACTAGAATTAGTGGTCCCTTTGAGTTGGTTATAAGCATAGTTTACTGTATATTCCACATGTCAGCTTGACAGAGCACTAAGTGACTCAGCTTGTAGATGTTTGTTGTTTAAGCTGCAGTAAGCAACATTCCAGCTCATGGTAAATAAATTGAGTTTGACCAGACAATACGTAACGGTTTAATGCCAGTTTAATGGTACTAGCCTGTGATACCATGCCACAGTTTGACAAGGATACCCACTCAGAAACATTTATACTGACTCTGATACCTCGCCAGCCAGGGTAACAATAATGTCCCTTTTTCAAATCTTTTGGTACGACGCGGACAGGATCAACCAACGACAGAGGCTCCATCCACTAGGCCACAGAGGCGGTTTTAGTGCTATTAAATAATCCTATTATATAATCAGGATAAGCTGCAAGGTGATCAGCAGATCCTGGCAGACATAACCCTGCATAGCATATTGCAGCACATCTTCCCAAGGCAAGGAAGGTCACCGACTCCAAAAGTAAGGTTTCCACTTTTCTGAACTAGGATGAAATTTCTGGGCTCTATCGCCGCGCCACCAGTAACTTTCATGAGTAATGTCCCTTCCATGTCCCCAATTGACCAATCAGATTCCACCTCTCATATCACTTGCATTTGCTTAAAACAAAATGGTGGCACCCAGTGAAGATGATCTGATAAGTTGATGGTGCACATGTGCATATCCTGCAATCGATCGAAATCTGCACAGCAGTTTATGAACCAGATGTTGATTACGTTACACAATTTTGATTGGACTACACAGGCTTGTTACTCTAGCCAAAATATAACTCTAAAATTGCAGCCTTGTTCGGCAAGGGTGGGAACTGGACTTATATAGTCAGTTAATTCCCTTGCCTCAGGAAGATGATTGCAGCACCTAAGAATAAGACCACGAGGACAATCTGCAATCTGCAGTGTTACCCAATCATCAAATGATTGGCTGAATGTTGCTTTTAGCAATATTCCAGCAACATAACTGCAGGGGACACCAGAAATAATCTTTGCATAGAGAACCCATGTCAAGAATCAAACCCAGCTTTCTGTGTGAGGAGCAACTGCTGTAACAATCGCCCTACTAGTCATTAAAGTTTCACACATAATGAGTCAGTGAGTATGGTTTATTCCGCTTTCAGCAATATTCCAGCAATATCATGGCGAGGTACACATGGTACACCAGAAATGTGCTTCATACATTGTAACCATCTGAGGACATGAACCCGAGTCTTCGGCATGGTAAGCGAACACTTTAACCACTAGGCTACCCCACCACACATAATGACACATGAAAAATCACTCAAAAAGCTCTAGGAACATGGGAACATTCTTATAGAGGGCATGCAAGAATGTCCACCAAGCTGCAGGAATAATATCAAACAAACAAAATAATGAGATCAAGTTCATGACACAAAAAAAGGTAAAAATGGTGCTGCAACTTCTAATTCATAGCTTAACCAATGACTCAGAACAAGCAAAACCAAAACAGAGGGAACGAAGAAATCAAAACATAAACTGCAAGCTCTGCAACAAACCAAATCCAGAGATAATGGAATTTGCTGTCTACAAACTCAAATAATAATCTACAAGAACAATATGGTGGAAAAGAACCATTTACAGGACAACTAGTTAACAGGAAACCAACATACCAACACAGAGGTGAACCCTCTGTTAAAGTACGCCTCATACGCTGCAGGAGAGAAATATCACAAATTGTTATCAAATCTAGACATCTGACTGGCCGCACAACATGTTGTTAAAAGTTGTGTTCAGTCAAAATATACACTCCCTGGGATTGTGAAATATTATTGTGCGTCCCGAGGATGCAGTACATGTATATTTCATTCTACGTCCACTCCCTACATTTGAGTGTACTGGACATACAAATGTGCATCTCGTAAAACCCTGCACGCATAACACATATTAACAATATGTGTAACAAAACTTGGTATCTGTATGTTTTAGTACTTGTCAGGAGTGAGTGAGTATGGTTTTACGCTGCTTTTAGCAATATTCCAGAAATATCCGTCGGGGGACACCAGAAATGGGCTTCACACATTGTACCCATGTCGGGAATCAAACCCGGGTTTTTGGCTTGACGTCCGAACGCTTTAACCACTAGGCTACCCGACCGCCCCGTACTTGTCAGGAAGACAGTTTTGTGACCTCAGTTGCATGATGAATAAATGAAGAATAAATGAGTGAAATACAAGCTTGTGTTATCCCAGTGCTGTCTACCTGGCCAGTAGAAACCCATTCAAGTTGGTGTATGTGCAGTGTTGGAAATAGACATTGGCCCGTAGGCCTGAGGCCAACAGATTTGTGCTCGGGCTGATAGTCTTAAATTTCAGCAGTTTATTTAAGTTATTATTTATCAAACATTATTTAAGCAATGTGATAAACATAACTTCCATATTTATATTTGTTTGTTTGTTTGTTGTTTAACGCCACACTCAGCAATATTCCAGCTATATGACGGCGGTCTGTAAATAATCGAGTCTGGACCAGACAATCCAGTGGTTGACTTCATGAGGATCGAACCACGCAATTGGGATACGATGACATGCATCAACAAGTCAGCGAGACTGACCACCTAATCCCATTAGTCGCTACGAACAGCAGGATTAGACCTTTCAAATGGTGTAGGCCAAGTACATGTAGTCGCAAAGATATTTTACAAGTTGAAAATTTCCTGATAAATGTATGCTTTATCTTTCACCACCGAGTCTTTGGGAACTTGGTTTAATAGCATTAAAAGCTATGGGTTGACTGGATGTGTTTTGTAATTTATATTGCAAGAGTAGGTCTTCCTGTTTCAACTTAAATGTTTGGGCCTACAGTTTTTTCCACTGGGCCTACAGTTTTTTCCACTGGCCCTACAGTTTTTTCCACTGGGCCTACAGTTTTTTCCACTGGGCCTACAGTTTTATAAATGTGCTGGCCCTTAAGGCTCTGAGTTTACTCTGCTGAGTTTCAGACACTGTGTATGGGTGTATTCATGATGCTTGTCAAGTCACAGATGACAGCTGAGGTGTAAGTTTTGTTCTCAGCAATATTCCAACAACATAACAGCTGCCTGTAAACAATCACATGTGACCAAACAATCCAAAGATTGACATTGTGAATACCAATTCACAAATTTTGGGTACGAAGATGGGAGACCAACAACCCAATCTATTGAGTTGCCTCTTACGAAGCAGGGCATGTTGATGGGCCCAGTTCTGAGGATGGACTGGCAAGTCACCATCAATAAATGCTTGACAGTTGTTAAGTTTGTTCCAATTGTCATTAATAGGGTTAACAGGAAATATCTAGCTGAACATAGGTCTAAGGATGTTCAAGATTTTTCAGTCTGTAAAAGGTGAGGTGAGGTGAAATTGAGTTTAACGTCGCGTCCAAGATTATTGCACTTATATAGCGACATGCATGCACATGTGTGTGTGGCTGCTTGTACTAGTCCGGACTGATGCCGATTTATAGTGCTAGCACACTGAGATACCATGCCGCAGTTTAACATGAATACCCCACTCAGACACAGTATACTGACTCCGAGCCGACCAGTCCTTGTTTTAGCCCCTTAATGCTGAGCGCCAGACAGGGTAACAACAAGTACCATCTTTTAACGTCTCTTGGTATGACGTCAGTCTGTAAAAGTCCTCCAGCAATTACAATGACACACAATCCACATCACATTACACATCATCCAATGATACAACCTTCGAAATACAAAAAATGTCCTCAATGTTACTTACGTAAGCAATATGTCATATTTGCATAAAAAATCACGTGTTAATAGTGCATGGACCAGAGATTGACAATTTGATCAACGTCCATGTACGATGTCAGAGGCAGACCAGCCATTAGAATACCGTAGTCGACGTAATAAGCAGCCCAGGGTGCTCTCAAAATTAGACATAGGGGGCTCTTATTAGAATATAATTTTGGTGAGAAAAAAAAACAGAGTTGAAAGATTGTAAATTTCATGGTTTATGCTGACAGCCTGAAATGATATAAAAGAAATGTCGGTGCGTATTATACACGACAGATATATTTTCTAGAATTTAATTGCCCATAATTAAGGGTGCATATAACACACGGGTGGTATTATACACAAATAAATAAGTCTTGTGTTCATTGATCAATCGGAAAGGGTGCTAATTGGGATTGTTCACTAGCCAATATAATAGCAAATATCGCCGTGGGCACTTATTAGAGCGGGGTGCTTATTACATCGAATACGGTAAGTTGCCTCTTACAACCAGTGTAGTTTCTTCAGGACTAATTCTAACCCAGAATCCCCACGATGCACTCTTACTCTATGAAGTAAACAAGAACTTTTGCTCTTACTGTATTGGTCCCTCCCAGCTTTGCGTTTCTTGAGGCATCTCCAGATGATGATGGCTAGGAGGACGAGGAGGAAAATCCCCCCTGTGAGAGCTCCGGCCACAATCACTGGCAGGTTTCGCCTGGAGTTCCCACCAGGGTCAGTTAACAAATTAGTAGTTGTGTTGACAGAAGCATCTGTTGATATGTCAGTAGTTAGTGGGGGAGGATCATCTGTCAGAGTCTCGGTGTCTGTTCAGGAATAAATAAGTAGCATTGATATCAACATAATAAAGAGATTGAAATATTTGTTAGTAAACAAAGCATGGGCAAGACAGATTCTACCAGTCCCTTATACAAGTCAGCAGGAATCTTCTGGCCCGATATTCTAACATGAATCTGCAAAATACTTGATTCTGATAGGTATATCAGAGGTTTCAAATCTCAATAACCACCTCTGATTGAAACAGCTGATTTGAAGACTGCATCACTACTGCATGTTCAGTGCAAAATAGAACTTAGCATCGTTAAATCTACAGGTAACCAAATCTACATTGAAAACACAAGTGTGTTTATCTCCTAATTTCAGCTTGATAAACAACAGAAGTACAGCACCATCAACAATATTAACAACAATAAATGTCTGAAATATTCACCAGTAACTAGAGCATGAGCAATACATCAATGACTTGACCCTCAAAATAACTGAATGAATGAGTGAGTTTGTTTATTTATTTCCTGTTTTACGCTGCAGTCAGAAATATTCCCCTAATAACCAACACGCACAAATCAGTGGTTGATATCATGAGCAACATCCCATGTCATCACTGCAATCAATGGACAACAGAGCGTCCTATTTTAACCCAGGCAGTGTTGCTTAGTGAGCAATAAATAATTAAGTCTGAGCTGGCAAACCAGTGACAGAAGGTATGAGAAACTATCCAGATCATCACAGGGTTAGAAATTAACACTACCCCACAAGCCCGGGGTTAGTGAAAATTCCTGTGAGCTAGCACAAATTTCCACACTGGGGTACAATGAGACACAAGCCAAGACAGCCCCTTGTTAGTCAGCTTTCATGACATGTATGATCTATTCTAACCCATAATCCACACAAGAATTTATCTAAATCTACTGTAAAACGTGAAATTAATGCGTATCCAAAAGAATGCGACCGCTGGCCCCTAGCCAAAAATGCGACTCAATATGAATGCGACACCCCCCTCCTCTCAAGCATCAGTGGATTTATATCTAAACAAATTGTCCTCTGTCAGGTTTACAGGAGAATCCTCACCTTAATCCAACCTTACATTAATCCAATCACACACCAAATAGCACTGCTTATTAGCGCTGAGTAGAGTACTTCAGCTAAAACAATACGTGCGCGCTGGCTCGTGTCGGCCTTTGATGTAGTTACAAAGAGCAAAGACACCGTGTTGGGTGGCGTCTGTCTGGACTTGCAGGTGTGATCATGAGTGAGTAGAATGCTTGTCTTGACCCCAGCAGTGACAATTCACAGGATGTGGAATACATAGTTGTTTGTTTTCAGCGTATGTCTAAGTTGGTATTTCTGCTATCCAAAATGTCTTATTGTTGATATAAATGCGATGTTTAACAATGCGAGCAAAGACCACTCGCATTTTTCGAATTTAATTCATGCTCGCGTTAATATCAAGATTTACAGTATCTGTTTTTGAGTCCAAGGTAGACATAAATTTTGAGATCAAGAAATGGACATGGGGGTCCCCAAGAGAGTTAACTGACTTTAAAATTCCAGTTTCCATCCCTGCCGAACTAGGCTGGTATTATAGAGTTATATTTTGGCTGGACTAACGAGTCTATGTATAGTCCAATCAAAATCGCGTAAGGAAATCGAAATCCGGTTTGTCAACTATCGTGCAGATTTCGGTCGATTGCAGGATTTGTGAAGCATGTGCACCGCCAACTTGGCGTCAGTAGATATTTTCAAATCTTTTCATGTTTTTATCAAGGTGCTCACGTGATTTGATGTACTTTGCTATGTCAGACCTATTTTATCACAAAATAGATCTTGATTATTGATCCGATTGCTTGACTGGGCGCCACCATTTTTTTAAAACAAATGCAAGTGATACAAGAGGTGGAATCTGATTGGTCCATAGGAGAGGCATAGAAGGGACACAAGTCGTAAAAACCACTGGTGGCGCTACGATCGAGCCCAGGAATTCCAGCCTAGTTCAGCAAGGGTGGAAACTGGACTTTTATAGTCAGTTAACTCCCTTGCCTCGGGAAGATGGAGGGGTCCCGGGCAGGCGACATGATGTACTTCATTGGATTTCAAAAAAATGTACTGATGTCATATCAAGGCAATGATCAGATGGGATTTCAATGCCTGATTGCAGACTTGGTTGGTTGGTAGGTTTGTTGTTTAACGCCGCACTCAGCAATATTCCAGCTTTACGACGGCGGTCTGTAAATAATTGAGTCTGGACCAGACAATCCAGTGATTAATATCATGAACATCGATCCACGCAATTGGGATCGATGACATGCATCAACCAAGTCAGCGAGCCTGACCACCCGATCCCGTTAGTCGCCTTTTACGACAAGCATAGTCACCTTTTACGGCAAGCATGGGTTCTACCCCGGAATCTTCACAGGTTCCTGATTGAAGAAAACAAACTAGTGGCACTCTGAACTTTCTTACCAGAACAGACGTGTTAGTCATGTGTAATATGAGAGCTGAAATTGATAAATTTCTGATTCGAACAGCTGTACTGTTTTGTGACTTGCATTGTAGATTATTTCGCCAATTCTCAATCTGTATGTGCAAGTATGGAATATTTCCCATCCGGCAAAACTCTGACTAGACAGTCAAAAAATCTGCAGATGATAACCTGTGACATGATAACCTGTGACATGATAACCTGCAACAAACAGTTACATACATGTTGTACTGATCACAGCATACTGGATAGGCCCCTCCCCGGCAACAGTTGCCGCGGTAACCGAGACATTATAGACAGTGGCTGGCGTGAGGTCAGTGATGGTGGTGTTCTGTTGGTCTGTCTGATATGATTGTCCTTGACCTTGGTGACCGACTGGAAGCCCTGGCAAGACTGTAAAGGAGACAAGTATCAATTGAAATGGCAATCTCATTAAAATCAAACCTTAGTCCTCGCTACCGCTAAACAAAGATCTGAGGACATCCCATTACGGGTCACGTCAGACCGACGTTTTGCGAACTTTGACCGACCAAAGGAATGACTGACAAGAAGTCGACATTAGCCAATCAGAAGGCAGCTTTCTCATGCATTACGGCACTAATTTCAAATTGGCTACTACACTTCGAAACATATTTTGAAAAATATTCGATTAAAAAGTTGAAACCTGAACAAAAGAACATTCTGGAATGGCTAAGAGATGGTCTAGACAGTATGGGTTCAGTCGTTAAGCCCGTAACTATCATCCGGAATACCCCGTGTTAAGGTTTTTGACGATGCATGAAATGAAATCACATTCCGACTGTCACTTTCATGATCTAGTAAGCGACGCTCTGATTGGTCAGATGAAAGGTCGTTCTAACGTGACCCCTAATGGGATGTCCTCAGATCTTTGTTTTGTGATAGCGAGAACTAAGATATGATTTTAATGAGATTGTTGAAATGGGGACGTAGTGGAGAATTGCTATGCCAGATTTAGCCTTACTGCCGGCATATCACAGCTGGGGACACTGTGATGGGCATAGAGTATCCACTTTGGGAACATGTACATATACTCACCAACAAAAGAAACGCAAATACCATACATGTTGGTTAATATTTGAAGAATTAATCATATTCAAGAAATTTTAGATAGCACAAACAATCAAACTGGTATGTTTTGTGTCAACCGACACTCATGAACGCACACAAACATCTCTACAGTGTGTCCCCAGCCCATACCCACCCTGCACTGTGTCCCTGGATCTCTCTACTGGCGTGTTCCCCACACCAACATATCTACAGTGTCACCAGCCCATACCCACCCTGCACTGTGTCCCTGGAGCTCTCTACTGGCGTGTTCCCCACACCAACATCTCTACAGTGTGTCACCAGTCCATACCCACCCTGCACTGTGTCCCCGGATCTCTCTACTGGCGTGTTCCCTACACCAGCATATCTACAGTGTGTCACCAGTCCATACCCACCCTGCACTGTGTCCCCGGAGCTCTCTACTGGCGTGTTCCCCACACCAACATATCTACAGTGTCACCAGCCCATACCCACCCTGCACTGTGTCCCCGGATCTCTCTACTGGCGTGTTCCCCACACCAACATGTCTACAGTGTGTCACCAGTCCATACCCACCCTGCACTGTGTCCCCGGATCTCTCTACTGGTGTGTTCCCCACACCAACATATCTACAGTGTGTCACCAGTCCATACCCACCCTGCACTGTGTCCCCGGATCTCTACAGGTGTGTTCCCTACACCAACATATCTACAGTGTGTCACCAGTCCATACCCACCCTGCACTGTGTCCCTGGATCTCTCTACTGGCGTGTTCCCCACACCAACATATCTACAGTGTGTCACCAGTCCATACCCACCCTGCACTGTGTCCCCGGATCTCTCTACTGGCGTGTTCCCCACACCAACATATCTACAGTGTGTCACCAGTCCATACCCACCCTGCACTGTGTCCCTGGATCTCTCTACTGGCGTGTTCCCCACACCAACATATCTACAGTGTCACCAGTCCATACCCACCCTGCACTGTGTCCCCCGATCTCTCTACTGGTGTGTTCCCTACACCAACATCTCTACAGTGTGTCCCCAGCCCATACCCACCCTGCACTGTGTCCCTGGAGCTCTCTACTGGCGTGTTCCCCACACCAACATATCTACAGTGTCACCAGTCCATACCCACCCTGCACTGTGTTTGTGGATCTCTCTACTGGTGTGTTCCACACACCAACATATCTACAGTGTGTCACCAGTCCATACCCACCCTGCACTATGTCCCTGGATCTCTCTACTGGCGTGTTCCCCACACCAACATCTCTACAGGGTGTCACCAGCCCATACCCACCCTGCACTGTGTCCCCGGATCTCTCTACTGGCGTGTTCCCCACACCAACATATCTACAGTGTGTCACCAGCCCATACCCACCCTGCACTGTGTCCCCGGATCTCTCTACTGGCGTGTTCCCCACACCAACATATCTACAGTGTGTCACCAGTCCATACCCACCCTGCACTATGTCCTCGGATCTCTCTACTGGTGTGTTCCCCACACCAACATATCTACAGTGTGTCACCAGTCCATACCCACCCTGCACTATGTCCTCGGATCTCTCTACTGGTGTGTTCTCCACACCAACATATCTACAGTGTGTCACAAGTCCATACCCACCCTGCACTATGTCCTCGGATCTCTCTACAGGTGTGTTCCACACACCAACATCTCTACAGTGTGTCACCAGTCCATACCCACCCTGCACTATGTCCTCGGATCTCTCTACTGGTGTGTTCTCCAGACCAACATATCTACAGTGTCACCAGCCCATACCCACCCTGCACTGTGTCCCCGGAGCTCTCTACTGGCGTGTTCCCAACAGGGACGTATGTGATGGTGTAGTGCCGCAACTCCCCGTTCAGCACCTGTGGGGGGAGCCACCATATCGATATACTAGTGTTGGTGGCTGCATGCTCCAACTGTTCCACAGGACCTGGAACTGACGGAACAAAAACACTGATCAGCTGGCCTTGTGTCTTACAGACTATATTCGGAATACTATGGTGATGAAACCTTTGTTATGTTGCAGGCTATATTTTTAATGTTATTTCGGATTGTTAGAGGCAGTTTATTAAGGCTCTCATAAAATAAACCAATTTTCTTCCAATACTGTTTCCTGGATTCAAGAGCAGAGCACTTGCCTCGGTCAAAACATTGAACAGTGACAAATACTGGAAAGTCATGAGTGCACAGGCTTATGTAATAGGGCCTCTTCGATTTTTTGCTGCCACATATTTTGACCCATTGTATTGCTTTTTATGACTGCATAGCTATCCTGTGTGTTTCAATATAATTTCTTGATTGAATGTTGATCGTGTGTGGTTATTTACCGATTTCACGCTGTCATTGTGTACATACTGACTTCAGGTTAACCGACACACTTCAAGTTGGGAATCAACACCTACACCATTAATAGGCCAAACGTTCAGGGGCCAACCATTTACTTTTAGGGGTGAGATTATTCAGTGATTCTGTTTGAGTCAAGACAATAGGACATTCCTATAATTTTGTCCACTTTTGAAGGGACATTCTCTTATATCATTACAAAAATGGGAAAAATTCTTAGACATTTTGAACAACAATCAGTTGTCCTAGAAAATTATCCTGAAAGACTGTTATTGTTTGAGACAGATAAATTTTCAGTCAGCGCTTCAAAGAGAAATAATCTCAAAAGAGGAGAAAGATAATTTAAATTTTCAACAAAGGTATATTTTTCACATTAGCTTGACAGATTCAACCAGGCCTTTCAACAAGTCATGTTCTATTTTCAGTCAGCTGCCTGATACTCACTGTCTGGGAGCGTCTTCACTTCTACTGGTTCCGAGAACGGACCTAGCCCTGGCATAACTTGCAGAGTGTAAACAGCAGCACGGACACTGTAGTCAGTCCAGGGAGTCAGCTGGCTGGAATACACACCACCATGATGTTAAAATAAAAAATAAATACATTCTAAAGAGTGAATTACTGTAGCTTCGTGTCCAAAAGCTGAAAAAATCACTCACAATTAAGCCATTCATTATGGCTTAACCCAGTTTTAACCCTCGGTAGAATTTATGGTATTTCTCGTCAGTTACCAAGGTATTCTGGTATCAAGAAAGTTGTTCATCCAGACAATATTTCGGAATACGCAAGTCTCTGGTTAAAGCAAGGTTGAACAACATGATAACTAGTCCCCACTAGACACATGACACAAAGACAGATCCATCTTTTGTCTTGACTTATCGCTCGGCTCGCAATAAAACTTTGGTAATTATCAAATGCTGAATTTTATTGAAAATATTCTTAATAATTTTTCCTTCAATAAGTTATTTCTTATGAATATTAGCCTTAAATAAATCCAGCACTTAAATTTTCTTATTTTGCCTTCTGGATCTTGCCTTCTGTAAACTTAGCAACACAACTTTTCTTGCCATATAAAGAATAATTTTGGACTTAGAATTAAAAGATATTTCATTCATTCCCTTTGATATGGTTGGTTAGTTGGTTGATTTGTTGTTTAACGCCACACTCAGCAATATTCCAGCTATATGAGGGCGGTCTGTAAAATAATCGAGTCTGGACCAGACAATCTAGTTATTGACATCATGAGCATCGATCCACGCAATTGGGACCGATGACAACCATCAACCAAGTCAGCAAGCCTGACCACCCGATCCCGTTAGTCGCCTCTTACGACAAGCAAAGTCGCCTATTACGGCAAGCATGGGTTGCTGAAGACTTGTCCTTTGATATGGATACCAAAGGAACCAGCAAGTATTTCTGTACACGCGAACTTGGCGATTGCTTGCCCAGAATGGAGCTTGAAGTTTTGAATTACAGGCCATCTGATCCATCTAGTCCCATCTCATGACCAGCATAGACTGGTTGGGACCAGCTCTAGCCGGTACCCTGATGGGGTGACAGCAGTGGTTGACGGTCATCCTACTGGACCTGCCTGATATTGACGGCGGTGTCGGAGATGTTGGTGATGGTGATGTTGCTCCATGCTGTGGACGTCCCACCCTTGTACTGTACCACACAGCCAGACAAGACAGCGCTCCACTCCCTCACTGGGGGTACCTGGCAGTCAACATCATGTCACAATCACGATATGCAACTCTGAGTCAATTAACCAAATATTTATTGTATATACTAGGGCTGTAATGATTTATCGTTACCTATGATATCATCAATACTTAGGAACACAATACTTGAATGGTCAGTTTGTGGGATTGTGATGCACTATAAATAGAACAGAAACAGATAGAGTTACCTCCCATAATAGCAGAAGTAGCATAGCACCACCTGCAAGCATGGCAGAACACGAGGACATGGTGGCTGAGGACTCGTCAACTAACTGTTACATTTATTAACTATCTCTTCATTTAAAACTGCATTTTTCTTGTGGTTTTCTTTGTTAGAGTTTTTTAGATAAATGTATGAATAAAGAGGTTTAGAGCTGTAATTATGTCATATAATCATTCCTTACTATTTGAAGCAGTGTTTCGTGATACCAGTAGTATCATCAGCCCATACAATGATACAAATCGTATCGCAAGACAGCAGGTGATACTCAGCTCTCCTATATACTACACAAAAAATTATGATTTAAGAAAACAAGTACCCGAAGAACCGACCCCCTGGGATGACCATGACCTTGGACTGGTCACATGACATAATAATACTAGTACAGTGCAGCCTTACTAACAATCCTCCTTCTGTAACTGGAATACAAACAAAACATCTCAGTGGACACATACTGACCTCCCAGGTGATTCCCAATCCAGTAGAAGACTTCGAAGTAACTTGTAGGTTTTCAGGGGAATTTGTTGGAGCTGACAAAAATAAAGGTCAGTCTGTTACAATCATATATTTCTAGACATAAGTTTTAGATTTTATGATGAGGTGACAATGTGAGGACAAATAGTTTAACATCACGTTTAAGATTATTGCACTTAAATAGCAACATGCATGCACGTTTGCATGGCTGCTTGTACTAGTCCGGACTTAAGCTGGTTTTATAGTGCGAGACCACTGAGATACCATGCCGCTGTTAAACATGGATACCACTCACAGAGACATTATATTAATGCTGAGCTGGCCAATCTTTATTTTATCCCCTATCAAGCACCAGGCAGGGTAACAAGAGGTACCAACTGATGATGTATTTTTGTATGACGCGACCGGCAATTCAAACCATCGCCTATTGCTACACCATGGAGGCATTGTGGTTATATCATGGAGTCTCCTACACTATAGAAAATTAAACCTTACAGACTTCTGCTACTTGTCTTGCATGAGTCAGTGACTGACTGTGTTTGGTTTGACCACACTCAGCAATATCCTAGCTAAATCACGATGGCCTGTAAATATTGTGGTCTGGATAAGAGCATTCAGTGATTGATATTGTGGGCAACGATCAATCACATGAAATCTATCTATTCACCAAGAATGACCACCTGATCCATTTGGTCATCTCTTACAACAAGCATAGGTTTGATGGGGACCTATTTTAACCTGGAATCCCAACAGTCGGCTTTATGCAATATTCCAGGCACATCACAGTTGGACTAATCATCTTGAAGTATGTTCAACAAAGGCCTCTGCATGCATAACATATGCATGCAAAGACATTATTTTAATTTGGTCTCATTTAGAAAAATGTTACGTCCCCTCAATAAAGTATTATTTTTCTGGTCTTTCGGGTTTGGCCAAAAGTGAAACAACCACGACTTTGTTTTTTATTTTATATTTTTGACAAGCTCATTAGCTTGATTCACTAACACTAACCTACACATTACATTATTTGTTTTCTGGAGAGAGAAAAGTAGTTGTCTCTGGTATTAAAATGCACTTTGTTTAGCAGTAACTTCATAAAGGTTCAGAAGAGCGATATCTAAAATTGCATTTGACAAGGCAAAGAGGATGAATATTCCTCCCCAACCCAAACACACAACTTGAACAAGAAGCATTCTCAGTCATGTGCAATTTCTACTTTTGGGGGAAAACAGTTTAGAGTTACCTGCCCTTGGTTAAACAAAAAATGCTGATGCAAAGAGATGAAGATGACAGTGGACAGGGACCGGAAACATAATACTGTTTGGATGAAGGTCCCTACTTTCTTTACATTAAGGAATATGGCCATAGCCATGAAACCGGTCCTGTCTTTGCTTGATATGGTCACATCACAATACCAATGTGGGAAGAATAAATCATTATCCCCGTCATATAGGTTTTCAGACGTTTTAAGAAACACTTGTAATTTCCTTGTTAATCACAAGAAGAACTGTAATACATCTCACTCACTTATAAAAGACTACTTTATCTTAAAAACAGGTCATCATCCCTTGCCACACCCCTTGTTTTAGCGCGACAAACATGGCCGTCTGAAAACATATGATGTCTGAAAACCTATGACACGACGATACTAATTTCAAAAATGATTTTCAGAATTTATATATGTATTGTGTCAGTACATGACATCACAATACCATACCATACTGCTATCATCATCAAGCATATCACAATGCATCAACAATTGACCGTTACTGTCAACATTATCAGTAGTAATTTAGTATCAAGTCAAGAAAAGTTCACCTACTTTCAGGAAGTGTCTGAACAAACACTGGATCGGACAACGGACTCCGACCAGCGGAGTTTTCAGCCTCTATCACCAGAGAGTAGTTCTTCCAGGGAGACAACTCTGTGAGGTTGACGGTGGTGGTAAAGTTGAGGATGTGTTTGTCCGGGTACAGAGTATGATACGGCAGCTGTCTGTACCTCACTGTGTACATGGTGATGGGGCCATTCTCGTCTCCAGCAGCAGGTGGCTGCAACACGATAGTCATCAATACCATCCTCTAGTATCTAGGGTATATTTGACATTTTATGATAAGAACCCTGGAACCATTCACCAGCACAGCTTAGTCTTAAATCAAATTACCTAAATTGGCCATCCAATCAAATTACATTGTTTTTTCATCAGCAATGCCCCATTCAGTCATACGATGTCACACAATCAACCAAGTCACCAAGCCTGACCACCCATCCATTTAATAGCCTCTCTACACAAGCATAGGCTGCTGGTTATCTATTTTAATCCAGAATTCAGGATTCAAACCTGGCTTCATCATCGTAACAAGTGAACACACTAACCACCATGCCACCTGTTTGAGGGCAGTATCTCCAAGACTGTTCTTAAGCATTAAGTCAAATGTGTCAGCAGTTAAGGTGATAATCAACCAAATCAATTTCTATATGACCATCCGATCCATTTAGACACCTTTCAAAATAAAGCACCGGTTGTTGGGGACCTATCTTAACCTGTTCCCTTAATAAAATACACATTTAAAAGAATCCTGGATAGAAACAGGCATGAGTTCAAAGCATGCCTGATGTGTACACAAAATTTCAAGAAGAAATATTGAACAGTTCATGAGGTGTGCTTCAGATACGAAACATGATGGATGATGGTTGGTTGGTTTGTTGTTTTACGCCACACTCAGCAATATTCCATCTATATGATTGCTGTCTGTAAATAATCAAGTCTGGACCAGACAATCCAGTGATTGATATCATGAGCATCAATCTACGCAATTGGGATCGATGACATGCATCAACCAAGTCAACGAGCCTGACCACCTGATCCCGTTAGCCGCCTTTTACAAATATAGTTGCCTTTTACGGCAAGAATGGGTTGCTGGATGATGGAGCCCCATTGATTTCGGCGCCTTAGGTTTGTTGACTGACATTGGGAGTGTACCTGGGTTTGCTACCAAGAATACAGCCCTTCTGTCAATCTGGGTAATGCAGAAGGCTGCAGTGTTGGGGAGTCTTCACATGGGCCCTGAGCTGATGATGAGCCTTACCAGCCTGACTGTACCAGGATCACCCAAACACTCTTTGAGGCATTTTTTATTTTAATCTGTACATAACAATAATAATAGGACATTCACATTTTCACACCACTAAGGGACATGCTCAAAGCGCTATTATTACCCCGGTCACTGGATCAGTGTGCAAAGGACGAACTAGTGAAGATGAAGTATTTCTTGTTGCTATTGGTTACTGTTACCTGCCAGGTGACCTCAACAGCACGGGGACCAACAGCTACTGCAGTCACATGACGGGGACCGGAGGCGGGAGCTGCAAGCAGGAAATCAGAAAGTTTATGTGCTTGCATGTGTTTGGAGGACAACAACGAAAAGGTGAGGTGAGGTGAAATTTGGGATTAACATCGTGTTCAAGATTATTGCACTTATACACTGACATGCATGCACGCGTGTGTGTGTGAGTGAGTGAGTGTGTGTGTGTGTGTCTGCTTGTACCAGTCCGGACTGATGCTGATTTTATAGTGCTAGTTTGGGCTGGGACGGGTAACTTGGGTACTCGGGTCGGGTGGGAACTGAGAAGGACCCGGGTACCGACAGAACTACCCGAACCCGTGGTTGGTCATGTGATATATTGTTCAATGACAAAAATTATCTTGAACTATATCGTTACACCACAAGTCACTAATGTTGGCATTTCTTTCTGACTATGCACCCAGACGTTTATATGTTTGAATAAAGATAAAACTTCAGTCAACTTCAGTGTATGCATGACCACATCATATATCATATATATATCACAGATCATATATGTGTATCTAAATACATTTTGTCCAGGGCTACAGTCAAACTATTCCCAATCAGACATTTTGTACCTATCTCTTGAGACCTACAATGGATACCGGATAGGGTCGGGTACTAGGTGGGTGGGTACCCGGGTAGTAAATTTGGACTCATCCCAGCCCTATTGCTAGCCCACTGAGATACCATGCCACAGTTTAACATGAATACTCCACACAGACACAGTGTACTCCGAGCTGACCAGTCCTTGTTTTAGCCTCTTAATGCTGAGCACCAGGCAGGGCAATAACAAGTATGACGCGACCGGGGATCGAACCCCGGACCTTCCGCTCTCCTGGCAGACGCTCTACCACTACACCATCGAGGTGGTCAAGCGGAAAAGGACTGATAATGTTTTATCAACATTGTAAAACACAACAGTTACATGTTTTAAGATTTATTTATTTTCAGATTTGTGTTTTCAGTTTGTTTTTAGTATTTGATGCCTGGACAATTTACAATTTTCACTGTCAGTTCCAATTATAATAATTGTTGGCATTGAATAGTAAAAAGAACCTACAAATGTGAAAATATGTAATGTTTACGTGCTAGAAGCTAGCTACAGAACTGATTGACGTACGTGCAGGGCGTGTCTGGAGGGTGAGTGACGGGGAGAAGGGTCCCCACAAGTCCTGTCCCTCGTCACGGTTGGCTGCTCGCACTCTGACCTCGTACTTCGTGTAGGGGTGAAGGTCAAGCAGGTCAAACTCCTGGTTTGGGAGGCTGGGGTCTAAAATCTCCTGAATGTCGTATTCTGCACAAAAAATAAATCATTAATGATTATTTAAAGGATTATTAAAAGTCAGCATGGTTTAAACCCAAGAAGTATTTCAGATATATCAGAGCGTGTCAGCTTGATGTGGGAGGAAAGATCAATCGATGAAGGTATTAGACATATAGTCCTGGTGATGATAAAACGAAACATGATCAGGCATCAGAGAATCAAATCAACAACAAGTACCATCTTTTAATGTCCTTTGGTATAACACCACTAGGACTGAACCACAACCTTCAGCTCTCCAAGCAGCCATTCTATCCACTAGACCATAGAGGCGGTGGCAAGGGGTGTGATGGAGTGGAGGTTCTAAGTGAGGTTCTTTAATTACAATGTTTAATGTCCAGTAACCCTTAAACTGGCGACTGCAACGGTCGCATATGCATGCTATTGAACTTTTATGATGGCGAGTTAGTATACATGTTTAGTCACACTGTGGCTCCTTGGTTTAATACTGATTATAGCTAAAATGGATAGAATTATCATTAAATCGCTCGCATGTTATCAAAAATGAGCGGGCCACTGTAACTTGATAATGTCCTCATATTTCTTGACGACGGGCCATTATCACGCTGCTTTACTTTGCACACATCTCGTGTTATGGTCATGGCAGCAATAGAAGTTTGTATGCTTCTTTATGTTGGGAGGCCCTTTCCTAGGTTGATGGTACACAACTGTTTATTTGGTTACATACTAGTTTGAACAAGCAGAAAAAGACAAAAAAACACCGCCCACCTGCACCATAATTTCAAATGTCATTGCCTGAGAACCAATTCGTTTATTTTCATTAGCCTTTTATTCTGTACAAAATTTGCTGATTGGCTAAATACGACCAATGAGAAAGCATGAGTGATTGAGTGAGTTTGGTTTTACGCCGCTTTTAGCAATATTCCAGCAATATCACGGCGGGGGACACCAGAAATGGGCTTTACACATTGTACCCATGTCGGGATTCGAACCCGGGTCTTCGGCGTGACGAGCTAACCCTTTAACCACGAGGCTACCCGACCGCCCCTAGAAAGCATGAAGCATGATTGTAACACTACACTCCGTACATGGAATAGGCTTGATAGGCATGTCACTATATTATTGTTGATAAGTGGTGCACGAAGTAGGTTGCTGTCAGTGGTAGAACAATAGCGACAAGTGTCATTCAATATTTTGTGTTTTATGATGCACTAGTAAGTGAACTACTGGGGGCTCCTGTTCTACTGGGTCTGTAGAATCTACTAACGATGTTCCAACTGACAAATCCATTGAATCCAGAGCGAGCATCAGTGCTAAAACATCTGTTAGTACTGAATCATTGTCTGTTGTGAGTGAGTGAGTTTGGTTTAATGCCGCTTTTAACAGTATTCCAGTTATATCGCGGTGTGTCAGCTTATTGTGGGAGGAAAGCCCCAAGTGATGCAGGTCTCAGACGTTTACTACTTCAGTGAAACCCACGAGCACGGGTATGGTGCTGACAAACCTCGAAACATAATCGGGGGGAACCGGGATTCGAACCCACAATCATAGGTTTCTGGCATGCCCAAGGGACGCAACTCTGCCCAGCGAATCGCGGCGCCTTAGACGACTGGGCCACCCGTGCCCCCCATTGTCTGTTGTGTGGGGGACAACAAAAATAATGAAAAGTCAGCAAAACAGTCAGCTAGGCCAGTGCCATGTGTATTTCGAGAAAGTTGGCTGAAAGATTTTGAATGGGTTTGATTTATCAAAAGCATGAACGTGATGACTTTGTTCTTTGTGCCACAAATCCAGAATTTGCTGGAACAACAGATTTGGTTAAGGGCCGTTGTAATTTAAAACAAGGAACTATTGTCAAACAGTCACAAAGTGCCAGCCACAGGCTCCGTAGAGACGTAACTGTATTCCAAAAGGCGCCCCAAAAAATCTCCTAAGTGCTTTTGACACTCTGATGAGAAATGATTCAGAAAAACAAAATCAGATCCACAATAACAAGACAATTTACAGTTGTACACGTGTGTAGAACTCACCTGTGATGCCAGCATCTGTTGCCAGCATTTCCCGGTACTGCACCTGGTATTTCCGGATATTCCCGTTCTGCTGTGCCGGCACCTCCCAGGACAGCCTGGCACCACGAGCAGCCGTGGACAGCAGCCGCAACCTCACTGGTGCTGACGGCCCTGACACGGACAATGAACCAGCTTAGGTCAAGTCAAGATTACCACGATTCTCAATGTAATTGTAATCCTACACAGCCTTAGAAATTGGTTTTCGCTCAGACAGTAGTTAGTACACACCACAAAATAATAATTATCAGCAGAAGAAATACGTTTCTTCTGCTGACGTCACTTCCTGTTCGTGCATTTTCTTCTATTTCTTTTGATTATATAATGTATAGTTTATAGACTTTCTGGTGAAGTTGTATTATGGGAATAAAAGCTATAACTATTATTTTAGTTTTGTGGTGTGTTGATAACGTAGGTTTCAGTAAACTAGTCCCAAGGACTAGTGTAAACCTTATTTCACTGGTCCAAGAGTTTGCAGCTAGTCCTGCTTGAACAGGACAATAAATGTCCTATGTGAGCTCCAATTTGAAGCAAAATTTAAGCATTAAGAACTCGTTCAGGATTATAGCCCTTGAATGCTACAAGTCAATGAGGACCACTATCATTGGCTGTTTGCATGTCCTCAGAATAATTTAGTAGTCTCAAGCTAACGGACTAGCGTGAATTTCAAAGGCTGTTACGATATTTTGATAACGCACTGAAACATAATTATTGATAATCACAACATTGGCTTGTTCACATCAACTAATCTACCCGTGACAGAAATTGATAACTATACAATAAATTATATATTTAACTACTTCTCCTATCTCACACTATTCATTTCTTCCTTCTTTTGATCCTTGTGTGGAAACGTGCTAAAACAAAGTTTCCAGCTTCTAAAAACATTTCACCAGAACACATTCCCCACAAGGATCGAAAGGAGAAGGAAAAGATGCATGCTGTGAGAATAGGATAAGTTTACAAATTTTATTTTCTGTGCGTGCCACAGAGCACTCATAAAGATGTTTAGGTTTACTATTGCAATAGCATGGGGTACTATAGCAATACTATTGAAAAAGTTGAAATAGCCAAAATTGTAACCCCACTTTCGGCCACAAAACACAAATTTGCACCAAATTCTTTCTGAGCCCGACTAAAAAAAATATGTAGAAAACAAAAATGAAAGGCAGTGGGTTTTCTAATTGGTCAAACCCCATTTGTGGGGTGAGACCTTTTAAGTAAAATGTTAAAAAACAGTTTATTTTAGATAATTTAGATAATTTATGGATAACAACTTCTTTATTTACAGTAAAGGCGACGTTTCGTTATATTATAAGATCCTTATATCGTTTGTCAAGCAAGGCTGAATAATGAGCATGGTACAGGATATACATAGAAGGTGGAGGAATAACCGTAACAAAAATTACGTACATCAGAGAGATTAACATGAGTAGGTTAAACAGTGACAACAGAACGACAAAAACTGTAACAACATGATGGCCGGAGAACCATAATAAAATACCATAATTAACACCTGTTGAACATTATCTCAAAATCTAATTTACATTTTGAGGAAATTGAAAATCATATTTGAAACTGGAATTACTTTATAAAAAAAAATTTGCCCTACCAAACTGAATTTTTGGGTGAAAAATTCTGACCATGCAATCATGTCAAATACACAAACAGTGACTGAGGCGACCCCTACCTGCTTCTCGTGTGGTGACAGTGCGTGCGTTGCTGGGCGCCCCCAGGCCAGCAGAGTTCTGGGCGGAGATGGTGAAGGTGTACTCGGTGCCAGGGCGGAGGTTCTCCACCTCATAGTGCAGCAGGGTCGGGGGCAATCGCCCGGGAAACGTCACATACTGTGTCTCTGGTCTGCAAATGGACAGGGAATACAAGCAGAGTTTTCACTCAAAACTAAATGCCATTGCATTTCAACAATGCCCAAACAGACTATCAAAAATAAACTTTCATACATCCAAAGTATGGCACCTTTGTACAAAGCGATCTTAGCGCTAAGGTGATCACAACTCCCATAACTAAACAGAAACTTAACAACATTCGTAGTGCTAAGGTTGTTTTGTACAACAACACCCACATAGACCCATTAAGATGAATAGCATTGCTTCAAAAATTTCATATATTTTAAAAGACTTGTCCAGGAACTAGAAGAAAACATATTTCACTAGTCCTGGCTAGTTCCAAACTCCTGGCACCTGATCCCTCTAGTTTCCCTGTATGAGTGACGGCGCTGTCCCTACCTTCTCTTGTAGTTGACAGCGTAGCCGGTGACGTTGGTGTGAGGCTCCTGGGAGTTGGGGATCCACAGCAGCTCCACAGACGACATGGACAGCGTAATCGCATTCGACAGGACCGGCGGCTTCGGGGGCTCTGAGTTAACACAAGTTGATCATTACTGCTACATCATGTCTTGCACTTGTTTGTTGGCTGTTCAATACCACACGCAGTAAATTCCACCTGTATGATGACAGCCAGTAAATGATTGACTCTGGACCAGTCAACCAGTCATCAATTTCATATTGTTACCACGTCCTAGATCATCAGGTATGATGTCACACAGTCAGTCCAGCCACTTGATCCATTAAGTCGCCTCTTACGATAAGCAGTTAGCTGGGGACCTATTATAACCAAGAATCCCTGCAGTGTCTTGAGCTTGAAGCTTGTATTGATATCATGTAAAAAGTATTGTATATCTTGAAATTAACGCGAGCGTAAAATGTGAGTGGTCTTTGTAAATTTCGGCTCTGTATTTGAGCAATTCTGTGGCAGAAACATTCTGCACGGGTTCTGAAGATAATCTTGGCAAGATAGGTACATTTCTACATCAAGAGGAAAATTTGCAAAACATTCCATGAACGTGGAATCGTATAATACAGCAGAGACTGACGTGAGTATTTCGCAACATATGCAACAAAGTGGAAAATAATAACACCAGCGCTTAACCAGCAAACAGTTATTCATATCTATGGCAAGCATGTGATACTCGAGACCAAGTCAGACCTGGAATCAACACTGAAAACTCATGTTGAGTAGAATATCAGGCCATTTATATTTCGCTCAATTTTCAAAGCGCAACATTTTTATTACCAATTGTATCATTGTTCAAACGATTTTCATTCAGCTCCCTGGAAATATGCAACACATACAAGTGAAGGCCACTCATATTTAATAGTTCCCCTTTGTATCAGTGTTCAAGCGATTTTCATTCAGCTCCCTGGGGTCTCAGGTCTTACCTACAACATACACCCGGACTGTCCTGGTGGCTGCATCCACATCGTTACTCGCTCGGCAGCCATACAGCCCTGAAGTGAGGACACATCAGTCGTCATGCGTGACATTACAACATTGAGCAGTGTGAGTGAAAATAACTATGAACACATAAATCTGCTTCATATATCTTGGCGGGCCATGATCATATAGAAATAGTGCCTCACTACTGTTACTGTAGCTCACCTGGCTATGTAGTCAACAATTTCAATGTTAACAAGACAGACACTTAAAAGTAGTCTCTGTCAATATTCATTTTCAAAACATTTTGCATAAATTCTGAGAATTAAAAAATAACATTAAAATCTAATGATTTGTACAAAATATAATCTAATCATAGGGAGAAAAACCCTGCAAATGTTCAGATCCCTCAGCCACATATGTCTTTTGAGTTATTTAAGAGCTTGGTGAAAACAAACTTTAAAATATTGCTAAAAATGGAAACTAAACAAAACAATACAAAATTACATTACATTTGGAACAAAAATGGCTGAGTAATGGCCATAAATAGATTTTTCCATATTGCTGATGTGGCTCATCAGATTGGAACATCTTGAACAATTGGGGTGTCATCATTGATAGGAATAATCATGTAAACATCAGCTTAATTGGTCTTGTTGTTTCTGAGGAATTGATGATTACAGTGTAAGGAAATGCATTTTAAGAGAATTTAGAGGCATGTTTAAAGTCAGAAATGGGTCAAAATGTAAAATATTGTGAAAAGTGGAATGTGCCCCACTACCTACTACACACATACCAAATTTCATTACCTTTTTTTTTCAAAACTGACTGAGTAATGTCAACAGACATAATTTCTAAATTGTCATTTCAAGCAACAGGCACTTATCTTAACTGTGACATTATGATTTTGGCCATGCCATCGGCACTAAAACACAAGGAATTTATAATCATTGTCAACTCGAATCGTGAGTGAGTGAGTATGGTTTTACACCGCTTTTAGCAATATTCCAGCAATATAACGGCGGGGGGCACCAGAAATGGGCTTCACACATTGTACCCATGTCGGGAATCGAACCCGGGCCTTCGTTGTGACGAGAGAACGCTTTAACCACTAGGCTACCCGACCGCCCTCAACTAAAAAAACAAACTGACAACGATGACACGATGTAAGGAGGCAAACATGACTTCTCAGACTACAACAACATCATAAACTGTTGGTTTCTCCCTCCATGCATCTTTTCCTCAGACTTACCAGCATCTTGTTCTGTGGAGAACATTATCCTAAGCTTTCGTCGTGAAGGAAAAGTAACTCTCCCATCTAGAGTTTCCTGAATTATCTCCCCTTTGTGTGTCCATTCAACCTGTGGCGTTGGCGTTCCCTCATTGACACAGTCCAGCAGGATTGTCTCCCCTTTGTCGACTACATTTTGGCCGGTCACGTTCTTGATGGATGGAGGTACTGCAGCAGACACATACTTCATGAGGTGGTTCAAAATTCAGAATATTCAGACAGCCAAGCAACTTTGAGTAATGAACAACATTTTAATCCTCGGATGGTATATAGAATATTTAGTGGGACTACATCAAATTTCAAAACACAGTAGATTTATCTCCATTCTACCATGATGGCATTATAGACCCAGCGTATATAGTTCTTATGGGTGATGGGCGGCCATATTTTTATGGATCGATAAGTAGGCTATCGATATATTCATACACACGTTTTTGGTGTGTAAAGGCTTAACATATTTAAAGAGGTTTCTGTAGCAAAAAGGATACCTCTTTTTAACCAATCAGAATCGAGCATTCTTCAATGTCATGGTAGAATCCTCGATCAAGCATGAATACATACTGCCGCTTGAGTGGTACTGACATGCGTCAGCCAATGAAATGAGGGCATATATAACTCACAGAAGTCAAATGAACCCTACCCCAAAACATTTGTTGGTTACTACCAGTGACTGCCCCGCAAAGATAACCCTGACTAGTAGATGGAGGAATGTAGTGGATACAAACTTGGGAAGCTGTCATGACACATCTTCATCAATAACTTAGCCTGTGAGCAGGACAGCTAGTACAACTAGGATTCCAAACAAGTGAGTGGGTGAATATGGTTTTACGCCGCTTTTAGGAATATTCCAGCAATATCGTAGCGGGGGACACGAGAAATGGGCTTCACACATTGTATCAATGTGGGGAATTGAACCCGGGTCTTCAGTGAGACGAGCGAACGCTTTAACCACCAAGCTACCCTACCGCCCCGATTCGAAAACTAAGTGCCCTTGTCAGGAACATTGTAACAATGTGTAATATTCTTCTTATTCCCACAGGGGCGGTCGGGTAGCCTAGTGGTTAAAGTGTTCGCTCGTCACGCCGAAGACCCGGGTTCGAATCCCGACATGGGTACAATGTGTGAAGCCCATTTCTGGTGTCCCCCGCCGTGATACTGCTGGAATATTGCTAAAAGCGGCGTAAAACCAAACTCACTCACTCACTCTTATTCCCACATGTTCAGAGGTAGGTTAACATTTCACTTCAACATTGTATTCAATGCATTAACATATAACACACCTCTAAAAGCCATAACATTAGTTATAACTATAACAGCATGAATGGGAAAATTTCCAATGCAGGTACAATAACAAAATTTCATGCAGAATTTAAGAATTCAACTGAAAAAACTGGTGCAGAATTTAAAGATAAATGCTATGGAATTTGAAGAATACTGCCACCAAATCTTGTGTTATCAGGGTATTACCTTTGAGCTTGATGGTCCCCGACTTGCTGGCCAGGCTGACGATGTTGGTGGCTACGCAGGTGTAGGTGCCCACGTGGAGCCAGTCCACATGGGGGATCTTCAGTGTGATCCGGTCCGACAACAGCGACACGCCTTCAGGCAGGTACTGTGTAGACTGCAATGTTATAATAATAATCAGTACACTTATCAAGGCATTATACACAGTGCACAGCCTCGTTCAAAAACATTAAACTCAGAAATTCCTGCCCTGGCTGCTCTTGATACAAACAGATTTTATTAGCCAAATTCTGTATTGTAAATATCATACATTATTAACAATAATAATATTATTCGTTATATAATATGTACGTGGACACACATGGTTATAATCTCCAAGGAGTTGTTGTACAAAACAACCTTAGCGCTATGACTGTCGTAAGCCTGTTAAGGTATGGAAGTTAAGATCACCTCAGCGCTAAGATCGCTTTGTACAACGACACCCTGATCATATAATGTCATTCTTAAAGTAGTTGCAGTTTACAACATATTTTCACGACTTAAACAGCAAGGTGACTTTGTTCACATATTTTTCGTATCATGATAGCAAATTTATTTGATTGGTTTAACGCACTGATAACTCTACCCTTTATGTCATAATATAAGATAGCTATGCGATGAATCGCAAAGAACAGTGAAGAACGCAGTGTGGTTTATTTCATGATAAAATATTGTTCTATCATGACGTCATTTATTGAGATTTGAACATGCGATCGCAACTTGATGATGTCATATATCGGACAATGTTATTTTGGGGAGGGGAGTGACTTGTGGTCGCCTCTCATGGTTTATTCACCCTGCAGTGTTCTATTGTACGTTAAACAATTACCGTGAGTCGTTTATGTCTTAAATCAAATTAACATTATTTTACAATGATCTAATGGTGATGACATATCGGTACTCACATTGAACAGCCACTGTATCTTGGGCGAGGGCACCCCTTCTGTGTTGCAGGCTTGGAGCACGGACTGACCAATCACGACCACCGTGTCCACTGGGCCCTGTGTTATCTTGGGAGGAACTGGTGCAGCAAGAAGTTATTTCAGCATGGACACTTTGTCAAACATTCTATTATCATACATGCTACATCCTAACTAATATAAGTAGTTCATGCTGAAATGAGAAACCCAAATGTGTGAGTGAGTGAGCATGGTTTTATGCCGATTTTAGCATTTATTTCAGTAATATCACAACGGGGGACACCAGAAATGGGCTTCACACATTGTATGATTGTACCCATGTTGGGAACCTAACCCGGGTCTTCGGTTAAACATATTGGGGGAACCTGATACAAATCGTCGTAATTGTTTTCAATAAAAATAATTTATCCAAATCACATCACAACCATATGCAAAACATATCAACATTTTAATGACATTGACCTTGCAGCAACCTTGACCTTATTCAGTATGGTTTAGGTCCAACAACTACCAACTCTCAGGATGGAAAGAATTAAAATGAACTGTAAATCAACGATAATCCTTTTTCTCGATAATTTTAATGATGTCCTTGAACTTTGAGACGTGACATGACATGATACGACACTGGGCGATACCTGCCGAGATATGTGCAAATGGCCTGTTGAAGTAACAGCATCGTTAAAACTGACACTGATGTAAACTTTCACAATAACCTTGACCTTTAGCTGGCTTCATCCATAACCTTTTTTTTTTGTGGTCGGGTAGCCTAGTGGTTAAAGCGTTCGCTCGTCACGCCAAAGACCCAGGTTCGAATCCCGACATGGGTACAATGTGTGAAGCCCATTTCTGGTGTCTCCCGCCGTGATATTGCTGGAATATTGCTAAAAGCGGCGTAAAACAAAACTCACTCTCTCATAACCTTTTTTGAAACAATTTAGGCCTAATCCAAGGGAATACATATTGTACATTTGCTGAATCTTCCAGAGGAAAGCGTGTCCACTAGCCAATATCAAATCCTAGTTTCTACCCTTGCCATATCAAGGCCACTTTTCCTGGCTCGACCCTGGCATCACATCTCGAAGATAATGAGTTGTGCCCCTTGTAATGAAAACGCAATATCCAATCAGATCGCTGTTCTTATCTGTTAAATCACTTTCATACGAACGTGTGACAGTCGTGGATGTTGATTTTGTGAAACGTTCTCTGATTGGACAATCGATATGTGCTATAGTCCAATCATATTTAGCACAGGAAAGTGAGCTTGATGTGTCAAGGGTGGAAACACGACTTTGGTAAAAAGGCTAGTGGACATTCTTGCCTCGGGAAAATGCATTTGCTGATAAAGCATTCCTACTTTTGATCTTTTTCCATCTCCTGACCTTGACCTTTAAATTTGGTAAAAACACACGACACATTAAAAAAATGGATAAAGTCCATTGTAAAATATCATCTATTAAATAATCAATGCATTGTTCCCAAGACAAAACATCACAAGAGGCTTCTGTAACATACACTTTTAAAGCACATGCATTTATTAACACTGCTTAAATAATAGGGATGCAACGAATACACTGTGAGACGAATACGATTCGTATCACGAATATAGGGTAACAAATACGAATAGCAATTCACGAATACCAAGTAATTCATGAATAACAAGTCAGCAGTTATGTATTATTTGTTGTAATCAGTAAGACAATAACAACATAAATTAATTGACATGGTTGGTTAATTATTAATATATTATACATATATATACTGCACTTATCCAGGAACTAGTATCTGCACAAATGCGACAATGACCAGTGACCACAATACTGTCAAATTAAATATTATGAGAGTGTTGTCTTGTGAAGACATCTATGCATTTAATATGTTCTTAAGGATATTTTTAGGTACAGGGTATGTAAATACACATGACTGCATATTCATAAATATTCGATTCTAGTGGCAACGAATAACGAATTCAATTCATGAATGGATACGGTTCGATTCACCGAATACGCGAGTGAATCGTAACAGCCCTATTAAACAACTGTTATTAACAAACCGGCCTACCCTGGACAGAGAGTGTTCCGTTAGCCCAGGTTTCACCGGCTTCATTCTCCGCTCTACAGCCATAGTGTCCCTGGTCGGCGGACGTCACATTCTCTATGTGCAGCGACAGGTCCACAATGGATCTGCGACGATCTCCTTCAATCTGCTTGCCATCTGGAACCAATATCGGAGAAAAATTATAACTGATTTCTATTTAAAATATTTCTCTTTGAAGTCATTATATTTGTTTTTCATTTTTAATTGCACTTTTAAACCAAAGATTAAAATGGGGTATTCTCAGCCAGCTGTATCACTGTATTTTATTTTATCCACATCTGGCTCGAATTGTGGCCTTTCTATCCTCCTCAAATTTCTGGAATAGGTCCCCCTAAAGTTCAATAATCCACATCCAACTTGTATGCTACTTGTATTCTCATTTATCGCACCATTTTGTGCCGTTCTGTGTAGTCACTCGCTGTGCTCTGAGGCTCAGAACTATAGCCAGCGTTTGATCCCAATGCTTGGGCATGACCGATGCGCGATCATGTACACACTAAGTCATACCTGAGAATTCCCCATACGCCAAACTTATAATTTTGTATTTTATCATAATAAATGTTTGAAACTACTTTGTGTTTGGTTGTCATTATAAATTGCACTTTTAAACCAAAGATGAGATAGGGTCCTTTTTGGCTCATTGGGAATATCAAAATTTTACAGTCACAGAAAATTTTGAGCTTCAGGTTTGAAAGTTATCAGATGTACCCATGGCTGCCAACTGGGAGTTATTCTTTAACACTGGATTTTTGTTTTGTTTGGTTGTTCATTTAATGTTGCACTCAGCAATATTCCATCTATATGATGGCAGTATGTAAAAAAAAATCGAGTCTGGATCAGACAATCCAGTGATTGATATTGTGAGCAACAATACACACTGTTGGAGTTCGAAGCAACAAAATCAACCAAGTCACTGAGTCAGACCATCCTATTCACTTGGTCGCCTCTTACGACCAGCAAAGGTTCCTCGGTACTATTGTAACATGTAATCACCACTGATCTCAATGGGTTATTGGACTTCTGACATGACCAACTACGTAGATATGTCAAAAATGAGTTAAAACAGCTGCTTTTTCCAAAGTCAAGAGAAATTCTAACAATGAGCAACTCAGTGACCAAGATGATGTATTAATCATATGTTTGTACTGTCTGTCATGAAACTTTGCTTGGGTTAAAGATTCATAATTTTGCTCATTTCTTAAATAATCCAGATCTTCTGCACCAAAAAGGTCCCCGATCATATCTTGTTCATTTTTAGCCTTACGGCGACAGCAAAACACACACACCAATTGTGAGTGAGTGAGTGAGTGAGTTGGGTTTAACGCCGCTTTTAACAGTATTCCAGTCATATCATGGCGTGTCAGCTTAATGTGGGAGGAAAGCCCGAAGTGATGCGGGTCTCAGACGTTTACCACTTCGGTGAAACCCACGAGCACGGGTATGGTGCTGACAAACCTAGAAACATAATCGGGGTGAACCGGGATTCGAACCCACAATCATAAGTTTCTGGTGTGTCCAAGGGACGCAACTCTGCCCAGCGAATCGCGGCGCCTTAGACGACTGGGCCACCCGTGCCCCCCACAACAATTGTGAACACTGAACACAACAGACAGCAGTGAATCCCTGCCTTCCCAATATTCACCATCACCTCACTGTCTCACTTGTCCGCATCTTTCACAGCCACCATGAGATTCTGAGAATATATTTCTACCCAGGAATCCCCATAGGACCGGATCGCCTCCTTGGTCTAGTGGTAAGGCGTCAGAAGCGGAAGTGGTAGCGGAAGTTCCAGGGTTCGATCCCCGGCCACGTCATACCAAAAGACGTAAAAAGATGGTACTTGTTGTTACCCTTCCTGGCGCCCGGCCTTAAGGGGCTAAAACAAGGACTGGTCGGCACAGAGTCAGTATACTGTGTCTGAGAGGGGTATTCATGTTAAACTGCGGCATGGTATTTCAGTAGGCTAGCACTATAAATCGGCATCAGTCCAGACTAGTACAAGCAGCCACACACACACATGCTTGCACGTCGCTATATAAGTGCAATAATCTTGCATAATGACGTTAAACCCCATTTCACCTCACCTCACCTCACCTCACCTCACCTCACCCCATAAGACCCAATTTACAGATGCATGTCGTACTAACCTGTGAACCAACGAGCTTCTGGTTTGGGATCGCCATACACGTCGCAGGGCAATATGGCCGTGTCGCCAGATGTCACAACAATGGTGCCAAAATCTTTTAAGGTCACTGGCGGGACTGGAAAATAGATTTCTCAATTAAAAAAATAAACAAAGCGAGGATTTTATTTCAATAATAATAGGTTCAACAACAACTGAGAAGGTCCTGTTATGTCTACCATTAAGACAATTTAGTGGACACGTCGCAACCCGAAGCAGTAGTTTTCAGTCGAATCTCATTGCTGACAACCTTTCAATGCTGGAATCCTTTTTCATAAAAATGAATTGCAAGTGACTCCAAGGCATTTGATTGGCTAACCAAGGCAATTTTTTTGTATCATGGATCCATAAACAGAAAACACTGTGTCTTGATTATAGAATGGGCGGGTCTCGTGTTGCCTTATTGCACAGATTTCGTATTGTTGTCACAACTGTTGTGTGTTAATGATTAAATATGCAAGTTATTGTTGTTGGGGTGTTTATTTATAAGAATTGACTTCAGTATGTTTGGGCACTTCTGGAGGTATAAACGTTAAAGCCGCCATAGATACTTTACGTAAATCCACTATGCAGATTGAAGCATGCACATCGGTTTTTAAGTTTATGCCTCCATAAACACAAAAAAACATATTGAAGTCAATTCTTAATTATGTGACACTATCTATTATCATGATAAGTATACTTACAGACCCTGAGAAAATTAGATAAATATTTGATGTATTCTAGGGGTGTCACGATAAATTGAAATATCAATATATTGCTATTGGTAAGCACTTAAAGTCAATAAATCGATTGTTAAATCAGTTTCTGATTAATAGTATTGATTTCAGTTAGGAATATTGATAGTTTCGATTGTATTTACCATATGAATAAAATACATGCAATGCTGTTCAAATTTGTTTTTCTTTTGATCATGAGTGGTAGTAATTTACACATGGTACTGCTGAAGTTTCTTTTTCTTAAATTATTAGAGTAAAGAAAAAACAACTGTGTCATATTTCAAACTTTACTTTTTATTTGTTGTTATGGTTATCACATACAAAGAAGACTTCAGTTGCAAGGTTTAATTCAACTCTAAAATCCATCTGAAATGATACACTGAAAACTGTCAATATTTGCTTGCAATATCAATAGTTATCGCAATAGTTTCTTTCAATATCAATAGTAATCACAATAGTGATTTCCAGACCAATAGTCACTCCTTATGTATTCTGACAGAAGACAAGAATCTGATGCAGTTCAGAATGTGCAGAGTGCTGTACTTCTGAGTATTGAATATGGTTGTGTAAAGTACATTTCATGTCATTGTCAATGTGTTACAAGTATACTGTAATGTGGAAAGTTTTGTGAGGGGGAAAGTACTGCAAAAACTGTGAGTGACTCCCTCTCGCAACAGTTTCACAATGCATTTAAATTTGTATATTAAAAATACACGTAATGAGGCATTCCATCACGTCTCATTCATACGACACTCGTTAATCCGACAATCAGCTTTATCTGACACTAACGATGGGAACCGATCAAATCAGTGATAATTAGACCCTTTAATCAGACAGTCTCACACTATGACTCAACACCCCTTATTTGCAACGAATAACCAAAATTACTCATAATCAGTCTCATTTATCAGACACAGTGACCAGCGTACTCCGTTGTCATCTGCCCCGAGTACACAGCCCATGTTTTGATGCGAGATGAGTCTCTGGATATTACAACGACTTTCGATCACGAACGTTAATACGACTTAATTTTGCTTATCCGACATACTCATCAATTCGACATAACCATATGCAACCAGCCACTTCGTATTAACGGGACTTGACTATATTTCTTCTATTTACTTGCACTCATTGTCCACCAGCCAGTTACATAATTAAATCAATAATCCCTCACTAAGTGGCAATAGTCTGATTAGGAAAGTTGCTTACATAACACTGAGTAATACAGACATACGCCAGACTATTCTGTTAGATAATCACGTTACTCCAACCTCCTTTGACAACTACAACACATGCATCAATTACCGTATTCGACGTAATAAGCGCCCCGCTCTAATAAGCGCCACGGCGATATTTGCTAATATATTGACAAGTGAACAATCCCAATTAGCACCCCTTCCAATAGATCAATGTACACAAGACTTATGTATTCGTGTATAATACGCACTCGTGTGTTATATGCACCCTTAATAACGGGCAATTAAATTCTGGAATAACATATCTGTCGTATATAAACATTTCAGGCTGTCAGCATTAACCACGAAATTTATCTTTCCACTCTTTTTTTCACCAAAAAAATATTCTAAAAAGAGCCCCCTATTTCTAATTTTGAGAGCGCCCTGGGCCCTTATTACGTCAAATACGGTAGTTAAAACAACACTGACTGGCACTGAGCTACACTTCATCATGCTGCTTCCTACTCATGACAAATAACATGTGCACAAGTAGCTTGGATATGTGGTAGTCTCATCAACAGGGTGTGGCAAAACATTTCCAGATGCAGTTAAGGTTAGTGTTAGACACTAGGCAATAATTTCATGGCGCAAAACTTTCCAGATTTACAGTACATAGTTCTCTGTGAAGCATAGACGTTGGTGGGGCAGCAGAATGGTTAAAGAGTTCGCCTGTCACACTAAAGGCCTGGGTTGATTCTCCACATGGGTACAATGTGAAGCCCATTTCTAGTGTCCCCAGCCATGAAATGGCTGAAATATTGCCAAAAGCAGCGTAAATACAACTCACTCACTCACTCTGTTGTGTTGGGTTACTACACATCTGGGCCCACTTACACAAATCGATCTTAGCGCTAAGATGATCGAAACTCCCATACTTTAGCATAGGCTTACAGTAGTCTTAGCGCTAAGATCGTTTTGTGCAAGTGGGCCCTGATCTTAGGTCATGAATTGAGTCCGTGTCTCCCCAAAGGCAATGAACCTTACGCAAGCCTACTGTTGCCTAACATTGACCCAATATGTGGAACGGATGGTTGCAAGACGTAATCCAAATGCTTATTAGTAGTGGTGGGACGATACACCAATAGATCGGTGGATCGGGATTTTTTACTTCTTGATACAAGTATCGATCACAATCGCACACTAAGAAAAAAGTATCGATTCTTAAATAAATGTTACACCAAACACTAATTACTGTGGAAATGAGTAGTGAAAACGTAAATATCTTCATCCATTGCGCCATGCCTGACACTGCCAACTGTTAATCATTAGTGCGCCAGGTATTTGGCAATCCTGGCTATGAAAAAGATGGCTTACGCACCACAGATAAGTGCACATGCAAGTATACGTATCAGATCGTGAGCAAGGTATCGTAATAGTATCGGATCTCACAGTTGGTGTATCGTCCCAGCCCTACTCATTAGTCACCATAATCACAAGCATCCTTTTGCTTGCTCTGGCTTGACTCGTTAAAATATTGTGCCTGACTGCAAGCAGCCATATGTAAGCAAGAGTGATGGAGGAACATGGCACAGACACTGAAGTCTTGATGATGATTTCTTGGGACGTGTGGACAGTATGAGTAATAGAATAAACATTTTATTCTTCCTCTACTTCAGAACAGTTTTGTAGCAGATGAGGGTGATCTATTGCATGTGTGAGTGAGTTGATCATATACCTACAATTCACTAGATGGTGAGGTGAAATGAGGTTTAAAGTCGCGTCCAAGATTATTGCACTTATATAGCGACGTGCATGTACGTGTGTGTGTTTGTGTGGCTGCTTGTACTAGTCCGGACTGATGCCGATATATAGTGCTAGCTCACTGAGATACCATGCCGCAGTTTTAACATGAATACCCCACTCAGACACAGTATACTGACTGAGCCAACCAGTCCTTGTTTTAGCCCCTTAATGCCAAGCGCCAGACAGGGTAACAACAAGTACCATCTTTTTACGTCTTTTGGTATGACATGGCCGGGAATCGAACCCTGGACCTTCCGCTCTCCAGGCGGATGCTCTACCACTAGACCACGGAGGGGGTCTCACAGCTCACTAGAACCTATACATATACATACCTATGACACGGACTGACACATTCACAGTCTTGCTTCCGTACATGTTGTGTGTGATGCAGGTGTATGTTCCTTCGTGGGACTTGTCCACATTGCTGATCCACAGCTCCTGGTTGCTGGCCCTGAAATCACCAGGACAAGAGTGAGAGAGTGAATGAGTTAATGATTGAGTATGGTATTATGCCGTTTTTAGCAATATTCCAGCAATATCACGGCACAGGACACCAGAAATGGGCTTCACACATTGTACCCATGTCAGGAATCGAACCCGGGTTTTCGGCGTGACGAGCGAACGCTTTAACCACTAGGCTACCCGACCGCCCCTTGAGTGAGAGAGAATAAGTGAAAAGGTAAAGATAGAATGAGCGAGCTGGGTTTGACGCCACTTTGAGAGTACTATTTCTCAAAGCAATATCGCGGCATAACTGCTGAAACTTGCCAGGAAGGTAGGATTTTAAGTATTAACATTCCAATCAAAGAATGGCAGTCTGTATATAATCACGTCAGGAGAGATGTGATGACGCGCAATCAGGAAAGTCCCCCAGCCTGAACACCTAATGCATGAAGTCACCTTTTACGACAACCTTAGGCTGCGGGGCACCTATATTTTTACCCAGAATCCCCTTGGGACTATATTTGCAGATAAAAATTAATCAGGACCACTAATGGATGGATTTGAACCCATGATCACCAGAAAAGTATATTCCAGGAATCTTATGACATCTTCCTGAGGCAAGGGAGTCAACTGAGCCCAAAAGTCCAGTCTCCACCTTTGCCAAACTAGGCCGGAATTTCCAGGCTTGATCGTAGTGCCGACAGAGGCGATTACGAGTTAAGTCCCTACTATTTTCCTCCTATTGACCAATCAGATTCCACCTCTCATATGACTTGCATTTGCTTCAAACAAAATGGTGACACCCAGGCAAGAAGATCTGATCGATAATCAAGATCTCTTTTGACATAAAACGGGTCTTACCCCGAGAAGTGGATCATATTACCTGAGCACCTTGATTAAAACATGAAAAGATCTGGAAAATATCTGTCTACGCCCAGTTGACTGTACACATGCTTTGCAAATCCTGCAGCCGACCAAAATCTGCACATTGTTACATGACTTTGATTGGAATATGCATAGATTCATTAGTCCAGCCAAAACTTCAAAATTCAAGACAGATGGGCAAGGGTGGAAACTGGACTTTTATAGTCAGTTAACTCCCTTCGTCGGGAAGATGATCTAATGATGGCCTGTAAAATTTGAGTCTGGTCCAGACCAACTAGTGATTGTAAATATGAGCAATGCTCCACGCTGGCAGAGTATAATACTGAACGACAGACTCACCTGAAGCTAATCTGACTGGACGGAGACAGTTTCCTCCCATCAAACAACCAGGACACTGTAGGAGTGGGTGAACCCTGCACTCGGCAGATCAACTGCAGTAGTCTCCCCTTGACAACTCTCTGGTTCAGAGGAGGTTCAGTGAAAATTGGCGCACCTGCAGAGAAAGTAAAACAAGAGTATATGAATATTGGTTATTGCAGGTATATCCCAGCAGGATGTAAATAATCATAATGAGGTCAGGTAAACCAGTGGTTGACAACATGAGCACATGTGCTAGGATTCCCGCCATATCATCAAGGGTTGATGCAGCATTTTCAAAAGGGAGGGTTCCAAAATATCAAAATCCTCTCTAAGCTAATTTTACTGCCTACAACATACATTTGTTTTTCAAAAGTGGGGGTCAAGACCCCTAGACCCCCCCTCTGGATCCACCTATGATCCCAAGCATGTGTTTATGAAACACTATCAAATAATTTTACCAGGTGGTCATGAAATGGTGAGTGTATTCTGCTCCACCAGTGGCACCTATCACAAGCATGTGCAAAAGCTGTGAGTCACTGAATTAAAATTTAACATCGCATCGGCATTATTTCAGCCATATAGCGACAAGAACAAGTTGATATAAACATGAATGAGTCATGAATGCAAAGTTATATGTAAAAACAAATTTTATCAAACATATTTTGGCATAAAGCATTTATACAGTTTAAAACAGTCTATAGGCCACCAGTATCCAAAGCTAGGCTACCTCACTGGGTATCACAGGGACTATCGTGCCTCAGCTTCCTGCAGGATACCCCAGCAGGATTTATGTCATCACTTTAGCTACAGGTGGTTGTACACAATACTAGCCAATATGAAAAAATGTGTTGGCTTAAAACAATAGTTACATCGATTATGATTAAGGCCTGGCTATCGATTTAGATCATAGAGATCAATAATCTAAATAAAACATTGATCAATTATCAATATATATCGGAGAAGTAACTTTGAACAAATATGCGAAAAAGTCAGAAAGAAATCAACATGTTTCACATTACTGATGAGTGGTGACACATTTATGCATGGATTACTTTGTGGACATTTAAGATATAACAAAAACTGGTGCTTTCCGTCTTCGGCAATTTAATTGATTGACAATATCAAGTCTTTTTCAGTAAATTCAAACTTTATTTTTCATCACAATAATTTACCGTATTCGACGTAATAAGCGCTCAGGGCGCTCTCAAAATTAGAAATAGGGGGCTCTTATTAGAATATAATTTGGTAAAAAAAACAGAGTTGAAAGATAAATTTCGTGGTTTTTACAGCCTGAAGTGTTTATGTACAACAGATATAATTTTCCAGAATTTATTAGCCCATAACTAAGGGTACATATAGCACACGAGTGCGTATTATACACGAATGAATAAGTCTTGTGTACATTGATCAATCGGAAGGGATGCTAATTGGGATTGTTCAACGGCCAATATATTAGCACATGTCGCTGTGGGCGCTTATTAGAGCGGGGCGCTTATTACGTCGAATACGGTATGTAAGATTTTTTCAACAAACAATTTTCAAATCGATAATCATTAATATTTCTTCCCAAGAACGATAATTCTGATTATCAATCTTTTTTTTATTCAGCCCTAATTATGACAGGAATAATATGTCACACAGGGGGAATGTGAAAAAGCAAAAGAAAACAGACCTTGTACTGTAAGTGTGGCCACCCTGGACGTGCGACTGGTGGGGACAGCGAGAAGGTTCTCCGCCACACAGAAGTAGTCTCCCTGATCATCGGCTTGCACAGACTGTAACTGTAGATCCCACACTCCAGCACTGGGGGACAATGACTGCTCCCCTTGGACAACAACCAATGGCTGATAGTTCCTGTACCATGTGACTCTAGCAGGAGGCACACTGATTGGTGGAACACAGTTCAAGGTCAAGGACTGGCCAGCAAACACTGTTGCATCACTTGGCTCATCTTGAAAGTCGACATTTAGGACTGAAATGACAGTAAATGATATGAATACATTCAGTTACTTGTATAATAATTCTGTCTGATATTCATCACAAGCCCAATCTAACGTCTCTTGAATATGAGTCATTCTTCATATTTTAACAAACATTCATAGTTTTCGCGTTTCTTTTGTCTGTGAGTATACAACAGAGTCCGGATCAAGCAAACCAGAGACTAATAATGTGAGTGAGTGAGTGAGTGAGTATGATTTTACATCACTTTTAGCAATATTCCAGCAACTCTTGGCAAGGGACAGCAGAAATGGGCTCCACACATTGTACCCATGTTTGGAAATGAACCCGGGACTTCGGCATGACGAGCGAACGCTTTAATCACTAGGTTACCCCACTGTCCCCTAATATTGTGAGTAATGATCCACCCCATCAGGGTACGGTGACACTCAATCAAAGTCACAGAGTCTGACCACCTGATCCAAATAGTTGCCTCTTACCACCTGCACAGGATGCTGGGGACATTCTAACCTGGAATCCCTGCAGGGTTTTGGTCAATAGAGTTAGAGATAAACAAACAGGGTGTGTGGAATCATTACTAAATCACTGGTAATTCCAAACACATGTTGTTTATCAGAAAAAAGTTGGTCATCTCTCACTTTTGGTCGACAGGGTGAAAGATGATGATAAGATTCCACACACCCTGAAGTATCAGTAAGCAACAGATCCTGTGAAGATTCCGGGTTAGAATTGGTCTTCAGCAACCCATGCTAATCAAAAGAGGTGACTAACAGAATAGAGTGGTCAGCCTCGATGACTTGATTCTTGGTTGATGGATGTCATCATATCTCAATTGCCAAGATCGATGCTCATGATGTCAATTCTGGATTGTCTGGTCTGGACTGAATTATTTACAGACTGTCGTCATATAGCTGGATTAGTGCTGAGTGTGGTGTTAAACAAACAAACAAACAAACAAACAGTATTTACCTGTGACAGTAACATTGGACCGACGTGAAGTGACAGTTCCCACAGCGTTCACGCCTTGACAGTAATATATCCCAGCATCCTCCAGTAGCACCTTTGTGAATATCAGACTTCCATTGTAAAATACGTAACTTGTTGAACTTCCGTTGGTACCGGCATCATTCTTAAACCACAAAGTGAGTACATCTTTGCCCTGTGTGAGGCAGTCTAGCACCAGAGATGTGTTGACGGGGACGACGACTTCAGCAGCAGGAGGCACCAACAGCACTGGTGTCGTGGCGACATCTGAAACAAACGTAACAGCCACTGAATATACATATTCTGGACTGCTTCCCAATTCACCAAGCGATCTTAGCGCTACGACTGTCACATATCTATGTTAAAGCATTGGAGTTGCAATCAGATCAGTTCCTGACTTTTGGATCTATCTGCAGTTGCTTAGGAACTGATATCTGACCCCAAGCCCACAGCGAATGTAAGCAAATATTCCCCAAAGGGAATAAAATAATCCCAATAAATGTTATGATTATTATTTGTATTAACTGACGTGATGGCTTGGTCAAGATGACTTGTATTTCATCGATAATAGGCCAAAAAGGAGGATCAGGCTCCAAAGTTTAGTTTTACATTATAATGTTTAACCAACCTGTTTTTTAGGTAACCTACCGACCCAATGTTTCACTGTTTTTTTCTATTTTACATTCGAAAAAAACTGTGGATGTTTCTGCATATCTCATCAAATGGAAGGCTCTAACTATTTTGACATAGAATTCGAAAAGTGTTGCAACTAACATCAGGTGTGTATTAAATATCATCTTAAAAAATATTAAATAATTAAAAATATTTACCCACTACATAGCTGAAGAGTCATTTGCCAATTAGGACAAAATCACTATTTTGTTCAATATTGAGATATATTTTATGGTCTCTTCCTCTATATTGGTCCTGTTATCAGTGAAATACACTATGAAGTTACCTCTACAAAGCCATATTAGTTACAACGTATATGAATTAGGAAATGTCTCATTCCAATTCAGGAACTTTTAGTGACATTTGCTGAAGAGGCCTAATATCGGCCTCTGAGGTGGTGTAGATATATCTCTGCTGAAATATAAGTATATTACATTTTGGCCCGATTAAAACTTTTGCATACCTGTCAGGAATATTGCTGCGTCTCCACTACTGACATTCCGCTTCAAGAGCGTGTTTATCGCCATACAGCGGAGGATTCCAATATTGGTCCTGTTTATAGTGAGAACCAGCTTCATGGAGTACTGTGCACTCAGCCCCGTGGCGTCGTAGTCTCCGTAGGACGCCGTTACCTGCTCCCCGCCCCAGAACTCCTGGCCATTCAGATCCCAGTACACTTTAGGATAGGGGGCGCTGGAACCTGTGATGCACTCAAACGTCACAGACGCGTTGACTTCTACGCGAACTGATACAGGGCTGAGCTGGAACTTGTTGATATCTGTAAATACAAACACAACCTCTCGGAACTTACATCACCGATATGATTCAGACCAGTTTCGTGACAAGGGATGGTATTTGTAACAAAGTCAGGGGTACATTTAAGCAACTTAATTTAACTTGCACCAAGTGCATGCTGACATAAAAACCAAGTTGCACCAAGTGCATATTCAAATAAGTGAGTGAATGAGTTTATGCTTTACGTCACATCGGCAATATTTCAGCCATATTGTGACGATTATATTTAAATGAAAACCTACTTGCACCAGACAATACCATGTTGCACCCTTGTCACATAAATTTATCAAAGTTGAATCACAGGCTGCCAGTGTTACATATATTAATGACGCATTGCTGTGAAATGTAATGGGAACGTGCACATAATCTTGTAGTACCCACAGTAAGTATGATACATCACACATTATATAGGGACGAGTGATGTAGTATGGTAAACACACCTTAGAGGTACTGAGTGTCAGATGATCAATTTTGTGCGGAGACAAGTAAGTGAGTGAGTATGGTTTTACGCCGCTTTTAGCAATATTCAAGCAATATCACAGCGGGTGACACCAGAAAAGGGCCTCACACAGTGTACCCATGTCAGGAATCGAACCCGGGTCTTCAGCGTGGCGTGCGAACGCTTTAACCACTCAGCAGAGACAAGTAAGGTTTAGTCATGAAATATGAATGTTTTTACATGCACTTATATGCCAGTTAGCCCCATGAAGATCCGGGTTAGAATTGGCCCTCACACGGATCTTCATGGGGGTAACTGGCATATGTATGTAAATGTACAGTTTGAATAAACATACATCCAGAGTTTTAGAGTGTGTCCTACTGGAAGTCATAATCTCGTCGTAGTCAGATCGTTTACTCTGGTAAGATACCTCTCTGCGTGAAGATCTGAAGACACAAACCTCAGGTGACCCTTAGTGACCATGATCTCCCATTCTAATCGAAGAAAGCATGGGTTCTTGTTCCAAATCAGTTGTCAATGCCAGCTTTCCAAAACGATTTGATTAGATCTTCTATGATCTTCACCATAGCGATTTCGAAAATTTGAATTTCACAAAAGAAAACCCACACAGAACACAAATTAGTAAAATCTAAATATTTTTTAAATTTAAATACTTATCCAGCATTACTATGTCTAATGCATTAAGGTAGCAATGCAGGAAAAGTTAAAAAATTACTCTTTCAGCAGAACTCCTGTTTTGGTGTAGATACTAAGGCGGCTAAAATGGGCAGGGATTCTAAAATTTACACAAAAACGTAATGGTCAGAACTCCAGATAAGTTTTTGTGGAATTGAGTTTTTACTCTAGGGTTTCGATTTTAATTGAGTAATTACATTTTTCATTGGGAGACCAATATTTTTTCACTCATCTATTCACTCTTTTGAGTTTTTCCCACAATTTGTAATCATTTTAAGATTTAAAAAAAATGAAATAATGTTTTAGATGTATATAAATGTTCTAAATATATAGGCTTGACTCGGAAAGTAAATTAGCTCGTAATTGTGTTTCGGAAATTAGCTCCTTTGTAGGCATGCTGAAAAAGCTTCATTGGGTATTTACGCGTGCTGATTTTATACATTTGACTTTTTCATTTAATACATGCATTTTTGTACGCAAGTTAATTGAAAGTAATTGGGTTTTTAACATTTTGGGGGGTATTTTACCGAAATACGCTGCTTATCTGTAGCTCTGATGGTGCTGTGAACATCGTGTAAAATCGGAAAAGGATGTTTAAGTTTGTTTTCGAGATACAGAAATCAGATGGTATGTATGCTCTGCTCATCATCCCGAGAATTTAGAAGCCTTTAGATCCTCAGATCTTTGCAGGTCTTATCAGAGTAAAAGGTCTGATTTTAGTGAGATTGGTTTTGTCACAGCAAGTTCACATCAATCCCAGCAAATATACATGTAATACTTACAAGCCAAAATGACTGTTGCAGTTTCTGAGACAGATGAAACATTTCTTGAGCTTGAGATGACACAATCGTAACGACCAATATCAGAGGATGAAAACTGTGGTATCAGCAGAGAATTATTTCCAAATACTGCAGATTTTGTCTGTATCTGGCTGTCATTGAACCTCCATTCATAGACCAGAGTTGTCCCCCCTGAGTCCTGGGCCCGACAGTCGAGGCGGACATCGCGTCCCGCTATCACAGCCTTGCTCTGAGGACGGCTCAACCATTCTTGACAAAAAGGAAAATAAACATTGGTTCAAAATTAATATTCCAATCCAAGGAAGTTTTCCACTTTTATCAACAGATGTGACAAATAAAAGCAACAGAAAGTTTTATTTGTAGTTCTATCTTAGTTAATTGGTTAGCCAAAAATCTGTAAACCAGAAAATATACTCACTGCTAAAAGTAACGCGAACCATAGAGTGAGTGAGTGAGCTGGGTTTAATGCCGCTTTTAACATTATTCCAGTTATATCACGGTGTGTCAGCTAAATGTGGGAGGAAAGCCTGAAGTGATGCAGGTCTCAGACGTTTACCACTTAGGTGAAACCCACGAGCACGGCTATGGTGCTGACAAACCTAGAAACATAACAGGGGCAAATCAGGATTCAAATCCACAATCATAGATTTCTGGCGTGCCCAAGGGACACAACTCTGCACAGCGAATCTGAGCATCTCTTCCAACAACATAACGGTATGTTCGTTTGTGCATTGAAACAATCTAATGTCTCTTGAATATGAGTAAGTCTTCATATATTAACCAACATGTATGGTATTCGCGTTTCTTTTGGCAGTGAGTATATAACACATGCATCAACTTTTGACGGTCTTGTTTGTTGTTGTTGTTTAATGCCACACTCAGCAATATTCCAGCTTCATGACAGCAGTATGTAAATAATTCGAACCAGACAATCAAGTGATTGATATTGTGAGCAACGATCCACGCAGTCAGGGTACAATGACACGCAATCAACCAAGTCACCAAGCAGTATGTAAATAATCAACCCAGACAATCAAGTGATTGATATTGTGAGCAATGATCCACGCAGTCGGGGTAAAATGACACGCAATCAACCAAGTCACCAAGCAGTATGTAAATAATCGACCCAGACAATCGAATGATTGATATTGTGAGCAACGATCCACGCAGTCAGGGTGCAATGACACGCAATCAACCAAGACCCCAAGTCTGACTATCCGATCCATTTGGTCGCTTCTAAAAACCAGCACAGCTTGCTGGCTACCTGTTCTAACCCGGAATCCCAACAAGGGACTCCTGATGGTAACTGACCTATCTGAGAGGAAACGGCTGGCAGCAGCAGCAGCAGACACAATAATGCTGACCGTAGATTCATCCTCGTTTTACAACCAGGCAGTCTGTAACCAACAACAAAGAACAATCAGTCAAGGAGGTAATTATCAAAGATTCAGAATCAAGTGCCCTTGGCAGACAAATTGGGATGACTCTGTTATTTTGTTCAAAATTGGGATTTCTTAAAGTCGTTATTATCTAATAACATACAGTATTCTTAGAGTTTTGGACATAGCATTCAATGCAATCTTGTAAAATTATGCATTAAAGCTTCTTCATTTAAATTGGTCCTGTTATCAGTGAAATGTAAGTCACCTCATCCAGGCCATATTAGTTATGACTTTAATAATGAGTGAGAGAGTTATGTTTTACGCTGCTTTTAACAGCATTCCAGTTATATCACGGCGTGTCATCTTAATGTGGGAGGAAAGCCTGAAGTGATGCAGGTCTCAGACGTTTACCACTTTGGTGAAACCCATGAGCACGGGTATGGTTTTGACAAACCTAAAAACAAATTCAGGGTGAACCAGGATTTGAACCCACAATCATAAGTTTTTGCACAGCGAATTGCGGCGCCTTAGATGACTGGGCCACCCGTGCCCCCTTATGACTTTAATAACATGAAGTAGGATGTTTCTAATTCCCATTTGGGAATCATGAATTGACAACTGGTGCAGACTTTGGGTCCTAATATTAGCCAGTCAGCAGGTCTGTACATGCCAGACAAATCCCGGTAATGGCCAGCAAGGTATTTAGTGTAAGAAATTAAGACACAAGCTTCATTTACCATGCATGCTAACACAAAGTAAAACAAGAGTCATCCGAAGATAACATATCCCCTCGACATAGCATGTTGGTAAACTGTGTGTACCTTCAAATGTATTTAGATTGGCAAGGAAATCTTTTTATAAAATTCTAAAAATCTCTAAATAGCAATAGGCACTTCTACTGAGCCTGATTGTTAAGTGTACCAAGTTTTGGGAAGCTAGGTTGTACGGTTTAGGAAATATGCTCAAGACAAGAGCACTACCCTCAATTTTCCTAAATTAATAATAGTTCCATGGAAACGACAAAAATATAAAATTCTAAAAATCTCTAAATAGCAAAAGGCACTTCTACTGAGCCTGATTGTTAAGTGTACCAAGTTTTGGGAAGCTAGGTTGTAAGGTTTAGGAAATATGCTCCGGACAAGAGCACTACCCTCAAATTTCTTAAGTTCATAATAGTTCGATGGAAACGACAAAAATAAAAAATTCTTAAAATCTCTAAATAGCAAAAGGCACTACTACTGAGCCTGATTGGTGAGTGTACCAAGTTTTGTGAAGCTAGGTTGTATGGTTTAGGAAATATGCTCCGGACAAACAATGATTACAGACGGACAGACAGACATACTGATGGCTATATCCCCCCGTCATTATATGTCAGGGGGATAATAAAAAAGTAACTCTCATTTGGTTTCGTTTACTACAACATATACTAATAATCATCCAAAATGTCCTGAGAAGCTTGCTCATGAAATGAAGGATTGACCTATCAAAAGTTGAGAAAATTATGAAAATGTCCCAGAGCCACTTGTCCCTAACTAAATCACTAGACGATGATAGAATGTCAACAATCTGTGCCAGTGTTACAAGCTAAATGTCAATCAATGAATTGCGGAACTTACAATTGACTGTTAATCAGGCTCCATCTGGCCATCTGCCATGGAGCCGATACTTCTCCTCTCCTTAATGATTCATAAGAACATCTGCCCAGGAAATTAATTACACAAGTCCGAGTTCCATCATGCATCAATAATTCAGCATCACTAGGTGTGTTATGCCAACAGGGGAAGATGAGGGAACAATCAAAGCACAGTAGGATCTTCACAGTTCTAACACAATATGCATAATTCTGATACTATTTCCTCGTAGTTCACATATTTCCTATTAAGTAGGAAATATACACTTGAGAATTACTGGAAAATAGTAGTCATTTGACAAAAGCATTCCACATAATGTTAAATGTATCTGTAAGGCAAATATAAGATTCCTATTCATAACAGTGTGTCTATGTTATCATTACTCTGCTACTGCTGAGAAAAAATAGTCTTCAACAAATTATTATTTTTTTACTTCTAAAGGACAATTTCTGGAAATCTCATAATGATCTTCACTTTCTTAATGATACATGATTGGATATTTAATTGCATGATTGAATAATAGACATATGAGAACATAATCAATTAAAATGTAAAAATATATTTTCCAACTGAAATAATTATTTTATAATTAATGGAAAGGATTTCTTACGGCAGAAACAAAATGTATTTTTAGTGAAAATAAGCCAATCTAATATTTAATCACGACTTTATAATTCAAAATAGCACCTTAACATATTCATAGCCTTTACTTATATACAAATGCACAATGAAAAATGAAAATACTGTCATGAACCGTCATTCACCTTTTAAATGCCATGCAAGCTTCAATCATGAGTCGCCAAATTACCAGACATGTAATTAAACTCTAATTACATTACCAACAGATAACATGCTATGTTTCCTTTAATCTAAAGATGCCGGTTGAAGCAGTTTGCTCGTTCCTCATTCAAATAAAATCATTTACACATGGTACACACATTTAAGTGCACGATGAAACAGACCCTCCCCCTAAATCAACCAATCCAATCAATATAAGGAAGACATGCACAGGTGAACCTACGAATGACAGATACCTACCAGTATGCACATGCATGATAGTCACATCAACATGTTCAGACTGTCGTCTTGTTTACAATGTCCATCAACCAGAATATGTCGTTTCTATGACGACAGTTATTCTGTAGATGATCTATATAATCCGGTTTCGGTACCATGTGTGATGTATTTTGGTACCGCCTTCCTTGTGTATCACGTGATATATTCACAATACGCAAAATTTGTGACGTTTTGTGTCAGTTTTCGTTCATACTCCTTCCCTAACGAATGCTTCAACGGTTTAGTAATGTAGTGTTATTCTAATATAATTAATTACAGGCGAGCAGCAGGAATAATTCGTGGCCAGCACAAAAAAATGGTACACCTCATCCAATTCCTCGAGTATGATATCGTCTCTTAGACACAACGAGAAATCATACACAAGGTTTCGTAAATATTATTTTATTCATATGGTTCAAGGTTGTCGAGTTGAAAGATGGCGTTATTACCCAAGTGTGTTTAGCGTACATAGTTTAAGAATTATGTTTATATTCCAACAGCGAGAGCCTGAATTGTTACACTAGTTTCGTAAAATCAGTAGATCTAGTAAGATTCACAAACAAATGTAATACAGTCATTGTAGCTGGAATATTGCGGAGTGCGGCGTTAAGGAACAAACAAACAAATGTAATACTTTCTGGATTGTCCTCACTTACAAATAAGCTGTACATAGTCAACTTGTGTATTCCAGTAATGCATTGAAAACAGGGTCAACACGATGTGAACAATTATTTGATGTCTAACTATACGTGACGCATTGTTAAACATCAACAATGCCTGTATTACGTCAATATCAGAGTGCAGAACTACTGACGGAGCCCTACTTACCCCCAAGTGTTGGTTGGTTGGTTTGTTGTTTTACGCCGCACTCAGCAATATTCCAGCTATATGACGGCGGTCTGTAAATAATCGAGTCTGGACCAGACAATCCAGTGATTGATATCATGAGCATCGATCCACGCAATTGGGATCGATGACATGCATCAACCAAGTCAGGGAGCCTGACCACCCGATCCCATTAGTCGCCTTTTACGACAAGCAGAGTCACCTTTTACGGCAAGCATGGGTTGCTGAAGACCTTTTCTACCCCGGAATCTTCACGAGTCTAACCACCAAATGAGCCCGTACGTGTACCGTCAGTAAAAATCAAAGATTGTTGTTACTGACCTAGATGAGACCTTTTCCAACACTCACTTCACATATTTCACATGAAAATTCTGGAACAGAAATTCGTTATTCGACACTGTTTTTATATCAATAATTGTGATATGCAAGGACATTAATTTTTAAAGAAATCACGTTCGTGACTATAAATATTATAGAGTAGTGCAGAGCTCCAGATAAGCTTTTGGTGTTGTGGGTATTTTACCCATGCATTTTAAAATCATTGGGTATCAGTAATTCTATCTGCGTATTCAAATTTCTGTTACCCACTAGTTTTTACACATGTGGGTATTTAAGTTAAATATTTAAAAACACTATTCATCTAGTCCCTGCAAACTGGTGTCGTGTGGGTTCGAGAGCTTTATAGGACTAAAAAATACCACGATACTTCCACAAGAAAGTGTGATGGCAAATGATCATGATGTAACTGTCATCGTGGAGTTTGGCAAGGTTGACGGAATGCCCGTTTATAATTTCAAAATAAGTTGCTGATTTGCTAATCGAATACGCAGGGTTACTTCACAATATTTTGATGATACACACAAGTTTTATTTTTGTAGCGTATCTGTAATGTTCGTTGCGTATTTGATACGCTTGGATTATATTTTACTGTGTATTTCTGTATTTCTGATGCGTATTTCACGCAGATACGCAGCTTATCCGGAGCTCTGGTAGTGGACGAAGGAGGGTAGCTGACAGGCCTAGGGCTTCTGCAAATGATAATGCCCTGACAAATATAGTTGCCGTTATTATAGCTAACGTGGATTGAATTTGTAGCTAACCCCCCAAGGAACACTGCAACAAGCAGCAGCATACATTTAGTGGCTGTTATAATAGCTCACAACGGAGATAGAGAATATTTCATGTGTCGAGTGAAATATCATGTTTCTGTCATCGAGTTACAATATAAACAAAAGTATCGAAAAATATTTAGGGTCTCGAAAATTCTTCATTATACATTTAGAAAAGATACAAAATCAACAAAAATATTCTTGAAAACTAGGAGACCACTGTTTGAAGCGAAAGGACACACGCTGGTCAAGAAACGAAAATGGCGCTTTTTGAAAGTCTCGATTGACGAGTTAAATGAAAAATTTACAGTTTATAACGAAACATTTTCGAGTGAATAACACACGGAAAGACGTGATATTAACTCCACATTTATATATATATTAATTGTGTCCTGGCTAGACACTTTACAAGCTCCTCAGAGCGATATCCCGTTCGCGCAGCTCTCTATACACTCTCCTACCCAGAGTTCCATGCGACCAGCATATAGTACCTCTGCCACAGGCCAGCGCCATGTGACGATTCGTCACATCTTACACCGTCCATTCAAGATATTGTATATGTTTTTCATCTGTTTCATTTTTGACAAGTCTACATATCTAGATAAACATATGTCATAGAATGGTTTACTTTCATTGAGAAAATATCCTCAATCGTGAAATACTATTAAAGCGCCCCTAAATACTTACATTAGTCCGTTCTATTCTGATTTCTGAAAAAGCGCGTTTATACGGAACCGTAGAGGGGACATCGGATGAGAAAATAAATATCAATAGTAAGGCGTGGCCACGAGATAATAAGTCGAGGCCACGAGATAATAAGTCGTGGCCACGAGATAATAAGGCGTGGCCACGATATAATAAGTCGAGGCCACGAGATAATAAGTCGTGGCCACGAGATAATAAGGCGTGGCCACGAGATAACAAGTCGTGGCCACGATATAATAAGTCGAGGCCACGAGATGAATAAGGCGTGGCCACGATATAATAAGTCGAGGCCACGAGATAAATAAGGCGTGGCCACGACATAATTTAGCCAATGAAAACTCAGGTTACGTATTTTCGAATTTTAGGATGGAGGACCTCGAGCGTTTTCTCACAGACAGGGGAGTTCCTAGCGAAAACGTTCAGCTACTTGTTGCTGACAAGGTAAAAAGACGATAAGGTTTTCGTGTAAAACGTACTCTTCAGGTTTGCATGTAAAAATCACATTTATTACTGTATTTTCACGGTAAACGGTTGACTTGGCCAAGGTGTATGTACCATTAGGTGATGAAGAAGTAAGCTCTGCTTTTAAGCGATTTTGTACCATATTTATGAATCTTGACCATTTCCCACGAAGACCTAGAGACGAAGTTCAGTGTTTTCGTGCAACTCAAGTTTTGAACGGGCGAATCTTGAATATTACTGATATACATTGCAATAATCATTGTAATGCTATCCTACATACAAAATCTTTTTGACATCATCAGACAACCAAATATATTGCTGTTCTCTTTGAGTTTTGTTTTTAACAAAACCCAATAAACAAATATAGAAATATAATGAAACAAACAAACTATTAAACAAAATTGGATGTGCTTAAATAGTTTCATAGCCTAAATGTAATAATGTGCACAACATGCATTGGCAACATTTATCAGTAAAGAGCGAAGTAATAAGATATATCGTGAATATTGAAATAATCATTTGTGCTGACAATTAGCATCGATTTTCGTAGCTTATTTTCGATTTTGAACAGGCTTAAAGTTCTGGGATACAGTCCTTACCATTAGATTGTTAAATGATTTAGAATTAAATTATAAGATAAATAACAGGTAACATTAAGATGAGTTGAGAATTATTACTATTATTCATGTGATTTAAAATATAAGCTTTGATGTGATTAAACCACTGACGAGATACAAATATTTATGTTAAGATCGATCCAAGCCTTATCCTTGAGATGAAGGATGAAGAGCTTTCTAGATATATTCCTACATACGGGGACAGGCTTGCGACGGTAGTCTGGTGCAAGTCAAGGCAATTGGAAAACCCAGAAAAACAGACCAAATCAAGCGGATTGTTCGACAGAATTCGAGAAAAAATGTCAAATCGAAGAAAGAGGGGTCAGAAAGATTTTGACTTTCTGCAAGGTAACAAAAACGCAAGAAAAACATCTCGGCGAATTGAAGTTGGGTGGATGGATTTTGACACGAAGGTTAATGCCTTTAAGCAAGTGCGGAGTCAAAACGGGGGTGGGACAAGACATTTATCAGTTTATAGGGATGCTGGACAAGCAGATATTCTGGCAGTAGCCAAACAACTGTTCTTTACCGATGGTGAAAGCAAAAGGGGAAACGAGGCGCAATTCACTTTCTCCATCAAAGATTTTAAAGGGGAAGAAATGGGCCAAAAAACAGTGGCTAATGTATATGAGGAAACTAAAGTAAAGATTATTCGTTTCTACATGTACACAAAGAAAAAAGAGAATGAGCAAGATCTGTCAACTGACGTGGTCCAACACCAGTCTAACAATGAATCGGCGAGTCAAAAAAAGGTAAAACCATATTTTGATATCAGGTAAAAGTAAAATTGATTTTTTTGCCATACAACATAAATAAGGTTGGAATAAACCTTCTCTGAGATGTCTAGTTTCTAGAAGCCTCACACCTCAGCGCCATAAAATAACATTGGTAATACCATCACATCGAACGCTTTCATCAAACAGTCAAGTGGAGAATGGACTTTTCTTGCATATACATACAGACGAATATACATGCATCTTTCACAGTGTAAAGGCAGGGGTCAATATTGTTGGATGCAAAATCTGCGAGAAGGAGCGTCACACTTAAACATACGAAAATATGTGTATTGCATGCGATTAGAAATTTGATTTATCTTAATATATGCAGTTGTATGAAATCCCTTAGATTTGTTCTATTGGAGATTATAGACATTGTTGTTTTTACCCCTAAATAATCTGGACAATGGAGATTGATGACGGCACTCCAATTGCTTCTACGGGAACGCCTACTGCTTCTCCTGGGACGCCTACTATTTCTACTGGGATGCCCACTGCTTCTACCAGGACGCCCACTGCTTCTACCGGGACGTTTACTGCTTCTACCGGGACGTCTACTGCTTCTACCGGGACGTCTACTGCTTCTACTGGGACGTCTACTGCTTCTACCGGGACGTCTACTGCTTCTACCGGGACGACTACTGCTTCTACGGGGACGCCGACTGTTGTTTTCAACTCGGGCAGTGTACGTATAAGCATTAAACACGTGGAGTATCATACTTACAGACCCGTGAAGATCCGGGATAGAATTGGTCTTCAGTAACCCATCCGTGTCGTAAGAGGCGACTAACGGGATTGGGTGGTCAGGCTCGCTGACTTGGTTGACACATGTCATCGTATCCCAATTGCGTTGACCGATGCTCATGCTGTTGATCCCTGGATGGTCTTGTCCAGACTCGATTATTTACAGACCGCCGCCTTATAGTTGGAATATTGCTGACTGATGCGTAAAAATAAACTCACTCACTCACTCACTCACTCATAATTACAATTGAAATGAATGCCTAGACTTCTTGACACCGTAGTGCTTTGTTTTAAATCAACTCCTGACGAAAACAAGTGATGTGTTCCAACAAATGGGTTATACATTTTTTGGGTTTACAATAGAAAAAAAGCAATATGATGAATAATGACGTCATCCTTGTACGGTCATTCGGTAGAGATAAACTAGATTTCACAGTATATTGTCAAATAAAGCGTACAAGAAATAACATATTATATGATACAGTCAGTATAATCAAATATCTTGTAAAGTGAAAAAAATAGATATTTCACTCATCGCTATGCTACTTGGGAAAATATCTCCACTCGATAAGAGACAATTGCTATGTCATTGCAAACATCTAGTATCCACTATTACTATTTTCACAATGTCTCTTGTAAACGTCACAAGACATGACGTCAAACGTCACACAATCGATGATATACCTCTTCTGAACATTGTGATTTGAATTTTGGTTGGGAAAAATCAAGGTCAATGTCAATTGGATATTTATTACTTTTATCAACTTGTGTGGATATATTTTATATCGGAAGGCACTCGGTTGTGGTTCTTTATATTTTATACTTCATTGTTTCGTCTCCTTGCAGGCAATGCAGTCAATTTCAACTGATGATTCACTACCAGATCTAGACACTGTTTCATCAGAAGGCGGGGAAGCCGAACTTGGTGTTGAAGACCAAAATGGTGAAACTGTAGACAGCACGGTCACATACAATGACGTGGATTCAAGTGAAGGAAGTGACTTGGCAGTATTTGACATACCAAGGCAGTCCAACAGGAACCTTGTGTATACCCGGAGTGACCAGCCACTCCCCCTTCAGCCTCCACCCCTTAGACTTGAGGCCGTGCGGTGAGAGAATTATTTATGTGATTCAAACATAAGGGAAAACACAGTTTCATCAGTAAATTGAAATAACCTAAATCAGCCATGCATAAAACGTTTGTCATTTTCCCATTTGAGTTGCAGCTTATTAAAAATTCAAGTAGATATCGTCAATTTGTATCTTGAAAGTACTTTGCAATTATTTGTCATATGTTTATGCAAACATAAATCTTAGATGTAAAGTATAAGGTCAATTGTATTTCCTATAGGTTTTATCGAGTGGATTCTTTCATATCCATAACAAAACGGAAAAAGTAACATTAAAGTTATGTTACAAACTGTTAAAATAATTTGGTCTGAGTTCAGAATTGAAGTAAGACGAGTTCTATGGATGAACAACTTCTTTATTACAATTAGTGCGACGTTTCGGTGTAGATCCTAACACCTTTTTCATGCAAGTGATGAATTGTTTTCTTGTTTTATAGACATTCAGAAAATCTTCACGAGATATTGACCAGACTCGCGTCAGTGATCAATAAAGAACGACGGAACATTGTTAATGTCACAAGACGTAATGTAATGTCAGGTGGCATCAGAGCTTTCAACAGGCCATCTTTCAACCCTGAAAATGGCTTGTCTGTTAAGTTTGCTGGGGAATATGCAATAGACGATGGCGGGCCAAGCAGGGAGTTTTTAAGATTGCTCATGAAAGAAATATCTTCTCTCCCCATATTTACCGGTGACGAGACAAAAAAGATGCTGGATTTGAATTACACTGGTAAGAACTTGCATGTTTTGTGAAGTGTATTGATTTTTGCATAACCATTTGTTTACCTTGAACTGAAGTTTACTGATAGACCTTGGGGGTATTTGACTTGAACTGGACGGGATTATAGTGCTATTCAATATTTTGTATAATGATAGATTTAGCTCTTTGACATATTTATACCATTTGAGTATCATCACTAGATATATTGATACATATGTCAAGCTGTATCCCAGAAGGTAAAAGGTAGAATACACCCATAAAGTAGTATCGAAACAAATTATGTTTAAAGGTTTCAGGTGTCAGGAAATATAGCTACATGTACATCACAATTTTTATTGGTTCTGGTCAGTTTGCAACAGCTGACAGTAAACCTTTAAAGAAATATTCCGAGATCCAGATATGTGGGTGCTGGACTTCCTCATTGACAATAATTTTGTCAAGTTTGGGGATAGAACATTTCGCCAAACGGTTGGAATCCCCATGGGTAGTAACTGTGCTCCACTTCTAGCTGACCTTTTTCTCTTTGAATATGAGTCTGAGTGTTTAACAAATCTTGTTAAATCCAAGAAACGTTACCTTGCTAAAAAGTTTAATCTCAGTTTCAGGTACATTGATGACATTATTTCACACCAAGATAAATGAATTTCTGGATTTGATATATCCACCAGAATTAGAAATTAAAGAAACCACTGAGAGCCAATGCTGGGTTTCCTATCTCGACTTATGCATTGAGATTGACAATAATGACAGCATTTCTACTAAGCTATATATGACAAGAGGGATGATTTTAATTTTGCCATCGTCAACTTTCCTTACTTGTGTAGCAACATCCCCTCAGCTCCCGCCTATGGTGTCTGCATTTCACAATTGCTTCTGTACTTAAGAGCATGTACCTTTTACTCAGACTTCAAAAAAAGACATGCGCTACTAACAAATAAGCTCTTCAAGCAAGGTTACACTATCCAGGGCCTTGTCAGGTCTTTCCAAAAATTATATGGCAGACATTCGGAAGCCTGCACTAAATATGACAAGTCACACTTCATATGATGTGATGCCATCCCATTTAATGACATTCATGTTGAGTTTTCTAAACTCACGGCAAATTGGCATTTAATATTTTCTTGAAATTTTGTGAACGACGGGTGCTACCGGTAGGGCAGGAGAAGCTTACCATTTCGCGAACACCTTATCTCATCACAAGTCGGTGATTCATTCAAAATCTTTCAACACGATTTTGCCTTTCATGTCCAATGGAATCTGTTTCGACAGATATCGAGTTTGATTGTTCTTTGGCGTTGACGTTATTAATTTATCCATTCACTGATGTAAGTTTTCTTGTTTTAGCCCTACAAAGCGGTCTCTACTTGACAGCGGGGAAGATGATAGCATATTCTGTCGTACACAATGGACCTCTTCCACGGTTTTTCAGTCCACTGCTGTTCAGTACGCTTGTTGGCGACAGCCAAATTCAGCCAAAGATTGATGACATCCAAGATGTCGCACAGAGGGAAAGTCTACTGAAGGTCGATTCAAACTCAATTCCCTAATTAGGTTTACATGATGCGTTACAAGATGCGTAACTGCCTTATCAACATTTGTGTGGTCCTATAGTGTCATATATGTTTCATATATTCAAAAGCAAATGTATCAACTAGAATTATACTTCAGAAATATGTACTGTTTCAACACTGCTATATTTGGAATAGCACTATATGTAATAGTAACGATTCTAGTACTTTGTGGTTGAGTGCCATTCGGGCTTTGAACCCACACCATAAGAATCAGGCACCAATTTGCCAGCATTGAAACTTCCACCATGTACCACCTCAACCACTTGGCATCGAAGCGATTTGTTATTAAAAAAATAACATGTTTGCCTTTGTTCATCAATTAAATTGCATGAATTAACTGTTTGTATTAATTCTATAACTTCTTTTGTCTGAATTGTTAAAACTATAGAAATATGTAATGTTTTCCAGATACGAAATGCAGAGGATATGTCTTCGTTCCTGGATGCCGTAGGTGGTGCTGATCAACTTATCCAACTTGCTGGATGTTACTCTCTTACTCTCTCCTTAGCAAAGAAGGAAGAACTTTGTGATGCCTTGATCCATTTTATTGTGCTTGGCAGAATCAAAGAGTGCCTAGATCAGTATGTACTGCTACCAAGCTTTTCAACGAATGTTTGACCGTTCACTGTCTTGTTAAATCCTTCCAAATGTTTTATGGTAGACAGAATGATATTTCTACCAAATATGACAGGCCGCTTGCAATATATGTGCATGGTGGGTGCTACCGGTAGAGCAGGACACGTTCCCCCTTTTCGCGAACACCTGGTGTCATTCCGATTTGTAATCAGTAATCCATGCATATATTGTTCTCTTTACATCGCCACAAATGCCCCATTGAATCTGTTTCGGCAGATATGATAAATCACAGCCCTAAGGCGTTGACGTTTACTATTAAATATCATTAATAAGTGCAATCGGGTTCGTTAGTGTTGCTGTTGCTGAATGGTGTCATAGTGCAGTAATGGTTAAAGTAATTTTAGTATCTGCGACAATTTAATACGCAAGAGTTAATAAAAAACAACAACATACACTCTCTCAAAAAAGAAACGCAACCCCTATATTTTCAAGATGTTTATCTCAATATGCAAGTTATTATAACACATTTAATATTGAAGACAACAATATGACATTTGGCATGGTGGCAGTACAGTTATGCATCTTTAAGTCCAGACTTCGACAGTTCTCTCACTAAGATTGACTTGACGCAATGGGGCGTCTCTGATCTTTGGTTGTAAGACATGGCTCCCCACATCATGACGTTCCCTCCTCCAAATCTGTCGACCTGCCGAACACAGTTCGGGGAAAAACGTTCGTTTCCTCTTCTATAGACACGCTGTCTTCCGTCACGGCGTTGTAAGAGAAAACGTGATTCGTCACTAAACCAGACGCGCCTCCAGTTTCTCAGGGTCCATATCCGAACGTTGGTGCACCACCTGATGTTGGTGGCGTAAAACAGGTCCAATAAGTGGTCTTCTTGCACGTAGACCGGCCTCTAGTAGACGGTTCCTAATTGTTTGTGCGGACACTCTTCTCAAACCTGGCACCTGTGTTGCAGTGACGGTAGGTGTGGCTAGCCGATTACGTAGGTGGGTGACCCGGATGAATCGATCCTGAGGTTGTGTGGTAACCCTTGGCCTACCATTTCTGGGGCGATCGACAGTTGCATGAAACTGGGTGTATCGGCTCCAAAGTCGGGAAATCGTTGTTTTATGAACATTGAGGTGCCGGGCAACGTTTCCAAAGCTTTGTCCGGCCTCAATACGACCAATGGCGATATTTCGATCTGCAGCACTCAACCGTAGCATATTCGACCTTGTCTTTCGGTGAAAATGATAGAGTGAATCTCTAATCAACGCGTGCTTTTATAAGCCCATACTTCTACTGCTCTTTCCATGAATTGCACGTGCATGAGGCTTTTGGCATGGGCCACGTGAAAACTGTGCTCACTATGATGAAAGAAACAATAAAATGCCCTTGTGCACGAAAATTGGTGTGTTTGGGCGCTTACGTTAATAAACAGTGTACATGGTATAAGTGCATATCAGAAAAATTGTATTTACAATCAATATTTTTTCTTCTGGGGGTTTTCTCACATTTTCAGACTGGGGTTGCGTTTCTTTTTTGAGAGAGTGTATTTGGAATGTTTTCACAGTTAATTCAGTTATTATTCATAACAACGATCTGACCGATGCACAATTATACACATGAATTTTGACATCTGAGAATTGATCGTTAATGGGATAAAGTATGAAACCGTCTTTAGGATAACGTTCCAATGAAACAAACACATGCAACAAAAAATTTATCAAACTCAAATTTATTTTATAAAGTGGGTATTGTTCGAGTTAAGGTGCATAGTCTTATCTGTTTCCTTACACAAACTACTTTAAGATAACTAAAGTAAATGTCTTCTGGGTTTTATGACATCCATGTCTATTGCATATTAGCACAAGATATTTTCAATTCTAGATTCCAAAAAGGACTGGCCACTTTGGGAGTGCTTGCAGAAATGCGTGTTCACATCAAAGAAGTAAGGGAACTTTTCTGTTTCGATGAAAAGTATGAATTGAACGCTTCTGTGCTTGAAATGGTGTTCAGTGAACCATCCTTCTCCGAACCTGGGAGCAACAGGCGCAGAATGGAAGAAGAGACAGTCAGTTATTGGATGGACTATCTTCTGGACGTAGCAGGTAATGAGATAAGAAAAACAGTCGGACGTTAGTGTGTTTATAATAACTGTCATGGTGAACAAAGAATATTTATAACAGCAAATTACATGGGGATATCCATATGTAAAGCTAGAACGTGTTTGAGAGTCCAGATAACCAGACACGATCAGGACTGAGAACATGGTCCCTCTTGTGTGTGTCTCTATCACCTGTTAAGATCTAACTGCATTCGCAAATATGTGTCATGATGTATTGTCAAATGAGTGAATATGGTCGGTGAGTTAATGTGGTTGGGTACATATTGTTTAGTGAGTTCCTATGTTTGGGTACTTTCTTTATTTGACAAAACTGTATTTTCAGAGGGCACAGAATCAGTCACCCTGAGTGACATATTGGTTTTTGCGACTGGCGCGGGATCCATTCCTCCCCTTGGTCTCCATCCACAGCCGCAGCTGACATTCCACACTGCAATTGAACTCAACCCTGAGAACAGAGAGAACTTCCCTCGAGCTAACACATGTGCAAATGTATTAGACATTCCAATGATCAGTAATTATAACCTGTTCAAGAAAAACATGAATGCAGCAATCAGTGTGAATATCTTCACTTCCGAGTGAAAAGACGGGCATGACTGTTTGTCATGAATTGTCTTCCCCCTTTAAGTTTTGTTTTGCATTTGTTTCACTTTTACAGAACTGTTCTGCTATAATCGATTGAGCTTTTAGTCTAATTTTATTGAATCTGTTACTACCAAATAGGTTAATTGGTACTGACATCTGATTGTTTAAGAAGATTTTATTTACACCTGTTCAAAACATTTTTAGACGAATGTCCTATCGTATTATTTCTAATATACAAACCAGGTGTTGAATTTTTAATGGTTTGATGAGGTATGTTATTAAAGTTTAGTTTAAAGGAATTGCATGCTTTGATATCAACATGACAATACCGTGTTCCCTGTAGGGTCAGAAGAGGGGTCGTTTGAATCATTTTACATTTTGTGCTTTTGGTACAAGAGAAACCTTAAATTACTATGACCCGTTTAAATGTGTCTCTTAATGTGAAAATTAAGCGGAATTTGTTTTTGGAGTTTTTGTTGAGACAAAGAAATATTAGCTCATAGGTTTGTGGCATATAGTAAACGTGTTATTTTGTAAGCCTGTAAAGAACGTTTATTGTAATGAAACGAAGAAGGATGCAGATATGTTCTTTCTTTAAAACCCCAAATACGTTTAAATGACCATTGTAAGCAAGTTTTTTTGCAGTCAACATGTTTATGTTGTAATGGAAATTAAAAAAATATTGATGTTGTTGGTTAAGAATTACTAAGTTTGGGTACAGAAGGTTTAAAACTTACAAATATCGCATCTGTTAACATTTTGATTTATTTGGATTGCATATTATGAACATCTTGTTATGTTTTGAACAGACAGAATAAATCCTGTTTAATTGATAAAAGTTAATGGAAGTCACTCTACCCCAGATATCCTGTTTTTTTCCCGGTGTGGATTACACCGTTAGCATTATAGTTTCTTGAAGTATTGTATTAAATTTGCAGTCATTTTAAAAAGCTGTCACACAACACAATAAAGAGCCATCAGTTAACAGCTTAACAGGCTATTTTATGTCATTCTTTTAATGTTAATTCGTGAACATTCATTTGTTTCATGTATCTACCTAGACTGATAGTTTTGGAGTACAACGTTCAAAGTACATAATTTGCGTTGCGAACTGATATAAAACTTATTATCATAGCAAATAGTCATCTGATAATCTTTACTTATATTACCACCAGGGCTTGTAATTCAACAATTTAAGCAATTGTTCCAAAGGTCTGCGACTACAGAATTATAACATTTTACGAATGACGTGTCAGCTTTCTGTAATTCGGACATTATGTTAATCATGCACTAAACAAGTCAACTAAGCTTATGCAAGTTATTGTATGCACATAAATTTATTGTAGGGTTGCGGCTTTTGTATCAGCAAACATTTGTCAGAAGTGCAATCAGTTGGAAGTTTTGCTTATACTTCTTGTAAAACATCAGATCTAGAGTGAATCAATGTTAAATTTGGGAAATGGTTTATGTCTGAAACATTAAACGAAAGTTTGTACTGGCATTTATACCTGCTTTAGTTGCAAAACACTAATGTTAATCATAACCATCAATAGGAATACGTGCCTCGTGGAAGGAGGCAACGAGTTACATTTGGTAGGATCATAAAACAGATGTATATTAGACTTTACTACAGGACTTCGTAGATTTCTTGTCGGAGATGTATATACAGATCAGCTGCTTCTTGAGCATTCGTTGCCGGTTGTAGGTTGTCTCTCCCCATGACTTTAGTACATATTTCATAAACGTCTTCATCACAGGGGATTGTTGAGCGAATCACGGCTTCCTCAAGGCAGGTAGAGACGTCTTCGTCGGACACAACACAGAGTTGATCTTCAGTTTCCCATAGAGCTGGAGCACTGTACATTTGCTCTGGATGACCACTTGCAATATTGTTTCTTGAGGGTCTAATGCAATGGTTGTCCCAAACGGCAGCCACGGAATCCAGATCATCCTAAAAATGTTAATGTTAAAGAATTGTTTCCAACCGATTTATCTGGTGTAGATTAGGACATGAAAACAGCAAAAACCTGTTTTATATTGTATTGATCATTGTAGGTAACAGTAACATATTTTATAGTAAAGAGAAATATAAAATATATGTCGAAGAAAGTTTACATGTATGAAGTCGTTACTTTATGTATGAACAGTTCTACTTGCATGACATAATACAATAAAGTGTACCTGAACAATAGCCATGAAACAAAACTGGATAAGGTTTTTGTCCAAGAAATCTCCCCTGAAATCTCCATTTTCCTCGAGACCTTTGAACGTTTCAATCCAAAACTGTGTACATTCCTTTCTTAGAAATGACCACCAGACTTCGATTCTTTGATTTGATGTACTGGAACCATCAATGAAGCATCTTCCGGCTTGTGGATCTGTATTGTCACGTCGAAGATACTGTTGATACACTCGGACGTGTACATTTTCTGTACCATGGTCAGCCCTTACAATGCGTGGGCAACCTCTGTGGGTCCTAACGGCCTCTAAAAAGTATCCACCAATTACCTTTGGATTGTTGTTGGTATTGTAGACCTTGATCCATATTACTTTTCTTGAAAATCCACAAACACAAGCGTGGATACAAAGTCCAAATGGTTTAAGTTTATCATATCCATCTACATGCCAAACAAAATTTGGCCCTTTGGCATAATAGGAACGCCGACGTAGTCGCCGAACTCTCCTTGATGCAACTCCCACTGGATCTAGATGACGCAAAATAAGTCGAACGTCTTCCATTCTAGCCTTTACACCACTTTGTTGACATCTAGCGTACATGATACGGTAGCCACACAGTTGTCCTGAAGCTGATAGTTGATCCTGTATAAAACTCACAACATCCACGAGAGGGCTGAATCTACGACGACTCAGATTCATAGTCCTCAGAATTCTCTTAAGGTGCCGCACACTTAGTTTGAATCCATAGATGTTGTCAAGAATGTACACAATATCCTTGTAATTGATTCCAAGATGGAAATAATGTGATATTACTTCACTGCGAAGGTCTTGATTCATAATATGACCAAGTTTCATAAGTAATGGAATGATGAAAAGTATATAAAATGGCCGACCAAAACAGCAATTCTATTGGTTAAATTATCTCATGGCCACGACTTATTATCTCGTGGCCACGACTTATTATTTTGTGGCCACGCCTTATAATCTCGTGGCCACGCCTTATTATCTCGTGGCCACGCCTTATTATCTCGTGGCCTCGACTTATTATGTCGTGGCCACGCCTTATTATCTCGTGGCCTCGACTTATTATGTCGTGGCCACGCCTTATTATCTCGTGGCCTCGACTTATTATCTCGTGGCCACGCCTTACTATTGATATTTATTTTCTCATCCGATGTCCCCTCTACGGTTCCGTACGTTTATTTACAAACAAGAGAAAATTTTGAAGTCCGGCCACGTGATATGCAAGTTAGCCTGTGGCACTGCGAGCTTGAGACGATAAAGGGAGGCAATTTAAGGGGAGGTAACTCTTGTGTGACAATAGTTCCGTCAAAGTGTTTTGTTCACACAGAGACCGTATGACCTCTGGTTCACAGCAGTGAAAGACAAAGTGTTATGTTCACTGCAAAGAAAATATCACTTTTCACACTAAAGTATATAATAAATTACAGAATTTACAAATAGCGACGTCATGGAACATAATATAGGTTGACGTCACAAACAAGAAACGTGACGCCAATAACGTCATATAACAATATAATAGATAGCATCCCGTCGTTAGGGAAAAACAAGCTGCTATCACGTTACTTGTGAAAAAAATAACTAGTCTGAATAATATTGCTCCTTTTGCATGGTGTGTAGCTACAACAATGGCATTAATAAGTGATACACGTAAGAGAGAGAATTTTATGGATGTCAACTTCTTTATTATCATTTATGAGTAACACGCCTCGGAGTATATTCTTACTCCATCAGGCGTTTGAATGCTTTGATTGAAGCCAACAGTTAATTAGCGCTGATTGGTGATTAGCAATGGACAAATGAAAGACAGGATAAATACTGTATTTGCAGCTGCAGGCATTTAACAGATAGAGCTGCCTCCCTTGTTACTACTGTTCACATAGACCTTACATGCAGGTGATAATGATAATAAGCGCAAAATCCACATCACTGATGGACACGCCCATGGCGCAAATTCAGCATATGTAGATATATAGAACAGAGAGGGGACATTAAGATAATAATAATATACACATTCAGTTGTAGCATTCCAAAAGGTATGTTTTGAGTCCTGACTTAAACACAGTGATACTAGCCGCACCTTGAGGCTGAAGGGAAGGGAGTTCCATAGAGAGGAACCAGCATAAGAGAAGGGTCGAGCAACAAAGGACTTAAGTCTGAATTTTGGTACAAACAGGAGAAGTAGGTCATTTGATCGGAGATTTCTGGTTGATTTGAATGAAGAAACATTTCTTGAGATAGGCAGGGCCAGTGTTATGGAGAGACTGGTAGACAAGAGAGAGTATTTTAAAATCAATCCTCTCGCGGATTCGCTGCCAATGTAGTGACTTCAAGATGGATGAGATACGTGACTAAAGCTTTGTTCTTAAAAGTTGTCACTATTCGGGCAACTCCATTCTGTATCTTCTGCACATTACATTATTAAGATATCCGGAAATATCTACAAAAAGGAAATGAATTTTAACATGAATAACATTCAAATAGGTTGCATATTGTAACCAAGTTAATGAAAAATATTACCGGTATTTGATTTTACATGACTATGTGAATCTTGGTAATCAACAAGTTTGAATGTAATTAACAAATATTACTGGCATCAATGCATGTATAGAAAGTATTTCTTGATTCATGAAATCAACTTTTCACCCGAAAGAGATTCATTAACAATCCTGAGTTTGGTGTATTAGTAATGTTTACTGGTGTGTGCATTTTCATCAACGATTTATGATTATTCGCATCGCCAGGAATTAAATCTTTATCCGATATCAGTTGACACAACTGTTAGGGTATTTCGAAAAGATCAAACGATAAAGAATGAATTAATCTAATAGAATTTAATATCAACCAATTAAATCCCCAGAAGTAGATGCAGAAGTTGATGGCACTCCCAAGAAAGAAAATGAAAGACAAAACTGAACAATCCTGTCTTTTCATCTTCCCAAAGCAAGGAGGGACTTTTCAAGTCTGTTAACTCCCTTGCCTCAGGAAGATGGTGCCTGATGCATGAAACCGATATATGACATATGATGATATATGATCTGCACATAAATTATATCTCCAATTCACATCATATCATGCAAATAAAACCGAACAATGTGAGTAACAAAACAGATGAAAAATAAAAACACTACTTAATTTGGTTGCAGACAGGAATGTTTGTTTTTACAGTGCTGGTACAGTCTACAGTGTTGACATTAGCTAGTCCAGGGTAGTTTATGTTTGTTTCAAATAAAATGCTCACTTTATTGCATCTTATTGTACAGTTCTGTTGTTCTTTGTATGACTGACCCGTGAAGATCTATGGGCGGCCATTCGGTCAAAAACTACAAAGTTTATAAAAAGGACAAAAATATGCAATTAAGGTCAAATATTACGAATAAAGAACTAAATGTTACTTCTAAAGGACAAAATACAATATTAATAGTCAAATGTTTCCGAAAAGACGTCATAAGAAAAGAAAGAACAATGTGTACAAAAGGACGTTTTCAATAAAGAACGTCAGTGAGCACGAAAGGACGTTTTCAATAAAGAACGTCAGTGAACCCGAAAGAACGTTGACAATAAAGACACAGTTTCCGAAAAGCTGTTAAAAATCAAACAAATTCTCGCACAACGATCACTTTTCAGATGAAAATGTGCGTCTGAAACAAAACTCGGCATCATAGCACCCTAGTGTTGCACCAAGCATGAACAGTTATTGGATCATTGTAGATGAATCCTAGGGCGCGTTGCAAGCCACGAATCGCTCAGAGAAAGCAAATTAATCGCTCATCCTGATGTCTGCAACAGTTCGAAGCGCTTGCCCACTCTTCCAAAATGGCGGCGCAACTAGCGCTTGGTTGCTTTGACGTAATGAAGAACGTAATAGAAGAGGCTCGATGACGAACTGATGGAATTTATGACTACTTTGAAGATGTAGAGCAGGCTGAGGATGATGGGGTCTTCGCTCCTTTGCTGATTTCCTCGTTGATCCACTCAAGAACAGTGCGCTAACTTTCAGCCGCTTGCAAGCGAAACAATCGCTGGCTGAGGTCGCTTCGTTCTCAAACCAAAATGGCGGCTTACTTTGACAGCGGGATGTTGGATTACACAGTATACTGTATTTGTGAAAAGGCCCTTTAGCGGTGACAAAGCTAAATGTTTATACACAATGTGTTCATTATACAATATAAATACTTTTATATATATGTGTGACGTCAGACGGTGAGTGCAAGAGGAATGACGTAATACATTGTGCACCTCGGAATGCATTTATCATATACACGGCGGAACAAGCCGATTAAACTCGGAATGTTTTGCAAATTGCAGCGCCATCTGGCGTTCTTTATTGTCAACGTCCTTTCGTGCTCACTGACGTTCTTTATTGAAAACGTCCTTTCGTACACATTGTTCTTTCTTTTCTTATGACGTCTTTTCGTAACATTTGACTATTAATATTGTATTTTGACCTTTAGTAGTAACATTTCGTTCTCTATTCGTAATATTTGACCTTAATTGCATATTTTTGTCCTTTTTTTAAACTTTGTATTTTTTGACCGAATGGCCGCCCATAAAGATCCGGGTAGAGAATAGGTCTTCAGCAACCCACGCTTACCGTAACAGGCGACTATGCTTGTCGTAAGAGGCGACTAACGGGATCGAGTGGTCAGGCTCTCTGACTTGGTTGATGAATGTCATCGTATCCCATTTGCGTGGACCGATGCTCATGATGTCAATCACTGGATTGTCTGATCCAGACTCGCTTATTTAGAGACCATCGTTATATAGCTTGAATATTGCTGAGTGCGGTGTTAAATAACAAACAAACTTAGTATGTTGGTTTTTTTTTAGCAAAATGGTGATTGAAAATATATATAACGCATTTAATGATGCCCTTGTAGAGATATATCACCCTAAAATGCAGTCAAGTTAACAACAGCAACAATGAATGGCATCAACCAGTGTGCCTACACAATATATACTCAGCATATCCCATGTGCACCCCTAACCCCACCCCTATTAGTACACTGGAAAACATTGGCCTAATGTTGGTACACTGTTGGACTATTGTCACGTTGACAACATTGGACCAACATGAAAACACTCTGCAAATATTAAATTGGACCAAATATCATCTTCTAACATTGGACCAATTGTAATATTCGTCAACATAATCCAATATCGCTGTTTGCTAGGAATGACTGATCGGCTCGCAGTCGGTATATATATTCGGGTGTAGGCTAAAACGGCACCTCAGCAAAATGTCACCGATTTCTCACATATATTCATACAGATTCTGTCTGTGTGGGCTATCTCTGCGGAACTTCTGCATTGATTCCCAGTAGGATAGGACTATAAAAAAGCGCAATATTCTTGAACGCGACGACCCCGTTTCACGACCCTTTCTTTTTGACAATAAATAGTTGTAAGGAACATACTATATGAAACCGGAACTGGAAATCGACGAGTTAACATGGCAGCTTTACCCACGTGCGATTTCTTCATGTGTTGACATTTTTCACGAAATGCCTGTTAGAATATAATAACTGCCGCTTTAGCGGCTTCTCGCACACAGGTGAGGACAATACGTACTGGGAATCATTAGTGTTTGTACTTTTGGAATGCTGAATGCTAAATAATTATTTTACGGACTCCTCTGGCCCGCGCTTCGGCTTGCCTTGTAATGTTTAAGTATTTCGCTTGTTTCAATTTTCGTTCAATTTCGTCGTCACTTTAAGGGTATGGGATGCGCTCAGTCGTTTAATGAATGAAATAGTGTTTGTGACTTGTAGCTCCAGTGAGTCAGATATTGTCCACATAAATAGAAGTGGAGTACATTGGGCGGTCTTATTGAGCGCTACATCTGTTCTAGCGGAGAGCAGCGATAGGGTGCGACAGTCAAGACATGATCCTACATCACTTAGGGCCATGTCTTGACTGTCGGACCTCATCGTGGCATTTGGCTAGCGGCATCTATGTTCTTAAAATAAATCACTTGTTTTAGACAAGAGTGTTAGGAAGTAAGTACAATGTTTCTGAAGAGGTAGTTGTGCATGGTAATACAGATGTGTACCCCAGGTACGTTTGTGTAGTCAGAAATGTACCCTAGCCAAAATCAGAATACAGATAGGTACTAGGGCTGGGACGAGTCCAAATTTACTGCCCGGGTACCCACCCCCCTATTACCCGACCCTACCCGGGTACCCACTGTAGGTCTCAGGAGATGTCTCAAAATGTCCGATTGGGAACATGTTAAGAATAGCCCTGGCAAAACGTATTTAGATACATGTATTTAAACATGCTGGTCATTCATACACTGAAGTTTAATTAAGTTATATCTTTATTCAACCATATGAAAAATCAGAAGGAATGGATGCATTGTCAGAAAGAAATGCAAACATTAGTGACTTGTAGTGTAACTGTAGAGTTTTAGATAACTTTTGTCAATCAACAATATATCACGTGACTAACCACGGGTCCGGGCAGTCCTGTGGGTACCAGGGTCCTACTTAGTACCCACCCAACCTGGGTACCCGAGTTACCCGTCCCAGCCCTAATCTGCTAATAGGTACCCAGTACACTAAATGGCGGACGAGTCCATATACCTCAACCAGAAATCCAAACCTTTTTATGTTGACATTTGTTGTAGTTCCGGGTCGCCTGCTGACGAGTGCATGCTGGATAATGCTGTGCTTCGTGAAATATTACGTCACTGTGTATGCTCGTTTTTTAATATATGTGGGTTTCTAAATCCTGCATGAAATAATTTCAGAGTGTGACGTCTAATGCCTGATTCAATTCTCAAACCAAACCACAAGAGCTCTGCACAGTGAAGCCAATGACGCAAGCGCTGGACAGAGTAAACTAGCTTCAGTCTTGTTTTTTACTAGAGGCAAACTGAAGAGAAAGCTTGGTTTTTTTCATACGGATGAGTTTCAAAAGACTGATTGCCACCTTGCTTATATTAGAAGCTAGTGTTTATCAAAGACTTATTAATATCAAAGGTTACAATATTAAATTGCCTTGGTCGTATGAAGTCACTCTCCTTGCAGTCAGTCGAGTACGTCTCACTTCGTCACATCTTACACAGTCCATTCATGTGTTTTTCATGTATCATTTTGGACAAGTCTACACATTTAGATAAGCAGACTGTCATGAAACGTTTAACTTTCATTGAGAAAACATCCTAAAATGTGAAAAACTATTTCCATTTGCATATTTATCCTCTACTACTTCTCATCAAAGCCCAACGGATAGGTAGCGATGTACGTCACTTTGATGAAAGGTATATTGTGTCATGCACCTCAATTTTTATACCCGTGCTGATTAACAATATGAATATGCAGAACAATACCAAACACTATCATTCATACCAATGCTTGTTGATTTCACCAAAGTGGTATACAGCTAAAATCCTAATTATTTCATACCTTCCTCTAATATGAAGCTGACATGCAGTGATAACGGAAACACTGTTCCAAGCTGCAATAAACAAAGATCACTCACTCACAGACAGTCGTGGCTTGCCCACTTGGCATAAGTGTGTGTCTGTGACTGTATGTTTGAGTTAATAGATGCTGAACACTTTATTTGACTGTAAGTTTGAATTGAAAGACACAACAGTGTATTTTTGATGTAATGCCAGTAGGCACTGAACAGTGTTAGTTTGATTTGAAAGACACACCGCTGTGTTTTTGATGTGATGCTAATAGGCACTGAACACTGTTAGTTTGATTTGAAAGGCACAACAGTGTATTTTGGATGTAATAGGTACTGAACACTGTTAGTTTGATTTGAAAGACACAACAGTGTATTTTGGATGTAATAGGTACTGAACACTGTTAGTTTGATTTGAAAGACACAACAGTGTATTTTGGATGTAATAGGTACTGAACACTGTTAGTTTGATTTGAAAGACACAACAGTGTATTTTGGATGTAATAGGCACTGAACACTGTAAGTTTGATTTGAAAGACACAACAGTGTATTTTGGATGTAATAGGTACTGAACACTGTAAGTTTGATTTGAAAGACACAACAGTGTATTTTGGATGTAATAGGTACTGAACACTGTAAGTTTGATTTGAAAGACACAACAGTGTATTTTGGATGTAATAGGTACTGAACACTGTTAGTTTGATTTGAAAGGCACAACAGTGTATTTTGGATGTAATAGGTACTGAACACTGTTAGTTTGATTTGAAAGACAACAGTGTATTTTGGATGTAATAGGCACTGAACACTGTAAGTTTGATTTGAAAGACACAACATTGTATTTTGGATGTAATAGGCACTGAACACTGTAAGTTTGATTTGAAAGACACAACAGTGTATTTTGGATGTAATAGGCACTGAACACTGTAAGTTTGATTTGAAAGACACAGCAGTGTATTTTGGAAGTAATAGGTACTGAACACTGTAAGTTTGATTTGAAAGACACAACAGTGTATTTTGGATGTAATAGGCACTGAACACTGTAAGTTTGATTTGAAAGACACAACAGTGTATTTTGGATGTAATAGGCACTGAACACTGTTAGTTTGATTTGAAAGACACAACAGTGTATTTTGGATGTAATAGGTACTGAACACTGTTAGTTTGATTTGAAAGACACAACAGTTTATTTTGGATGTAATAGGCACTGAACACTGTAAGTTTGATTTGAAAGACACAACAGTGTATTTTGGATGTAATAGGCACTGAACACTGTTAGTTTGATTTGAAAGACACAACATTGTATTTTGGATGTAATAGGTACTGAACACTGTTAGTTTGATTTGAAAGACACAACAGTTTATTTTGGATGTAATAGGCACTGAACACTGTAAGTTTGATTTGAAAGACACAACAGTGTATTTTGGATGTTATAGGCACTGAACACTGTAAGTTTGATTTGAAAGACACAACAGTGTATTTTGGATGTAATAGGTACTGAACACTGTAAGTTTGATTTGAAAGACAACAGTGTATTTTGGATGTAATCATGCTAATAGGTACTTAACCCTGTAAGTTTGATTTGAAAGACACAACAGTGTATTATGGATGTAATAGAACACTGTTAGTTTGTTTTGAAAGACACAACAGTGTATTTTGGATGGAATAGGTACTGAACACTGTTTGATTTGTTACAGAGTTCAGCAACTGTTTGAACTTGGCATCATGGCTGGGAGTTCTATGGACAGTTTTGATCAAGACAACAAGTTCTTTAAGGGCTTGTTGGACATGGTACCAGCACGAGTTCTCTTTGATGAAGAAACAAAGAGGAAGATAAGGGGGGAGGACGAGGAGGAAGAAGACTCCGGCCAGCATGGTCAGTATGGTTGTGTAATATAAGACTACATATCGTGGGGATTCATGGGCAGAATAGGTCACTCAGTGTCTATTTGTTGTTTTGTTGAATGTGAACTCAACAATATTCAAGCTATATGATGGTGGTCTGTAAAGAATTAAGTCTGGATCAGATAATCCAGTGTTTGACATCATGAGCATCGATCTATGCAATTGGGATGTGATGACATGCATCAACCAAGTCAGCGAGCCTGACCACCCAATCATGTACGTCACATCTTACAACAGCGCAGTCGCCTGTTACAGCAAGCAAAGGTTGCTGAAAATTGATTCTAACCCATGGCTGGTGCCCTGATTGCCTTGTTGTTGTCAGACTGAGACGATGAACATGACAACATAATCTACAAAGGACCTAGTTGTAACAACGGCTGTTTCTTTGCAAGTTACACTGTTTTTATTGACAAAAGATCAGGACATGTGTGGCCAAGATGTCGTGGGTGAAAAGATTAAACAGTTCATTTGTCAAGACTTGCCTCCCTTAGCTGTGTCAGGATCTGCTGATCATGGGATGAAATACTATCTTTGCATCCATTTATATCCTTGGGCCTGCTCTAGCCCATCACCAGTGCTCATGGGATGAAATACTATCTTTGCATCCATTTATATCCTTGGGCCTGCTCTAGCCCATCACCGGTGCTCATGCGTTTCACGTCAAGTTGTACATGTCTGCGACCAGAAGTGCTTGAGGTTTGCTAACCCCAGTAGCAAGGATGCCCACCATTATGATCTTGGTCTATTAGTTACCATGGTTACAATTATGAGGCTACGTTTTTTCTCATTCTTTTCCAAAGTTATTAACATGCATTAAAATAAATATCACAGAGAACAAATTGTAAATGCACAAGCGACATGAGGCATTCAACAGCAAAACTGTACTGACCAATGAGAGCCATGCTTTCAATTGACATGGTGTTGAAATGTCCATTATACAGTAATATGAGGTCTCCGATTGGTAGCAATGTTAAAGGACACTCAAGTCATTATATTTAGGGAAGGCATCTCTGCAAAAGGCTTATACATATAACTGATAATGCTGTTGAAAGAGACTGAATTATAGAAAGTTGAATGTCTTTGTAAATTTCACGTTCTATTGCAGGCTCAAAAAAGAAAGGGAAACAGGAAAAAAGAAAAAAAACAAAATTTGATCCGTTGCAGAGAAAGACTGTGACCCAGCTCCAGGAAGAACTGGAACAGAGAGAAGGACAGTCTTGTAAGAGTTACTCCCCTTGTCCCACAATGCTTTCACATATTCTTAGGGATTGTTGAGAAGGAATTTATGGAGGAGTTTGAGAGTAATCATGTTGGAACACAATCATGACAATAAGTCTTGACACTGACAGATTTAGACACGGCCAAAATTCGATGAATTGCCTTTACTATTGTTACTATATCATCTACCGAAAATGTCACAAGTTTTTGCAGTCGGGTTTCTTCATTTGTTTTGGCGTGTATGCAGATTAAAATGCCTACTGAAAATGATTTTGAAGAAAAATATTGCTGTTTTGCAAAATGGTTAATTTTCCAGAACACGCTGCTGATGTTTAAAAGTTTATTACTCCAGAATTGTTTTGGGATGAACATTATGAAGTTTTATTATTTCTTGAATTATGAGTTGGTGAAGTTCTCTTTAGTCTAAGGTTTTATTTGCTTAAATCTATTTTGCAGTCACTCAGCTAAAAAAGAGTAAACACAAGAAGAAGCAAGCAGGTGCTGAACAAAAAATCCGCAGCATCACCCACGACCTCGAGGAGCTGAGGTCACGTCTGCAGGCTCGCATCTCCGAACTCTCAGGTAGAGCATCCCTGTATGGCAGAGTCAGGGGTAGAGCATCCCTGTAGGGCAGAGTCAGGGGTAGAGCATCCCTGTAGGGCAGAGTCAGGGGTAGAGCATCCCAGTAGGGCAGAGTCAGGGGTAGAGCATCCCTGTAGGGCAGAGTCAGGGGTAGAGCATCCCTGTAGGGTAGAGTCAGGGGTAGAGCATCCCTGTAGGGTAGAGTCAGGGATAGAGCATCCCTGTAGGGTAGAGTCAGGGGTAGAGCATCCCTGTAGGGCAGAGTCAGGGGTAGAGCATCCCTGTAGGGCAGAGTCAGGGGTAGAGCATCCCTGTAGGGCAGAGTCAGGGGTAGAGCATCCCTGTAGGGTAGAGTCAGGGGTAGAGCATCCCTGTAGGGCAGAGTCAGGGGTAGAGCATCCCTGAAGGGCAGAGTCAGGGGTAAAGCAGCCCAGCAGGGCAGAGTCAGGGATAGAGCATCCCTGTAGGGTAGAGTCAGGGGTAGAGCATCCCAGTAGGGCAGAGTCAGGGGTAGAGCATCCCTGTAGGGCAGAGTCAGGGGTAGAGCATCCCTGTAGGGTAGAGTCAGGGGTAGAGCATCCCTGTAGGGTAGAGTCAGGGATAGAGCATCCCTGTAGGGCAGAGTCAGGGATAGAGCATCCCTGTAGGGTAGAGTCACGGGTAGAGCAGCCCAGCAGGGCAGAGTCAGGGGTAGAGCATCCCTGTAGGGCAGAGTCAGGGATAGAGCATCCCTGTATGGCAGACCGCCTCCGTGGTCTAGTGGTCTAGTGGTAGAGTGTCTGCCCGGAGAGCAAGGTCTGGGGTTCGATCCCAGCCGCGTCATATAAAAAGACATTAAAAGATGGTACTTGTTGTTACCCTGTCTGGTGCTCGGCATTAAGGGGCTAAAACAGGGATTGGTCGTCTCAGAGTCAGTATACTGTGTCTGAGTGGGGTATTCATGTTAAACTGCGGCATGGTATCTCAGTGAGCTAGCACTATAAATTGGCATCAGTCCAGACTAGTACAAGAGGTTAGGGGCAGAATACTGTCCTTGTTGTAGGGAGTCAGGGTCAGAGGTTAGGGGCAGAATACTGTCCTTGTAGGGTGTAAGGGTTAGAGGTTAGGTGCAGAGTACTGTCCTTGTTGTAGGGAGTCAGGGTTAGAGGTTAGGGGCAGAGTACTGTCCTTGTTGTAGGGAGTCAGGGTTAGAGGTTAGGGGCAGAGTACCGTCCTTGTTGTAGGGAGTCAGGGTTAGAGGTTAGGGGCAGAGTACTGTCCTTGTTGTAGGGGGTTAGAGGTTAGGGACAGAATAATGTCCTTGTTGTAGGGAGTCAGGGTCAGAGGTTAGGGGCAGAATTCTGTCCTTGTAGGGAGTCAGGGTTAGAGGTTAGGGTCAGAGTACTGTCCTTGTTGTAGGAAGTCAGGGTTAGAGGTTAGGGGCAGAGTACTGTCCTTGTTGTAGGGAGTCAGGGTTAGAGGTTAGGGGCAGAGTACTGTCCTTGTTGTAGGGAGTTAGGGTTAGAGGTTAGAGACAGAGTACTGTCCTTGTTGTAGGGAGTTAGGGTTAGAGGTTAGAGACAGAGTACTGTCCTTGTTGTAGGGAGTCAGGGTTAGAGGTTAGGGGCAGAGTACTGTCCTTGTTGTAGGGAGTCAGGGTTAGAGGTTAGAGACAGAGTACTGTCCTTGTTGTAGGGAGTTAGGGTTAGAGGTTAGAGACAGAGTACTGTCCTTGTTGTAGGGAGTCAGGGTTAGAGGTTAGAGACAGAGTACTGTCCTTGTTGTAGGGAGTCAGGGTTAGAGGTTAGAGACAGAGTACTGTCCTTGTTGTAGGGAGTCAGGGTTAGAGGTTAGAGGCAGAGTAGTTTTCCTTGTTGTAGGGAGTCAGGGTTAGAGGTTAGGGGCAGAGTACTGTCCTTGTTGTAGGGAGTCTGGGTTAGAGGTTAGAGGCAGAGTAGTTTTCCTTGTTGTAGGGAGTCGAGGTTGGAAGTTAGCGGCAGAGTAGTGTCCTTGTACACCATGCTGTTGGGACTCCAAGATCAAGATGAAGGTTCAGGGTCAGGGGTTTATACATTAACAATGTATATACAGAACACTGATTGCTAAATATTCAGTCGAAAATTTCTATTGATACTTGTTGAATTATCTGGTGTTCCTGACCCTGCAATAAACTTTCAAAGAGTCAACTTTTCGAGTGTCCCAGGCATGAAAACAGGCGTTTGTGACCTTCCATATATCTTCAGGCTGTCTGTGTATGCTTCAACTGATCTAGATTTTATAGTAGTATAGCGCCACCTGTAAGCATGGCAGAACACGCAGATGTGGCCACTGAGGACACCTCTTACCTTTGATAATGATCCCTTCATTTAAAACAGTTTTGTTCTTGCAGTTTACTTTTTAAACGTTTTTGAGATAACAATAGATGTATGAAGCAAGAGATTTTAGAGCTGTATTTCAGTGAGTTCTTCATTTCTTTCTATTTGTATCGTGGTACAAATGGTATTGTCAGTCTGTTTTGTGATACGAATTGTATTGCAAGATACCAGGTGATACTCAGCTCTAGATACAAACATACATAATTTTGTGTCCATTCTCAATCACTCTGCAGGGGCGGTCGGGTAGCCTAGTGGTTAAAGCGTTCGCTCGTCACGCCGAAGACCCGGGTTCGATTCCCGACATGGGTACAATGTGTGAAGCCCATTTCTGGTGTCCCCCGCCGTGATGTTGCTGGAATATTGCTAAAAACGGCGTAAAACCATACTCACTCACTCACTCACTCACTCACTCAATCTTTCTGCATAAGGGAAGCACTATTTTGCCTCTGGGGAAATCCTGACCAGACCCTGTGATATATACAGCAGCACTTCCTACTTATATAGTGACTTTGTTGTCTTGTTTCCACAGGAAAGAAGAGTAAGCTGACTGACAGGGAATCGAAGGAGAAGATCAGGCTGATGAAGAAGAATAAGAAGTTGAAGCTTAAGTTACGCGGTGCACAGAAGCAGAATAAACACAAGGGTGAACACGGACAGCAGACAAACGCTGACGATTCCCCATCTCCGTCGGAGCCGTTAATGGTCTCCGAGAAACCTGTGTATAACAAGGAAGGCAAGCTTGTCTTCAGTAAGTTTGATTTCACGGATTCGGGGGAGGTTGAAAAACCAAAGACAGATTTACGGGGCAAAAATTACAAAAGACTGTTAGAAAAATTAGAAAAACGGAAAAAGAAGGCTGAAGAAGTGCGCGAGAAGAGTGTTGATGCTGCGCAAAAGTTGGAGGACAAGACAACGTGGAAAACTGCTTTGTTGAAGGCAGAGGGAGAGAAAGTTAAGGACAATGAGAATCTGCTGAAGAAAGCAGTGAAACGGAAAGAAAAAGATAAAAAAAAGCGTCAGAAATCGTGGGAGTCCCGCACACAGCAAGTGGATCAGGACCAGAAAAAGAGGCAAGACAAGAGGAAGTTCAATTTGGATGCAAGGAAGAAACAAAAGCTAGATAAGAAAAAGAAAAAGGCGGTTAAAAAGGGGAGGCTCATTCCAGGGTTTTGATATTGAATCTATTTGTACAGGAAAATAAAATAAAGTTGTACATATTCAGTTTGGCTTTATTTGATTTGTTTTATATTAGTCTTTTGTCTGTTAATCTGTGTGGGGGTATTGGTGGCCCAGTCGTCTAAGGCGCCACATTTTGCTGGGCTGAAACATATGATAGTTTGTTCGAATTCTCCTTCACCCCGATTATTTCTAAGTTTGTCAGCACCATGCCCATGCTCATGGATTTCTCCAACACTGTAAACGTCTGAGACCTGCATCACTTTGGGCTTTCCTGCTACATTAAGCTGACATGCTGTGATATTAGTGGAATACTGTTCAAAGCAGCGTTAAGCTATGGTGGGGCGGTCGTGTAGCCTAGTGGTTAAAGCGTTCGCTCGTCACGCCGAAGACCCGGGTTCGATTCCTGACATGGGTACAATGTGTGAAGCCCATTTCTGGTGTCCTGGCAGTGTCATACCACTAGATGTTGAATGATGTTACTTGTAACCCCGCCTGCGGCTGGAGCTAAGGGGCTAAAACAAGGCTCTGAGTCTAGTCTGAGACCTGCATCACTTCGGGTTTTCCTCCCACATTAAGCTGACACACCATCATATGACTGGAATGCTGTTAAAAGCTCTGAGTCTGTATACTGTATCTAAGTGGAGTATTCATGTTAAACTGCTGATGGAATCTCGGCAGGCTACACTATTAAAAGGGTATTTGTTCAGATTAGTACAAGTTTTTTGTTTGTTTGTTTTGTTGTTTAACGCCGCACTCAGCAATATTCCAGCTATATGTCGGCGGTCTGTAAATAATCGAGTCTGGACCAGACAATCCTGTGATTGATATCATGAGCATCGATCCACGTAATTGGGATCGATGACATGCGCACAACAAACTTATAAAGAGAATGTGCATGAACAGAGCTATATGTAAGTGCAATAATCTTGAAAGCAATGTTAAACTTCATTGCACTCCATTGAGTTTCGCCCTGTGGTAGAATAGGTCTTCAGCAACCCATGCTTGCTGTAAAAGGTGTCTATGCCTGTCGTAAGAGGCGACTAACGGATCGGGTGGTCAGGCTCGCTGACTTGGTTGATGCATGTCATTGTAACCCAAGTGGGATCGATGCTCATGATATCAATAACTGGATTGTCTGGTCCAGACTCGATTATTTACAGACCACCGTCACATTACTCAGCGGCATTTAACAAAAAATATGCAAACAAAATCATTGAACTTCATTTAAACTTCATTCTCGAGGCGAATACCTGCAAGGTTGCTGATACAGCAATAATCACTCTCACTTCACCTCAAGACGTTCGAATCTCTCTCTCCAACATACATTTCAAAATGGAATGAAATTTGAAAAATGTGTAGTTAGTAGCGCGGCTCAACATATATGTTCTATTTTGCCATGTTTTAAATTTTGACCTTTGCCCTCGACCACGCGGTTTGGTAGCCTTGTGGTTAAAGCATTCGCTCGTCACCCGGGTTCGATTCCTGACGTGGGTACAATTTGTGGAGCCTATTTCAGGTTTCCCCCACCGTGATATTGCTTGAATATTGCTAAAAGCGGCGTAGTACCATACTCACTCAACCACGCCGAAAGCTGAAACTCCCTGTGTCCATTATAGTCAGACATTTCTTTTCAGAAATAAAATTTGGTACATATATGTGTAGTTTTTAGAAGAGCTCCACATATACTACTATGTTCCATTTATCACAATATTATCAATTATCACCTTCAAAGGAGTATGGCAAACTATTGTTTCAAGTTTGCCTGTTCTAAATGTTCCTGGCCAAATCTGATGGCCCGAGGTGTTAGACACTTTCATGTCATACATCAATTATTTGTTTCTCTTTCAAAATCCCTTAACGTAACTGAAAGTATAATGAAAGAAGTAACATTATTTTAACTTGTTCACCTATATTTTATCCAAGTAAAGATCTTGTTAAGATATTCTTGTCTTGGTTAGCAATGTGTCTGCTGAGAACATTGTTTGAAAACAAGGTGGCCTTGTACACAAATCAGACAATTTTGAGTGAGTGAGTGAGTGAGCATGGTTTTACGCCGCTTTTAGCAATATTCCAGCAATATCACGGCGGGGGACACCAGAAATAGGCTTCACACATTGTACCCATGTCGGGAATCGAACCCGGGTCTTCGGCGAGACGAGCGAACGCTTTAACCACTAGGCTACCCGACCGCCCCTCTGGCAATTTGGAAATGTACGTTTCCATTGTTTTGGGTCTTGGTCCATGCTGTGGTCGGATATATATATAGTTGTAGCTATACAAATCTGAGGATATGATGTCCAATAATTGCAGGCCTTGAGTAACCATTGTAAGGGTTTGCCTGAACCAGATTCATTTTCATTTTACCGTTTGAAATATTTGGAAAAAAACGGTCACTTGTCAGGGTAAATCCTATTGTGAATGTCTGTTCTTCAAGAGATGTATCATGTCTATTGTTGGAATTACTGAAGTTATGATAACGTATTTGGAGATACATAAATTATTCTCCTGTTGTATACTGCTTTATATCAAGTATTATCTTCGTTTTCCTTAATCCTTAACGTACATTTCCATACATGTTCCCTCGGAAGCATACCCCTAAACTTTGAATGCTAATCCTGAGCTAATAATACAACGTATCCTGAAACCCAGTGATATACATACACAATATGCATAATGCTTCTAAACCAAACAGGGGCGGTCGGGTAGCCTAGTGGTTAAAGCGTTCGCTCGTCACGCCGAAGACCCGGGTTCGATTCCCAACATGGGTACAATGTGTGAAGCCCATTTCTGGTGTCCCCCCGCCGTGATATTGTTGGAATATTGCTAAAAGCGGCGTAAAACCATACTCACTCACTCTAAACCAAACAAGTTACATGTGTGCTCTATTTAGTTCATTTGTGTGAAAGTTTGGGGTCAAATGGCTCTTCTTATTGAACGTGAGTGACTATGTATGTTCAGATCTTGGTTATATGTTAAACTTTGACCATGCTCTTCAATTCTCTCAAAAAGCAAGACATAACACAACATCCATCTCACACACGTCAAAGGGTTGATCAACGCAGCTTTGCTAGAATCACACCAGAGGTATGGCAAGGGGCTGAAGATCACGTTTGGAAATAGAACGTCAGTTCCGCAAACGTGACGGCGTAGATATAGAGAATCTCACCCGAGTGTCTTTTGATATCAAATATATCAACACGAGTTGATTAAAGTGGAAAAAATCCAAGGCTTGCTGAGGATTTTTGCCACTTTTATCAACGAGTGTTGATATATTTGATGTCAAAAGACACGAGGGTGAGATTTTATTTATCATCCAGCATCATTCTTCCAACTTTTTCAATTTGTAGACAGTAATAAGCAGTGTCTTCAGTGTAAAAATTACTGCTAACAGCTTCAGTAGCAGAGCTATTAGTTATGTCATTTGATTGTGACGTCATGGTAACCAGTGATGTCACAATGGTCTACAAAGCATTGTGATGTAATTCATTCCAGCGATATCTACAGTGTAGATATCGCTTGATCTTATCCAAGCGATATCTCCTGTGGGAGCCAGTTTTGGATGATTAATAAGCCTTGTGTTGCACTAGTTATAATACCTTTCGGTGATAGACAGATCCAGATACGTCAACAGCAGAGTCCGATGCTGGAGAAAGCAACCGTCTGTAGAACAACAAATACTTCTAGACTCAAACCCCCAATCTTCCAATACTCATCCCGTTTTCATAGCTTTTAAGTATTCTATCATTTCCCCAAGCAAATATAAAACTTACGTATCTTAATTGCTACCCCGTGAACGCATATCTTAATCAAGTAAAATAACAGCAATATTTTGAGACCACCCCCAATTCAGGTGACATTTGCATCTGTGAGAATGCACGGGCCAATGTGAGGTCACCTACTGAGGGCTGCAGTCTATCATTGGTTTATCTGTAAAAGTACCTTTCAAGGCTAATCACAGTGTCAGGAAGGGCTCGATTAGCCTGTAGGGATTCCAGGTTAGAATAGGTTCCCAGCATCCTGTGCAGGTGGTAAGAGGCAACTATTTGGATCGGGTGGTCAGACTCTGTGACTTTGTTGATTGAGTGTCACCGTACCCTGATGGGGTGGATCATTACTCACAATATTGGGGGGCAGTGGGGTAGCCTAGTGGTTAAAGCGTTCGCTCGTCACGCCGAAGAACCGGGTTCGATTCCCCACATGGGCAAAATATGGGGGGCCCATTTATGGTGTCCCCCGCCGTGATATTGCTGGAATATTGCTAAAAGCGGCGTAAAAACATACTCACTCACTCACTTCCTTTGCGTGGGTGGCCTAGTGGTCTTACGCGCCGTAGTTCGCCGTGCAGATTTGTTTTCTTTTGGCGTGTCAGAACCCTGTTTATGTTTCTTGGTTTGTCGGCACCATATCCGTGCTCGTGGTTTTCACTAAAGTAGTAAACGTCCAAGGTGAGGTTGGGTGAAATTGGGTTTAACGTCGCGTCCAAGATTATTGCGCTTATATAGCGACGTGCATGCACGTGTGTGTGTGGCTGCTTGTACTAGTCCGGACTGATGCCGATTTATAGTGCTAGCTCACTGAGATACCATGCCGCAGTTTCACATGAATACCCCACTCAGACACAGTATACTGACTCCGAGGCGACCAGTCCTTGTTTGAGCCCCTTAATGCCGAGCGCCAGACAGGGTAACAACAAGTACCATCTTTTAACGTCTTTTGGTATGACGCGGTCGGGGATCGAACCCCGGTAAACGTCCAAGATCTGCATCACTTCGGGCTTTCCTCCCACATCAAGCTGACACGCCGTGATATAACCGAAATACTGCAAAGCAACAGTCTTTTCTCTCAAATAATTAACGTAGAATTATATATATGAGTAATATATTATTTTATTGAGTTCGTACAAAAGTATTGTCTATACATATATTCATTGGAAATGGGGATTTACCAGAACAAAATAACATTAAAAAAATGTAAACTATTTTTCTTACTGTTCACTAATCTTCCTATTCTTTTCTTGCCTTCTGTTGTAAATCAGTTGTGTAAATATCTGGGAGTAGGTATCCTAAGTTGGAGAACTTGAACCTAATCCAATTCACATTTTGTTAATAAAATATGTTTTAACCAAACATATATTCACAATACAAATGCAATGATAGGAAGTTATTTACAAAATGTTGGTCGGGTATTAATATTTAAGATGTTAAATGTTGAAACACTGCGCAGCATAGTTCATGGAATTGGACAACTATTTTCACACTAGTCGAAACCACCCATTGAAAACTATAACGGCATGTTTTACTGATACACCTCGTGTTATTAGTTATCCATGACGAGACCAAGACGACCCCCGCTTTTACTTCCGGTACCAGCGGGCCAGGTGTCCCGTGAAGATCCGGGGTAGAATAGGCCTTCAGCAGCCCATTCTTGCTTGGAAAGGCGACTATGCTTGTCGCAAGAGGCGACTAACGGGATCGGGTGGTCAAGCTCGCTGATTTGCTTGATGCATGTCATCGAGTTCCAATTGCATGGATCGATGCTCATGATGTCAATCACTGGATTGTCTGGTCCTGACTTAATTATTTACAGACCGCCGTCATATAGCTTGAATATTGCTGAGTCGGACGTTAAACAACAAACAAACAAATAAACAGCAGTCCATGCAGGTTGTTCCCCGGCAGGTAGACCCCACACCAGGTCGTTCCCCGTCAGGTAGACCCCCACACCAGGTTGTTCCCCGTCAGGTAGACCCCACACCAGGTCGTTCCCCGTCAGGTAGACCCCCAAACCAGGTCGTTCCCCGGCAGGTGGACCCCAAACCAGGTCGTTCCCCGTCAGGTAGACCCCCACACCAGGTTGTTCCCCGTCAGGTAGACCCCCCAAACCAGGTCGTTCCCCGGCAGGTAGACCCCCCAAACCAGGTCGTTCCCCGGCAGGTAGACCTTAAACCAGATAATTCCGCGGCAGGTAGACCCCACACCAGGTCGTTCCCCGTCAGGTAGACCCCCAAACCAGGTCGTTCCCCGGCAGGTGGACCCCAAACCAGGTCGTTCCCCGGCAGGTAGACCCCCAAACCAGGTTGTTTTCCGGCAGATGGACCCCAAACCAAGTCGTTCCCCGGCAGGTAGCCCCCAAATCAGGTTGTTTTCCGGCAGATGGACCCCAGACCAGGTTGTTCCGCGGCAGGTAGACCCCAAACCAGGTCGTTCCCCGGCAGGTAGACCCCCAAACCAGAGCAATTGTAAAACTGTAATCTTTGTCGTATAAATGTACTACAGCATTTCGAATGTATCCAGCTTATCACATCGGGAATGAAGATTCATGTAAGTAATCAGCAGCTACGACTTTCTATGTTCCAGCATTGCCGTCACTAGGTTAAATACTATGTACATATTTACATGGCAAAATGGATGCTCCCTCAAACAGTTAATGCACACAATATACAAGGAGAGCCCATCTCAACAATATCAGAATGTTGAATCGTACGTGGTTGTTTCTGGAATCTTACAGCAGTTTCATCTCATGCGATTATTGGCACCGTATTTCAAGGCCCCCACGGGATCATGTCGATAAGAAGGACACTCTGGGCCCATTTGAAGGGCAAGGTTCATTGAAGGAACAACGTTGACATCGGTATCCTTCACATGGGTGCCTTTCTTCACCATCCACACGTTTAGACGAACCGTCGCCTTTTACACCATGAGCGAATCCTCTTGGCGCGACCTAGTTCATTTGGAGCTAGTTTCGGTGGTCGTGTATGTTAATAATTGTTCAAACTGTTTCCATTTTCTTGTGTTCAGATCAAGGTGTATGCCTATTTTTAGGTATCACGGAATAATCTCGCTTCAAGAAACAGGCGTCACGTTATACGAACTACAGGATCAGGCGTTACACGGTTTACCTTGAAGTCATGCAATATATCAACGCAAGGTAACGTAGGTAACGGAATAATAGACTCGAGTGGACCCGAGAGCACGACATCGTGCCATGACACCGTGATCTGAGATGAGGTCTTTATCCAATGTCTTTACCGTTTATCACAAAAACAAACGCTCAGTTTTGTAATGTAACGCTTTTCTGAAACGTCTTAATCCACACAATTTGACACAATATAACCGTACTGTTTTACTTACTTACGCAGCCAGTCTAAAACTCAGGAAAACATGCAAAACGTTTTCCGATTTTCTCTCTCGAAATCTCAATGATTTCAATGACGTTTCAGTGTCGTTTGCGTCTCTTCATCATAACACAGTCAAGGGAGATAACCCTTTAAGCTCTGTCTCGCGTATATAGCTGCCAGCTCGTTGATGCTCGGATTTCTTCTCTTGAAGGGAATTCAAATGTAGATTATCCACTGAGTCGCTTCTCGGGCGTTGGGACTGCTATTCGAATTATCACAATGTCGTTGACGACGGTACACGTACAAGAGATAAGAAACATCAAGTCAGTGCGTGATAAACTTCGACCCTACTGAACACTGTCCGTAGCTGCCTAAATGTGACTTTATATTAAGATTAACAGTTGGTATACTTTCACAGAATATCAGAACGAAACGGGCAACATAGTGACGACATGGTGAGTGAGTTGTGTTTATCGCCGCTTTGATCAGTCATATCACGGCGTGTCAGCTTGAGGATCTCAGACGTTTGTAACCCACGAACATGGGTATGTGCTGACAAACCTAGAAACGTGATCGGGGCCCAGTCGTCTAAGTTGCCGCTATTCGCTGTGCAAAGTTGCGTCCCTTGGGCACGCCAGAAACCTATGTGTGTGGGTTCGAATCCTGGTTCGCCCCGATTATGGTTCTAGGTTTGTCAGCACCATACCCGTACTCGTTGGTTTCACCGAAATGGTAAACGTCTGAGACCTGCATGACTTCGGGCTTTCCTCCCACATTAAGCTGACACGCCGCGATATAACTGTAATACTGTTAAAAGCGGCGTTAAACCCAACTCACTCACTCACACTCACGCACGTCTAAGGGACGCAACTCTGCGGAGCGAATTGCGGCACCTGATCGACCTCACCAACCATGTTATTAGTCTGTTATTTCAGCAGGCAAAACTAGTTTATAAATTTGAAAAATAAATAGTCATGGTCATGACAGATTAAATATAGCCGTATGAAAATATCGGGTCCTTAACGTTTTTTGAGGTAGTATATAAAGGTTTTATCACTGTTTGAATTGATTTTCTTTCTTTTTTAAATATTTCTACATTTAACTTTAAAACAATATAGCGAAATTAAAATTCAAATCCACAGGCAGACAGCTTAGGTTCATGTTTTAGTGAGGCGCTATGAACGATGATGTCAGCTGAGAATATTTACACACGACATGAGGTTGTATATTGGCATCAAACAGATTTGATAGAATCGTCGTTAACCTTGTCCGATTCTTTGGATTTTTTAGACGACTGAGAACTGCACGATCCGCTCTTGGACAAATGGCCATTGGTCAGTGGTTGGGAGAGCTCAGGAGCTACCGGGGCCGCAGAGGCTAGAGAGTGGACCCTGAAACATAGAGTGAGTGAGTGAGTGAGTGAGCGAGTTGGGTTTTATGTTATTTCACGGCGTGTCATTTTAATCTGGATGAAAGAGACCAAAATGACTCATTCATCGACGTGTACCACGTTGGTGGCGCCCACTTGCACTGGTATGGTGCAGTCAAACCTACATACATAATCAAGGCGAATCGGGAATCGAACCTGTGTCTTTATTTCGCGCATGTTCAGACACATCTAAGAAAGGTTTTAGCCTCTACATATCGATTGACCGTTTAATTTCATGGAATATGAGAGCAAAATCAGCGACATAAAAGACGACATACTGACATAGTTTCTATGTGATATAACCTGAAGCCGTTTCCTTAATTCCGTATTCTAATAAGCCTTTTTGTGAAAAAAATCCAAAAACATATTAAAGCATATCAAAATGTAATGCGTGTTCTGATACCATCTGTGAAAGGTATCTTTCCGACTGATTACGTTGTCGACGGCGTGGAACTATCAACACGGGGAGGACGGTGCGCAGTTGATGACGACATGGGCGTTGGTGTGAGAGGATGTCATTGTGTTTACACAATAAGCCTTTTTGTGAAAAAACAAACAAAACATATTCATGCATATCAAAATGTAATGCGTGTTCTGACACCATCTGTGAAAGGTATCTTTCCGACTGATTACGTTGTCGTCGGCGTGGAACTATCAACACGGGGAGGACGGTGCGCAGTTGATGACGACGTGGGCGTTGGTGTGAGAGGACGTCATTGTGTTTACATCTCGGCAGGTTCGTATAACATTCCACCAGGAGGCACTTACGGTAGTAATTGATACTTCCTAGACGCCTTTCCGGAGGATCCAAAATCCTCGTTTTTATAACATTTTAGCAGACAGACAGACTTTAGGGTTCATTGGTATTTCTGATCATTATATTGAGTGAGAGAGTGAATTTTGTTATGCAAGCGGGCCATTAACATTTCCCGATAACCCCGAGATGACCCTCAGCCCTCATTGTACCTGAACTTGTGATCACCACCAAGGGCAGATCCAGCAGTCCAAGAGAGGGGTCCAAAATATCAATATCCTCTCTGAAATAATTTAAACTGCCTGGACCACCCTCTATGATCACATGCCCCCCTCCATTCACAAAAAGCTGCATTGGCGTTTAGCCCCACCCCCACGCCCCGTCCCCTTTCACCACGCCCCGTTCCCCTCTCACCACGCCCCGTTCCCCGCTCACCACGCCCCGTCTCCTCTCACCACGCCCCTTCACATCACATCACACCCCGTCCCTTCTCACCACGCCTCCTTCCATCTGACCTCGCCCCCTCCCCTCTCACCAAGCCCCGCCCCCGACGCCTATTCCCCTATCACCACGCCCCTCCCCTTTTCACCACGCCCCGTCCCCTCTCACAATGCCCCGCCCCCCACACCCAGTCCCCTCTCACCACACTCCCTCCCCTTTTCACCACGCCCCGCCCCCTCTCACCACGCCCCATCCCCTCTCACCACGCCCTGTCCCCTCTCACAACGCCCCGTCCCCTCTCACCACGCCCTGTCCCCTCTCACCACGCCCCGCCACCTCTCACCACGCCCTGTCCCCTCTCACCACGCCCCGCCACCTCTTACCACGCCCTGTCCCCTCTCACCACGCCCTGTCCCCTCTCACCACGCCCCGCCCCCTCTCACCTGTACAGGTATTCCCTCTGTCTCCAGTAGCCCTTGTCCCTCCGGCTGATCATGTTGACCCTGATCCGGAGGAAGCACATGATGGACATGACGACGACAGGGAAGAGGAAGATGAGGATGATGATGTAGTTGGCGACGGCGGTGGGTTTGTTGAAGTCGGACACTGGAATCAAATCATACAGACAAAATCAGAATGTTTTACTCCGACAAGATGCCTCTCTGCGCGAGGACCTGGCGACCCCATTGAAGGTAATAGCAGGTCACGTCGGGTGAACCCAGGCGAGATTTACTGCCAAATGTAAATGAAGAATGTATTCTTGAGCCAATCAGCTTTCTAAAACGATTCAACTTGATTTCTTTAGAAAATTTCGACTTTAACGCAAAATCCCATATGGAACTAAAATCATCTTTCGATTGTGCTGCCTTTGGGTGAAGATGTCATGGCGCTCAGAAACGACAAGGTTTATAAATTATGCGAAACAATTTAAATGCGCGCCATTTGATATTTACATTCGGGACTGGTCGGTCAAAACATCAAATATGGTGTTGTGAAAGATCAGCTCAATCGTACCGAGAATTAAGAAGCCTTGACGCTGATTGGCTGATTAGAAAGTTCACCTAGACGCGAACTTTGAAGATGTCCTCAGATCTTTGCTCAGAGAGGTATCGTAAAATATCTGATTTTTATTACTTTCATCACACATAAAGCGGAAATAGGCAATCGATGTCTCAGAAATAGTGTTTGTAAATAATACAACCTAAGTAGCTTCTAGGTCTCTGGGGTAGCTTAGTGGTTAAAGCGTTCGCTCGTCACTTCAAAGGCCTAGGTTCGATTCTCCAAATTGGTACAATGTGTGAAACTCAATTTAGGTGTTGTGATATTGCTTGATCAAAGCAGCGTAACCATCCTTACTCAAGTCTCAGGGTATGAATCAATATAATGGCGCGGCCTTTATTACTAACATTCGGGCCTGGTCGGTCAAGAAATTAGATATTCTGTTCTGAATGATTCGCTCACTCGCACGGAGGAATCAGAAGGCTCGATGCTGATTGGATGAAATTTAGGCTTGCAGGATACATGGAGTATAATTTCACTGTTTGCTCTGTTGTAATAGTTTGACTTGACACTGATGAAATCTTGGCCCATCAAAGCTGTTATTTGTAAAATAACTCCGTCCCACAGCGCAATGCCATGCGTACTTGTGAAAAAAGGTGGAAATATAATATTTGTTGGATGGTTAAAATGGGACCTGATTATGCATGTTCCGTGACGTTGAGATTGAAGTAGGTCAACTGGACAGTATTCCAGTTATTTTACGACGTGGCAGCTTAGTGTGGGAGGAAAGCCCCCAGTAATGCAGGTCTGAGGCGGGGTTGGTGTGTGTGTGTGTGTGTGTGTGTGTGTGTGTGTGTGTGTGTGTGTGTGTGTGTGTGTGTGTGTGTGTGTGTTAGTGTTAGTGTGTGTGTGTGTGTGTGTGTGACCCTAAATAATGTTCAAATATATACTTATTTTATTTGGCGAAGGAATGACAATGAAATTACCACTGAATAAGTTGTCCGTATATGTCACACGTACAATAACATGCATTAAACATTAGACACAGAAATATATACAGGAGATCCGATAATGGAGATAATATTTGCATACTGTACACATATTATAACAGAACTACTCTGGATATATCATACACTGCGGACGACTCAGTGATTGTGCTGTGTAGATAGATACACATGAACTGTTTTGACAATACTGTTTTATATTTTCCCTATACCACATTACCTATAACGGCCCCAAAGGTTGGCACACACTTATATTGTCTGAATATATCTTTTTGTCATGTAATTCAATGTGAAAATATACGACAAATAGTGAGTGAATGAGTGTGGTTTTAAGCCGTGTTTAGCAATATTCAAGCAATATCACGGCGGGGGACACCAAAAAATGGACTTCACACATTGTACCCACGTCGGGAATCGAACCTGGGTTTTCGGCGTGACGAGCGAATGCTTTAACTTCTAGGCTAACCCATCGCCCCTGAGAAATAGAAATTGTATTAATTTTATACACTAATAGTTAATTGGTTTATGTCCTCTTTGTATATATTCGTATATATCTTTTTATTTTGATGTCTCTCATAAATTGATGACCGATTGGTTGTGAAGACATTATTTTTCATTTTAATATGATGTATTTATTAAATCAGTCTAAACGTCTATAAATTATTGATTAATTTGGGAGAACCCGCTACTAATAGCCTATGCAATATTCCATCCATATGACGGTGGTCCGTTATCAGACAATCCGGTGATTGACATCATGAGCATCGATCTACGCTATTGGGATGATGACATGCATCAACCAAGTCTGACCGCCCGATCCCGTTAGTCGCCTCTTACGACAAGCATGGGTTGCTGAAGACCAGTTGTTACCCGGATCTTCACGAGGGATTAAGTTATACCTACGTGTAAATGATGACTGATTTCCACGACCATCCCCTGAAAACAAAAACAGATGTGCAGTAAAGTTAATTTTGAATTTTTTAAAATTAAAACAATTAAAATGATGCCACATTTAATTAACTATTTTTTCTTCGACCATAACCTGTATCACATAATATTCTTTTTAAATGTGTAGCTACTTCTACATCAATATCACTTTTCAATGACGAATGTATCCGGTCAACAGAAGTAGTGAATAAACAGTTCACTGTGTGAACTCGAATACTACTATGGCACAGTGTTAAGATATTTGCTCCTTTTCAGGAGGTGGCACGGGTGGCCCAGTCGTCTGAGGTGCCGCGATTCGCTGTGCAGGGTCGCGTCACTTGGGCACGCCAGAAACCTATGATTGTGGGTTCGAATCCCGGTTCGCTCCGATTATGTTTCTAGGTTTGTCAGCACCATACCCGTGCTCATGGGTTTCACCGAAGTGGTAAACGTCTAAGACCTGCATCACTTCGGGCTTTCCTCACACATTAAGCTGACACGCCGTGATATGACTGAAAACTGTTAAAAGCGGCGTTAAACCCAATATATATTAATATATTAATATATATTGTTGCAAGGAACGGAACCGCTGAAGTATTCAACAGTTCCTGTATATCGCCGCCTCCGCACCAGAATCTCGGCACCGATCAATACAGTCCCTCACAGAATACGACCTCCGCTGATGTCAAGTTCCTGACTAGGTCAAACTATCATGATTCCGCCGAGTAAAATGCAAACAACTGTGTGGCTCTGAAATCTCGACCCTGCTTCCGTATAAAGCTTTGATTGTTGCTCTAACGTGTGATACGTTTAGTTTGGATGTTGACGTGGCCTTCGTGATGCATCAGAACAAGTCCCTGGGTGCCCCTGCTTGCTTAGAAAGAACACATGGTCTATGAGGAATTCAGTATTATCGAGTGGAGTAGGTCAGGGGTCTTGACACCATTGATTGAACTGGTTTTGCTTCAACCACGATATGCATAAAGAAACGTCTTAAATAAATCGGTACTTCAATGTGCACACACGGACCTGTTAATCGTGCCAGAATGCAGGGATTAGGCGTTCGAATCCTAAATAGCATTGGTTATGATTCTTAGTTTGTTAGCACCGTGCTGGTGGGTTTCAAAAAGTGGTAAAAGTCTTAGTAAGTGAGTGAGTTGGTTTTAACGCCGCTTTTAACAGTATTCCGGTTACATCACGGCGTGTCAGCTTAATGTGGGAGGAAAGCCCGAAGTGATGCAGGTCTCAGACGTTTACCACTTCGGTGAAACCCACGAGCACGGGTATGGTGCTGACAAACCTAGAAACATAATCGGGGCGGACAGGGATTCGAACCCACAATCATAGGTTCTGGCGATTCGAACCAACGGGTATTCTGGGACGAAAGTCTCTCACCACATTGCGGCACCGTAAACGACTGAGCCATCCTCATTGGCGCACTGTATTATAATGCTGAGAACAAATTACATAGTCACACATGAAAGGCCAATCACAAGACAGCGGAGACTTAAAGACCGTTAAGAAGCTCCATGACTACAGGACACTTCATCGGTAAGAACTACTGTTAATTAAAGACTAATGTATGATGGATGCATGTGGACCGAAGGCTAATGTCGAGTACGTTAGGAACTACTGCTAATTAAAGACTCAGTCAAAGATAGTTAAATATGAAGACGACGGTAATCTGGAATCAGCCAAAGATAGTTAATTAACGAAAGATCAATTGGAAAGAGTTCAAAGATAGAGAACTATGTAATTGGCGGTAACTCGGAAGCAATCTGTTAAAAGATTGTTAAAGAGTCATGAATTGTTTCGAAGATGGTTAAGAAATGATCAAAGAAGATTGTGGACAAGCGATTGAGAAAGTTGTTGAAATATTTGTGTACCTAGTTATTTCATTTATTCAATTCATGTTAACTTTAACAATATATCCAAACAATATATATCAATAATATATTTAATGGACATTGTTTAATCGCAATGAAATAAAATGGTATCAGTAATAAACAACAAACAGGTTTTGTTTCACTCGCTCAAGATCTATACAAGAGCCGTAGTCAGAAAGTGAATAACAATTTCTGGTTTTTATCAAGATATCCGAAGTACCAGTGCCTGGAAGAGCCTTGTCCAAACGCTGGATAATTTACTTGACCCATCGTAAAGACACAGATGTCCCACCTAATTTACAAGGACGTGGATAAGCACTTTGGATCGATAGGGTTAATTATTTAGACGCGTGAAGGGGAAGCTTGAAGATCGGCACGACGTTTTCTCAAAGGGTGGCTGTACCATGTAGATGGATGAATTATTTGTATCGTTGAAAGGCTGTGGTAGGAGTAATGTTGGAGGCTGTATGATCACATTACCTGTCATATTCTCCCGAAGAGACGGAATAATTATTCCTGTTAACATGGACTTCTGTATGTTTAACGTTCGTCAGACAGCCCCCGCCGCTACAGCATATCAAAATGTGATGGTGTATAATAAGGGATATTATGGAAATTAGATAGTGTTTCAGCTACCACTACAACATTAAGACGTCGAAATATTTGTTTTAAGAAAGACACCTTGCATCAATGTACTTTTTTTGGTGGCAGGCAATTTCTGTTTTTCAACAGACTGAAGCATATTCTCTGGGGCGATATAATTTTTTTCGACATCCCCCCCCCCCCCGATCAGCCGGGCGAAAAGGACGAAAAACAAGGGGGCTTTGTAATATTGTCAGTGTTAATATAAGAAATGTAGATGGCCCCATTATAGCTAGAACTCAGCAAGCTCGCTGTGCATTTCAGACTTATTCACTTGCTCAAACCATTTGAACAATTCTTTCTTTATACAATTGGGGGCACGGGTGGCCAAGTCGTCTAAGGCGCCGCGATTCGCTGTGCAGAGTTGCGTCCCTTGGACATGCCAGAAACCTATGATTGTGGGTTCGAATCCCGGTTCGCCCTGATTATGTTTCTAGGTTTGTCAGCACCATACCCGTGCTCGTGGGTTTCACCGAAGTGGTAAACGTCTGAGACCTGCATCACTTCGGGCTTTCCTCCAACATTAAGCTGACACGCCGTGATCTAACTGGAATACTGTTAAAAGCGGCGTTAAACCCAACTCACTCTCTCTTTATACAATTGTGATCAGGGTGTTTATTTCATCTACTTCCAAGGGTATGTTAACACTGAAAGAGAAAGAGAATGAAAATACATTGTTAATATACAAATTTCAAATTTGTGAACTGTTTTCCAGCGAAAAGGAAAGAACCCAAGCGTTGCTGCATCAAGTACTTCAACGTATCCAAACACACGTCACATACGTATTGCAGAGTGTGAATATTCGCAGAATAGCTGCCAACATAATTATCGGCACAATAACACTAAGTATGAATAATTGATGTCGTATGACCTTACACAATTAGATAACTTACTTACTAAATAAGTAGATCCTAAATACACTCTGTGTGACAACATGTCGATCGTTAAATGTCACTGGCGGTCCAGTTACAGCATGTACGCTGTGAGAATGTCATGCATATTTGGGATTGTTAACGGTACTCATGGCTACTGACAGCCAACTTTCATATTAATAATGATTATACACCATAGACTTTATTCCATATTTCTACATAGTACTGTTCATGGGACCCGGATAGGACAAGGTATTATTGGTCGTAAGAGGATCCTTAATTCAGTCTACTTGGTTGAATGCTGTCGTACCACAAACGCATGCTCATAATATCAACTCCGAGTTTGTCTGGTCCAGCCTCGACTCGTCCGCCATGATGTAGCTAGAATGTTGCAGACATCAGCGTTAAACAAGAAATACACTCATACTGTTCACTGGCCTCATCCCATTATGACATGTTTCTGACTGATGTACAACGCACGATGGACACATATAAACCAATCAAGGCTCTCTTCTTGTAAGAACCGCCCACTCAGTTTAAAACAGCGCCATGAAATGAATAATTCGCATTTCCTCACTCACTCACTCAGACACGCACTTCACTCACTCACTCACTCACTCACTCACCCAGCCTTTATTCTTCATCTCGTATCACTCTGATGTCAACGTAAAGGAGTAAGACTGAGGCGATATCACCTAGGGTACCACAGATATAAGGGTAGAACTACCGAGTGTATAAAACATGTGGAGGTAGAGCTACCCGAATACAAAAAATGTGAAGGTAGAACTACCCGGGGTATCTGGTGAGGTGAGGTAAGGTAACATGGCATGTAACGTCGCGTTCGAGATGATTGAACATTTTTGCGACGTGCAAGCATGTTCGAACTAATTCTGATTTTTTTAGTCCTTACCCACTGAGATACCATGTCGCAGTTTACCATGGATACCCGACTCAGACACAGTATATTGACTCCGAGACGACCAGTCATTCTATCCCCTGAATGCAGACCGCCAGGCAGGGCAACAACAAGTACCATATTTTAAGTCTTAAAGTATATCGCGACCGGGGATGGAACCACCGACCCTCCGTTCTCCGGGTAGATGCTGATGCTTTATCCACTAAACTACGGAGTAGGTCCCGAGATTATCAAAATTATGGAGGTAAATTAGATCTATCTGGGGTAGTTAAGAGATGAAGGTAAAACTACCCAGTGTATAAACAGTGAGTGAGTGAGCGTTGTTTTACGCCGCATTTAGCAATATTCAAGCAATATCACGACAGGGGACACCACAAATGGGCTTCACACATTGTACCCATATGGGAAATCGAACCCGGGTCTTCGGCTTGACGAGCGAACACTTTAACCACTAGGCTACCCAATCGCCCCGAGTGTATAAATAGATATGGTTGTCAAGCTACCCAGGATACCACAGACAAGACGAAACTACCCAGGGTACAACAGCAAGGATGAAGAGGCCGTATCTGTGTCTCCTAGTAACCACGTAACTGCCACCAGTCGTATTTGGCCTGTGAGAATAGCACTATCCACAAAAGCCTACCTCAACACTGACGGTCAATCTCATTAATAGAGAAGCCAAACTAATTCTGCGAAATACACCGCTGTCTTTGAGAATCATTGAACCGACTGTGAGCAAAGCTGGAAACAGACGAGCTTTGCTCTGCAACTAAGCTGGTGTAATCACCCTGAGTATTGGCCCCCGAGACAGGCAAGCCACATCGCACCATTCACAAAAGGAACATGGACGCCCGCCGCTACTCGTGACTTTCAGGATTTTTACTTCTGTCCTATATTCAATTTTTGTCCCCGACCTTGCGTGTCTGGAATGTAGGCCATGATTCTGTTAGAGTCAGTCGGCGGTATGTGCTGTTTCCACTCTGCGTGGATGAAGAGATCAACTAGATTGTCGTGCTGTCGATCAGATGCCAACCCTGTGGTTGGCCTCTTCATCACATTGAGCAGGATTATTGGAATTAGTTAAGCATCGGTTTGAAGTCGTGTGATGTCAACATCGTGTTATTTATGAAACAAATTCAGACTTGAGGTGCACATGTGAAAGTTACCAGGATCTGTGAACGTTTCTTTTACGTTGTCACAACGTTGTATGAGTGAGTGAGTTGGGTTTAACGCCGTTTTTAACAGTATTCCAGTTATATCACGGCGTGTCAGCTTAATGTGGGAGGAAAGTCCCAAGTGATGCAGGTCTCAGACGTTTACCACTTCGGTGAAACCCTCGAGCACGGGTATGGTGCTGACAAACCTAGAAACATAATCGGGGCGAACCGGGATTCGAACCCACAATCATAGGTTTCTGGCGTGCCCAAGGGACGCAACTCTGCACCACTGGGCCACCCGTGCCCCCAACGTTGTATGAACGTTATCAGTATGTGTGAACGTCTCCATAACGTTGTCGCGTCGTTATATGAATGTTATCAAGATGTGTGGACCTCTATTACGCTGTCAAAACGTTGTATGAACGTTATCCGATTGTGTGAATGTCTCTATTACGGTGTTACAACGTTGTATGAACGTTATCCGATTGTGTGAATGTCTCTATTACGGTGTTACAACGTTGTATGAACGTTATCCGATTGTGTGAATGTCTCTATTACGGTGTTACAAAGTTGTACGAACGTTATCCGGTTATTGACGTTTCTATTACGTTGTCACAACGTTGTGTGAACGTTACCCGGTTGTAAACGTTTTCCGGAACGTTGTCAAATGCTACGTTGTATCTTCATGTATCTTCCATGAGCTGAATATGTTCATCTGGATATTATGTCTGTTAATTGTTTATCGACACCCCCAACGCTATGGGATATGATGGCCCGGGCCGAGTCCCAGAGCCTGACCGCCAAAACCATTTAGTCGCTCTCACCACAAGCATGGGTGCTGCGCATTTTCAACTGATTTGTTCTGTTTGTTTGCTTAACAAACAAATTGTTTAACGCCGCACTCAGTAATATTCAAACTCTATGACGTTGGCCTGTGAGCAATAGAGTCTGGATCAAGGGATTGACATCAAGAACAACGATCCATGTTGTTGGGGTACCAAGTCACCGAGCTTGACCATTCGCCTCTTACCATCACATACGTTTATTAGTTTTCTTTTCGTTGCGCTGCATTCGGTACACGGTCATCTTTCAATTGAATGAGAGACCGGTCCAATGGCGGCGACACTACGGTTCAAACAGTTTAGCCCTTAATTTATGAAGATTCATGCTCATGAGAGTAGGAACCAACACACGTGACGATCAGGGGTAGAATAGGTCTTCAGCAACCCATGCTTGTCGTAAAAGTCGACTATGCCTATCGCAAGAGGGGACTAACGGGATCGGGTGGTCAGGCTCGTTGACTTGGTTGATTCATGTCATCGACATCCAACTGCGTTGATCGATGCTCATGACGTCAAACACTGTATTGTCTGGTCTAGAGTCAATTATTTACAGACCGACGTCATATCGCAGGAATATTGTTGAGTGCGGCGTTAAACAAACAAACAAACAAACAAACATAAATAAATTCGCTAGTGGACTTCACTAAACCCGGCGATTATGGAACACTATATTTGCTGGCAGATGACAGTCGATGCAGCAAACATATATGTCAGGGGTTCACTTAATATCATCTGTATTGATTTCCGTTCTAGAAACAATCTTTATCTTATATGTTCATGAATAAAACAAATAACATTGGCTATTGTGGACCCGCGATGCCATCCAAAATGGAATATCATATTAAGTCAATGTCATTTACGAGGGATTTCAAATTACGATCATATTACTCATCGATGGTATTTTATGTATATTGTTACTGATTTAACATTAATCCCCGACACAAAATCCACTTACGAAAAAGCCCTTGAGACAATAACCCCAGACACATTAATCCTTGACATAATCCCGACACAATTAGCTTGACACATTAACTCCCGACACAATAGCCCTTGTGACAACAAGCCCCGACACAACAGGCCTTGACATATAACCGCGAACGTAATTATCCTTGACATGACACAATAACTTTCACCCGACACAATATTCCTTGAGTCAATTGGACCCAACACAATATCCCTTGACAGAATAACCCCCGGAACAATAATCCTTGACGTGAAAACCTTGACACAACAACGCCTTGACACCAATAGTCCTTGACACAATCACCTCAAACACAATAGCCCTTGACATTACAACCCCGACACAATAGCCCTTAACATTACAACCCCGACACAATAGCTCTTGACATTGCAACCCCGACACAATAGCTCTTGACATCACAAACCCGCCACATTAGCCCTTGACATAACAAACCTTGACACAATAACCCTTCACGTTACAACCCCGACACAATAAGCCTTGACATTACATTCCCGACACAATAACCCTTCACGTTAGAACCCCGACGAAATAGCTCTTGACATTGCAACCCCGACACAATTAGGAGATAAATATTTCGTTTTGTAAGAAACACAAACCCGCCACAATAGCCCTTGAGATAACAACTCCCGACACAATAGCCTTAGTGTTTACAACCCCGACACAATAGCCCTTGACTACTCCCGACTTAATAGCCCTAGAGATTGCAACCCCGACACAATAGCCCTTGACTACTCCCGACACAATAGCTCTTGACATTACAACCCAGACACAATAGCCCTTGAGATAACAACTCCCGACACAATAAGCCTTGGCATTGCAACCCCGACACAATAGCCCTTAACATTACAAACCCCGACACAGTAGCCCTTAACATTACAACCCCGACACAATAGCTCTTGACATTGCAACCCCGACACAATAGCCCTTGACATTACAACTCCCGACACAATAGCCCTTGACACAATCACTTCCAACACAATAGCCTTGAAAAACATTACAACCCCGACACAATAAGCTTTTACATTACAAACCCCGACACAATAGCTCTTGACTACTCCCGACACAATAGCTCTTGACATCGCAACCCCGACACAATATAGCCCTTGACATTACAACCCCGACACAGTAGCTCTTAACATTACAACCCCGACACAATAGCTCTTGACTACTCCCGACACAATAGCTCTTGACATTACAACCCCGACACAGTAGCTCTTAACATTACAACACCGACACAATAACCCTTCACGTTACAACCCCGACACAATAGGTCTTGACATTGCAACCCCGACACAATATAGTAATTGACATTACAACCCCGACACAATAGCTCTTGACATTGCAACCCCGACACAATAGCCCTTGAGATTACAGCCCCGACACAATAACCCTTGACATTACAAACCCTTACAGAGTGTCCATTCTACCGAGGTTTCACTGTATACAAAAACAATAATGGTTCTTTGTAACATTTATATTAAGGAACATGATACTGACACTGACCTTGAGTTGGTTTGATTTAGGCATATCTCCTTACACTTACGCAACAGAACTATCTTGATAAACATGAAGCTAAATCATATCAGTTAGATATTCACTTACCGCTTTTTCCGTTTATAAATCCGAGAATATCCAAGTACGCCACTGTCAAGTTCGCGTTCCACGACGACGAGTTGACACTCATGGTACTGGCACCCTTATTGAAGGAGCACAAATCTAAACACAACCGTCACATTTCCCTTTTCCCAGTCACCCGCCAGTCCCAACACCAAGCATAATCTGCCATTGGTACAAACACTCCAGACAACCTACCACTACAACCTGTTCGCCTGGTACTCCTGCAGACCACAGTGATCAAGTGCTGAGAGAAGCCTGGCTGGCGGAGGAGATCTGTCGCCTTCTCTACCGCAATGTTTCCCAGCCTATCAACTTACCGGCTCTCTACAAGCAAATGTTCTGTTGAGTCAATTATCTCGTTTGGACCCAGGATTGATTTTCCGAGTATTATGAGCTGGGGGAGAAGTGTAAGGACATCGGAGAGAAACAATTAGCAGCTACAGATGTATGTGCTGGCGACAGTAGCCGAGTATTGCCGAGTCACCGGTCTGTCGCAGATTGTCACCGGGGGGTTCCGCGGGGTGATGAAACCTATAGAGATTGTTACTTACAGGACGGTAATCATGGCACTAATCAATGTTACTATAATTGTAACTATTTCTTCAATGATAGACTTGCACAAGTCTCTAAGGCAATATTTATTAGTTTAAATCATAATTTCGAGATTATGTAAATAATACGAACAAGTTTTCCCTATAAGAGACTGGAGTCATAACTATCCACACATGTAGACTTGCCTAGAATTACTACACATCCATGACTTTCTCTAGTTCAGCCTTGGAGCAAGGCTAGTTCAATGACAGCAGCCAATGTTGCTGATGCTACTTCCACTGTAACTACCGTTTCAACGTTAGATGCTACGACGGTCACTACAAGTTTCTATTGCTTCAGCTAAAGGGGGGCACGGGTGGCCCAGTTGTCTATGGCGACGCAATTCGCTGTGCAGAGCTGCATCCTTGGGACACGCAAAACACTTATGAGTTTGGGTTCGAATCGAATGGGTTGAGTTTCACCAAAGTTAAACTTCGGGCTTCCCTCCCACATTAAGCTGACACGCCGCGATATAACGGGAATACTGTTCAAAGCGGCGTTAAACCCAATTCACTCACTCACTCAAAGCTGTCACATTTGCAGTGGTTGTGTGCAGCTACTGTTTGTGTCAAGGTTGCTTTGTTTACTAAAATGTCAGCTGCTTCGATCAAACCTACTGAAATCTGTTCCGATATAGCTTCGTCGCGATATGGCTGAAGTATTTCCGATGTGACATTAAATTTTAAGTCACTCTGATACAGCTACTGTATAACTTTCTGATATATTAGTAACAGCAACAACTTTCAGTAAAGCTGGTTTGGTTTCTACTATAGCTACTGTTTCTGTCAAAGCTGCTGCGGTTACTGCTAATTTAGCTACTGTTTCTGTCAAAGTGGTAGGCGACCCGTGAAGATCCGGTGTAAAATAGGTCTTCAGCAACCCAGCTTGCCGTAAAAGGTGACTATGCTTGTCGTAAAAGGCGACTAACGGGATCGGGTGGTCAGGCTCACTGACTTGGATGATGCATGTCATCGTATCCCAATTGCGTGGATCGATGCTCATGATGTCAATCACTGGATTGTCTGGTCCAGACACGAGTATTTACAGACCGCCGTCATATAGCTGGAATATTGCTGCGTGCGGCGTTAAACAACAAACAAACAAACCAAAAAGTGATTGGCAATGCCTCTGCAAAGACGTCAAAGCTGTAGCTACTACTCCTGTATGATAATCATTAAGCGGGGCGGTCGGGTAGCCTAGTGGTTAAAGCGTTCGCTCGTAACGCCGAAGACTCGGGTTCGATATCCGACATCGGTACAGTGTGTTAAGCCCATTGCTGGTGTCCCCCGCCGTGATATTGCTGGAATATTGCTAAAAACGGCGTAAAACCATACTCACTCACTCACTCACTGATCATTATGCTGTTACCCCACTGTGGTAATAACTATGCTGATACTCCACTATAGTGATAACTTCTGCGTTCAAAACTCTCACGAAACCGTGACGTTGGAACAGTGACAACATACGACTTAGAAGGCAACGGAATCTTCAAGGTAATGAACATTACAGTAACCATGGTTATTACATAATGCGGCAACTGATGGTAACAGAGGTGAGGGACAAAAGTAGATCTAATCGAAGATCTTGCATGATTCAATGACACTGCGGTCGAGTGATTGAGTATTGAGTATCGGTGACAGATGTAAGCTGTATTGAATATATGGGGAAAACAATGAGTCATTTTGTCATATTAACTGAGACATATTATGTTTTTTAATACCAAGGAAGAAAAAAAAAAAATGTTTCCAAAACTCAAAATTTAAACTAGTATCATGACACATAATTCAGCTCATTTTAAATGAATTCATCTAATATATTAATAATTTATTTCGCCCATGGGTTGCGTTTGCTGAGAACTCTATTTAAAAACTCAAACCATGTATGTATAAATACAACTGATTTTATCTTAATTTAACTTATTTGTAGACTGATTAAAACATCCCCCCAAGGACCACACACACACACACACACACACGCACGCACGCACACACACACGCACGCACACACACACACGCACGCACGCACGCACGCACGCACGCACGCACGCGCACGCACGCACACGCACGCACGCACGCACGCGCACGCACGCATGCACGCACACACACACACACTTTTTGACTACTGATGACGTATCTGCGTTTACCCAATGACGATGTGAACTCGTAGGAACCCATGCACAGATCACCCAATATTGATACATCATGGAAAGTTGACGCAATTTCTCGTTTCTCTGAACATTCAAATCTGGTTAATTTGGTTAATACCATCGGCAATATGTTCTCGGCCGAACATGTGTTCATGGTGTTGGGTAGATATCCCCAGAACATGGAATCAGTGTGAATTGGAATTGCATTCTCACCTCCCCGGGAAGTATACCACCAAAGTTGTGAGATTTTGGATTTACATTGCCATCTGAACCTACCGGGTACCCGTTCGCTGTTTCGTCAACATAGGCACATTTCGAAATAAAAAGCTTAAGTGGACACCGTATTTATCACTGAATCTCATTTGGCTGCACCCTGGAGCGAATAGGATGGTTTTATGCTGCTTTAGCAATATTCCAGCAGGATCAAGGCGGGTGACACACAAATTGGTTTCACATTGTACATGGGAAATCGAAAACGTGTGTGTGTGTGTGTGTGTGTGTGTGTGTGTGTGTGTGTGTGTGTGTGGCTGCTTGTACTAGTCCGGATTGATGCCTTATAGTGCTAGCACACTGAGATACCATGCCGCAGCTTAACATGAATACCCCACTCAGACACAGTATACTGACTCCGAGCCGACCAGTCCTTGTTTTAGCCCCTGAATGCCGAGAGCCAGACAGGGTAAGGGGCAGTAGTAAACCTTACATGGTTGTCAGCTTGCATTTGTTCAAATCAAAGTGTACACCTAATATCATCCCTAATTGGAGTGAGTGAGTAAGGTCTTGCGCCGCTTTTAGCAATATTCCAGCAATATCACGGCGGGGGACACCAGAAATGGGCTTCACACATTGTACCCATGTCGGGATTCAAACCCGGATCTTCGGCGTGACGAATGAACGCTTTAACCACTAGGCTACCCCACCGCCCCATATAACTAATCGGAAAGCACAGGATGGAGGGATACGGTTTACATGGAATGACTGAAATATCACTACGCCATTGCTGCCCGAGGTGGGTAACGGAAGTACTCTATAATTACGCGCGTCCCGGTGTGCTGAGAAAGGTCCTTTTAATACATTAGTAGAAGGAGGGTTATGAAGGACATTCACATAACATTTATTTGTCCATTATGTTCATCAAAATGAGACAACTATTGTCACTGCGTCTGTTGTACGTGTCCATTGTAAATTTATTACCTTCGATCAAACTGCAATACAAGGCATAATGTGTGTCAGCATCGATTTGTTTTATGGCCTCGATATAACTGACTGTTTTGTATGACGAATATGTTGCCATCGACTGCACGCACCATTGTCGACTATCCAGTGAATCTGACTCCTCCATCGTGTTAAAGACGCGGACAAATCAACTTCTTAAGGTTTTCGTATTTCGATTTGATACACAGTAATATGGTTTCTCGTTAATCCGAAAACCCCCCTTTCCGGGCACTTGCTACTGGAACAGCTTCCATGTTTACAAAGTTACTGTTACTAGTCAAACTTGTCTTAAATAACGACACAGACTTGAAACTTAACATATTTTTATTTAAGAGATCGATTAAAGAGCTGTTGGAAAAGCTTACATCAAATGAATACTCAAACTCATCTCCAACAGCAACTGAATTACGTTACCTCATGATCATGTCCGGATTATTTGTTAATCCGGACGATTTCACTGAGGACGGTGCTTTACGGATTGACGGGGTTAAACTGTATATGATATGGTTGTGCAGCCAGTGTGTTGAAGGACAAGGCCGACGATCACTTATTCATATCACATATTTATCTATAAAACAAGATCACAAAGTAGACACAATTTATGGATAATAACTTCTATATTTTACTGTGATGGCGACGTTTCGGTATAGATCTTTACACCGTTGTTTGACGACGGTATAAGGATCTAAGGATTTAAGGATCTGTGGTATAAGGATCTATACCGAAACGTCGCCATTGCAGTAAAACAAGCAGTTGTTATCCATACAGTGTGTCTACTTTATCATCCGTCAACTAGCGTCCGCCCGGAGAGCGGAAGGTCCAGGGTTCGATCCCGGGCCGCGTCATACAAAAAGACGTTAAAAGATTGTACTTGTTGTTACCCTGTCTGGCGCTCGGCATTAAGGGGCTAAAACAAGGACTGGTCGGCTCGGAGTCAGTATACTGTGTCTGAGTGGGGTATTCATGTTAAACTGCGGCATGGTATCTCAGTGAGCTAGCACTATAAATCGGCATCAGTCCGGACTAGTACAAGCAGCCACACACACACACATACACGTGCATGCACGTCGCTATATAAGTGCAATAATCTTGGACGCGACGTTAAACCCAATTTCACCTCACCTCATCCGTCAACTAATAGTTATGCCTATCAAACACCTGAAAACAATCGCTTCAATCTGATACAGTTAAGTCAACGGTCGTATATGGGTAACATTGTTATTTACGGTTAATTAAGAATATTTTTTGCGTTTATGGAGGTATGCAGTAGGCAGTGAGTACTCCAGTTTTCGCGGTTTTACTTTACAAAATGCAAAACATATTGAAGTCAGTTATAATAAATTAGTCATCATACATAACTTCACAGACTGCTTACCCAATCTTTAACACAGCGCTGTTGACAACAGTACGAAATCAGTGACATCATACAGGGCAAAAGTGCAACACAAGCCCCGCCCACCCTATTATTAGCCAATCAGGAAGCAGTACTTAGACCG